CAAAATGAAGCAGCTGCAATGGTTGCTAGAACATGGATGAAAAGAGCAATGTCTTTAAAACGTCTAAGACAACAAAATCAAAAAATTGTAACGCCAAAATTATTTAGTAAATGGACGGGGGAAGATTTGGATAGGTTGATTTTTGAATGTTTTTTTTAAATTAATTAAAAATTTTTTAAAAAGATTTTGTCAAAAATTCTTTCCAATAACTTTTGGTTTATTCAATTTAATTTATTGGATGGTAAGGGAAAATTAAAAAATTAATTTTAAATTCTTTTTTTTTTCTAGTATTATACGGCTAGAGCATAAGATTAGAAAAAGAATTGTTTTTCTGAGCATCATTAATTGTTTTATTTTGTGAAAATTTTTGTAAATATGTATTATTTTTTCACCTTAATTTTTTCAGAGAGCTTTATTTTTAAATAAAAAAATATTTTTTTAATTCTTTTATTTTCTATTTGTTAATATACATATTTGTTAATTGTTAAAATTAGAGTAGCACCCCGGCAAACTCCGACACTCCCGCCCCCAAAGGTGCTAGCCTAGTCAAAATTGTTAAAAAATTGGAGACCCAAAACGGGCGCGAACTGGGACCTCCTCCTCCCCCCCCCTTTAATGGTGGTCAAAAATGTTTGGATGATTTTTAGTTTTTTTCGAAAGAGCCGCAATTCTTTCCTACGAAATTGGATAAACAATTATTTTGATTTCTAGAATTTACGAGAATTTGTTTAGAAAAAAGTTTTTCTAAATAAGACAAACAGGCGAAAATGAAGGAGTCCTAGTATATAATCTAGTAGTATATAAAGGTTTTTTTGTTTAATCTAGTTTATTAATCTTCTAATTTGCCAAGTTATCTTCTTCGCGAAATTGTGTGTACTTGCTTCTAATTCAACAAAAGAATGTTGCTGTTGTATCAATTCGTTGTCTTCAATATATTCTTCTTCAATCTGGTCACAACTTTTCCTTTCGGCAACAACAACGACGTTGGAAGTCAGGGACGAAGGATTGAGAAACGGGATATCAATTAGTTTGGAGATTTTATTTAAATAATTTTAAAAGTTTTTTTTTCTTTTCAGTTCGTTTTTGACACATACGGGCCTGCCAGAAACTGCTGGGTTTTGGATGTATATGGCTATCTGCGCGTTGATCTACTTGATAATGTTTGTTTTGTTAGAAATGAAATTTAAAAAATTGCTTTTTAAGAACCGCTTTTGCCTATACAATCACCAGCATCTTCTGCCGTCCAAAGAAGGAAGAATATCCGGTCCGTGAAGAAAAGGTAAAGAGTTCGACTGCTGTTGATGTTAGATCGAGAGCTGATAATACAACTTCTGCTTCGCTAGAAGTGAAAATCGACACGCAATCAGCTGGCGACTATTCTTCATATTCTTCTGCTGGCCGTCCTCCTTCGTCTCTAATATCAGGCAGCGAAAGAGAGCAAGATGAATTGCGCAAAATGCGTACAAAAATGAAAACAGCGAAAGGAGAATTTATTTCTGCTCGGCATAGTACTTCTGAATTGCAATTGGTTGAAGAATTGAATGCTGAATTGAAAGCATCAGCAACTGGTAGTAGTAGTGTAAAGACTGCAAAAACTTCCAAGTCGAGGGCGGCGACAAAATCGAGTACGGAAAGTAAAGGAACTGCAAGTACATCAAATTCTGGAGAGGAGGAGGGTTTGTTTTTTGCCTTCTTTTTTCTATTAAAAAGAAATTTTTTAGAAGAAGAAACTTCTACGAGTGGATCATCTTCAGAAAAAAGCGAAAGCGATGAAGTCTATAACTTGGATGGCCATAACGCTGAACCTTCGAAATTCGGAAGCGGAAGTGAAAGCGATTCTAATGAATTGTCTAAGTAGAGTAAATGATATAATGTGAGAGAGAGATATAGAAAACAATAAAGATTACCTTAAACCGTTCAAAACATTAAAAAAACTTCTTGGGTGTTTTGAGTTGGTACTCAAACTATTTTTAGGTGTTTTGACTTTTTCGTAATTTTAGATGTTCTGAGCGGTTTTCTAAATGTTTTTGTTGTATTGTAAATGTCATAATAAATAATATTAAAATGTCTATTATTTTTAAAATTGGTTCTTCGACAAGTTTATCAATCTTTTGCTATCGTTGAAGTCATTTTACGTAATTTATATTTTTTCAGAATCTATTAAACGTTTATTGATTATAATTTCTATTGAAAGATGCGTGCAGTAATTGACTCCGTTGCTCGTTTTATTAGGTAAGACTGAAAGAAGGAAGGTTAGGTGTCGCCTTGATCACAAGATTGGAGATGGGCAATGAACTTGATGTTGATGCGTTTCTCCTTTCCTTTATTCCCCCTCATCAATAAATTATGATTTGCTTTTTTAAGCCCGAAAAAAGTTTGTCTCTTTGACTATGTCGATCGTTGTTGTTGTCACTACACCCCGCTCTTATTGACCATCTTTATGCTTGTCACTGGTACTATCGACACTTTTGGACGACCTATTAATTGTATGGTGCCGGCTGAATTCTCAGGTTTTTTTTTTGGAAAATTTTAAGTTTCCTTTCTTTTAAAGGACCTTGGGCAAGTTTTGTTCATCAATACTGCCATGTTACTGGCACTTATGTTAAAGTTCCTCCAAAGACAACGACTCTTCCTGTTGCTGATGCTCTTGAATATGTTGATGGAAGCGAAGCGCCAACAAGCTATCTCGATGAAAAGGAGGAACGTATTTATATCAACTATTACCAATGGGTTCCTTTTCTTCTCATTGGCTTAGCTGTTGGAATGCGTTTACCGCACTTCTTGCTTCGCTTAGGACATTCTAGTTCTGGTTTGTTTTTTAACGTTCTGAAAGTAATTTTTGTTTACTTGGGCATCTCTGAGACCGGAAATTTACCTAGTAATTTTCAAAATTATGAGTCCGAAACTAAATTTTTTCCTATGTTTCATCCTTCATTTTCTTTTTTCATTTTTAATTCCTTGATTGTTGGCGGTTTTGGCTGTACAGTTTATACAGGTTATTTCCCGTATTTAGTCTTTCTATTCTTACAATTAAATGGAAGAGAGGAGCGGTAATAAACTGAAAAACCAAATGTTCTAATTTTTCAGATGTTGATTTTTCTGTTGTAAACGAAATTTGTGATAAAGTCAAGACTGGACATGCAGAAAATCGTTTACAAAATATTAATGCAGCTGCAAATTATATTTTTCAGGTATTTTTAAAATTTTTATTTTAACTAATTTTCAAAAATAAAAGATTGTTAAACATCGTGGAATGCGTGGAATTGGCAACAAAACAATTTTATTTTACACCTTTTTCAAATTGGCAAATTTGTTGATGGTTATTGCTCAAATTTTTCTTCTCAACGTTTTTATCGGATATGGGAATCCTTTTTGGGGAATTACGGTAATATTTTCGAAATATTTTCTTGGGTCCTTGTCCAGAAATTTGGCGGATATTTATGGAGATTGTGTTGAATCCTGGGTCGAGGTCTGAATTTTCTACTTTACTATTTAGACTACAGGATCAAAGTTGCCTTTGACTCTATCTTGTAGTTCAACTCTCATTTATTGCATTTTAGATTAAAAAATTTAACAAAATTTTAGTTAGCCCGTCAGATTCTCATTCCAATAGAGACAGCAACTTCTCCAGCTCAAAATTCTTTTATTTACTTTCCTCGCGTGTCTTATTGTCAATTTCATCGTGACTTTCTTGGATTAATGCAGGGAGGAATGACTCAAGAAACTCGTTGTACTCTTGGGATTAATATGTTGAATGAAAAGGTTTTTTCCCTTAAAGGCAGGCCCGTAGCCAGGATTTTTTTTCGGGGGGGGGGGGGCCAAGGGGGGAAAATATTTTCTGCGCCAAATTTTTGGCGCCGAAGGCGCCAAAAATTTTTATTTTCAGCGCCGCAGGCGAAAATTTTGAGAATTTTAGAAGGCCTTAGGCGCCGCAGGCGCCAAAAATTTGATTTTCAGCGCCGCAGGCGAAAATTTTTTGAATTTCAGAGGCCGTAGGCCAAAAAATTCACTTTTTTTGCCCCAGCCCTTCCCCAAATTTTTTCCTTTTTCCCATTTCGGGGGGGGGGGGGGGGGAATTCCCCCCCTCACCCCCCCCCTGGCTACGGGCCTGCTTAAAGGTTATTTAAAACTTGAAATTCTTAAAGGTTTTTCTTATTCTTTTCTTCTGGTATTATTCACTCCTTGCAATGTCCATTTTTGCTGGCGTTTACTATATGCGTTTATGGTTTGGGCATGCATATCAGGCACATTTTGTTTCTGATTTTTTGTCGTTGGTAAATGACCGTGAAATTTTTGGAGATGATGCTACACGAATGACTTTAGGTTTTTAATTAAATATTTTTAATTACAATAGGAACAGGCACGTAGCCAGTGCGTAGGGAACCGATTCAAAGAATTATTAATTAAATCCAGTATTAAATTTTTCTTTTCTTTTTTTCAGATAGCCGTAACGTTAAACGTTTCAGTAAAAATATTTTGGGATGTGATGGTCTTTTACTTTTTCACTTTTTGCGTAAAAATTTGGGTGATTTGGTGGCTACTGAAGTTTGTTCTCGTCTCTATCAACTCTTTTTGAATGATTTGCAACAGCAACAACGTTGTAATGACATTAATTCTATTTCGACTACACTTACGGCTAAATAAATGAATTTGGGGTAGAAAATAAATAATGAAAATATATTTTATGTTAAAATTGTTGAGACTTTGTTTTTGGCAAATTTGTTAAATTTATTTGGACTTTTGACTGATTTTTTAAAAATAAAGAATAATATCTAGTATTTGATTGTGTTTTTAAAAGTTTTTCTAAACAATTTTGTTACTTTTCCGTTCTGCCACACCCCCCTTACGTTAATGCTCAAAATGCCATATATTTTATGTTAAAATTGAGAAGGTACTAAAAGTAGGCGGACCCGGCAGAAGTAAACCTAAAAGCGTCTAATACAAAATTGATTATAAAGCGAACGTCGGAAAATTTTTGGGGTTATTCTTTTAATGAATCTCTAGAGTCCTATCTATGATATGGTAAGGCAATTCTAAATCTATAGGTTTTATCGAGATAAAGCTTCTCAAAGTTGGCACATCAAAAATGATAATATCCTTAAAAAATGCACGCAAAAAGTAGAAGCAGAGGGGAAACAGCCTGATCTGCTATGTCCTAGTTAAAAAATACTCAAGATCAATTTTATATATAATTGTAGAAAAGATACATATTTTCGAAATAAATATATAAAGTCAGTATCGGTATAATTCTTAGGGGAAAATCAAACGAAAAATATTTTTATAATCCATATCAAAAATTGACATCCATTTTTAATGTTATTTTCTTAAGTATAGTCATAGCGGAAACGATCACATTCCTCTAATGGAGGCAATTCTCCAGTAACCATTGCCTAATAAAAAAAGTTTTTAGAACTTATAATTAAATTGAAAATATTCTAACTTGTATAATCCATTCACTCGAAACAGCTAAAGCATTTTTTGCAGTTGCACATCTGGCCAATTGTGGTTCACAGTCATTTTCAGTAAGAAAGATATCGAAATCGGCTTAATGTTTGTAAAAAAATTTATAAAAACAATTTAAAAACAACATACTTTTCCTACAAAACTCCAATTTTGCTTCAAGTGTAGCAGTTTTATTAGCCTCTCTCGAAAAAGGTTCACCATGCCCAATTCCAACAACTGTAGCTCCAAGATTTCGCATCAATGCAATCCAAATTTCTCCAAATGGGATAACATTCGGATCTTCATTGTAGTGACGATTGTAAATGATGACTCTTTTGCCATTAAAAAGAACACCTTTCAAAGGCTTCCTATAAAAATATGAGAAGAAATTTAAAGAAAAATGGAAGGTTTTTAAATAAATACCATTGACAGATACGTCCAGGCTCAGAAGTTGATTCACCAGCAGGCAGCAAAAATTCTTCATATTCAACTAATTTTTTCTAAAATAAAATTTAAGATCAAAATCATATCCGAAGAAAACCTTAGAAACACATTCTTGTATCCAAAGATAACTCAAACAAGGAATTGACAACGAAAGAGCACACAAATATTTGTGTGTTCGATAAAAAGTATCAGCAATCAAAAAAGCATGTTCTCCCTCCTGAAGTGTCGAAAAATCTTCCATTACAATACCACCACGTTCTTCAATCTTTGTGCGATAATCGCGCTTGTTGAAATCACTCACTTGAAAAATGAAATTTAAGGAAAAAATTTCTATTAAAAAACCTTTATTTGGACGATTTGCTGATGTTAACACAAATTTAAATCCAACAAAAAGTTGAGCTTCCGCAACACTTCCAGCACTAGAAGTGTAGGATCCAGTGGTGTTGAGCTTTAAAATTATTTTAATTTAACACAAGTTTTTTATTTTCAAAAAATGTCAGCTTCGCTACCAACACTTTCAATATTTGTAGATTGAAATGCTGAGTCATTTTAAAAGCAAACATAATTTTTGCTTGTTTTGACTCGACAACTCATAAAAGAACTGACAAGCTTCGAACAAGCAGAAAATATTGAACCCACACAGACCGAAACCACTAAACTATATGTAACAAGGAAAAATTGACTTAAGCAATAAGGAATGAACAAGCAAAAAATCCAAACCTCAGTAATCTCCTGCACTGGACTAAGAATTTGCACGGCATCAAATGGACTAGGCTTCCTTTGAGGAGTGCTATCCTCAATAATTGTGCTGTTGTGACTATCGTTAAAGCTATCCAAATCCTCTTCATTTATTGTCACTTCAATCTTTTCACCAGTTATCTCCAAATAATCACCTACTTCTTCTTCTTCTTCTTTAGTCTCATTCTTTTTAGCACTTCGAGGACTTTTACGAGGAGTTTGTTGCTTTTGCGGAGTTGAAACGTTGCTGTTAGAGGCCCGGCTTCTAGTAATTCTTGGCGACGATTTATTGGTGAGATTTTTGTCGTCCTCAATGTCATCACTCTTCATGTCTTCATTGTTACCTTCAATTTGCTCTTCTTCATCTTGCTCTTCTTTCCCATAAGCAGACAAAACAGGCATATCTGTAGTGTCAGGCTTATTATCTTCAGGAGAACCAGCCAAATTGATTTTTTTTCGATTACTACGAGGTGTAGTAGAACCTCTTCCTTTTGGCGATTTTTGTTGCGGCGTTTTAGGTGTAGCAATTAAACTAGCTTCAGAACGCCTGATTGATGTTGGAGTTTTCATGGGTGATGGCTGAAATTAATAAATTAATAACAAAAAAAATTTCAAAAGAAAAACCGAAGCAGATCCAAAATCAGAATAGCATAAACGACTACTACGGCTTCGACGAGTTGATCGAGATTCACTAATAATATTTTCTTGGTCAATCTTTGGAACCGGATTGAATTGACGTCCTTTAAGTATAATTGCTGCTTGATCTTTAGTTAAAAAGATTCGAGACCATAAAATTCTAAAACAATTTTAGATATATTAAAAATAAGAAGGAAAACCCCTTACTCTCTAAATTCTTGAGTAGAATTCATTTCATCATCCAATTCACGCAAAGTAAACATTCCATTAACCCATTCATTAGGTTGCTGTTTATCACCAATTTGAGGTTGTTTCTCCACAATAGCTACTTTTCCAACTTCCTCATTAGCAATAGAATCTATGAATGAGACCTGAAAATTGAAAATTATTTTTTTTCGGAGGTTATAAATAAAAACTCAAATTACAGTAAAAAATTATCAAACCTGAAATCCTTCCGATAAAAACGAAATTGCAAAAACGCCACTTGGAGGAAGGATTCTTTTGAGATTATCCTCAGCAAACAAAACATAATAACGACCAAGCGCTTCACGACTAATTAACAAAAAAAAATTTTTTAATAAAAAGAGAATTAAAATACCCGCAAATATGAGCTCCATAATATTCATTTCCCCATAAAGCAAGTACACGAGCACCCGGTGAAAGAAAATGACCAATATCCTCCGGATGATCCACATCATATTGTTCTTTAGGTGTTAATTCAGGAACAATGTAAAATTCAGCCTCTAAAGCCGCTTTCTTAGCAGAGGCAGAAACAGCAGTTTGTGGCTTCTTTTTCCCAATGTCTGGCGTGTTGAAAAGCTCAGAAGTGAGTGCTGCCTTTGGAGTATTTTTCGGTGTTTTTGGCGAAGCAACTGCAGATTTACGTCCTCGACGACTCTGAAATATGTTTTAAAAATTTCTAAAAAAAGATTGACTAACAGGAGTAATTATTTGTTCCTCTTCCTCGTCCATGTTGAAATTGTCAATGCTGTCATTATCCTCATCAGCAGCATAATTCACATTCTTTTTATGACTGGAATTAGCAGTAAGACGTGATGCAGTTGTAGCAGCAGATTTTGGGCTTCTAGAGTTACTCATTGAAAGTTCCAAACGAAAACTATCAGACGATTTTGACTACAAAATTTTGAAGTATTAAAAGAAATTTTATTTAAATATACCGCTGAACGGAATGATGTCCCCATTCCCGTATTATTGAGCAATGAGGGATTCCTTTCTGCAGCAATACGTTCAACATTTGCATAACGCTCTGATGAACCAGGCAAAGACTTTGTAAATTTAATTTCACCAAAAGAAGCACGTTTAACCTAAAAATGATTCGTAAAATTTGACTCATTATGTGAAGAAAATTTGTGGAGAAAAAATGTAAAAAGATACGCTAATATCAGCCAAAGGTTCAGGATGAATATCAGAATTTGCAGTAAAATTGTATGGATCATCAGGATCATCCAAATCAATTAACGGCATCTCACTTTGGTCTTTAACTCGTGTTCGCCTTTTCTTAACACTATTCGGAGTAGAAAGAGGAGTATTTCCACGTCCATCATTTGTAATTCGACGCCGTTTTACAGAAGATGTTGGAGTAAGTGCCGGCACAGCCATCCGACGCTTACGAGTTGAAGTGCGCCTATTAGCAGAAGTCACAATTCCAGACGAAACATTTGCAGGTGGTGTAAACGGTGGTTGAAGATCTTTCTCTTCTTCCACTAAAAAACTTTAGGGGGAGAAAGGAAAGGAAAACCAAACCTCCATCATTATCAGCTTCATCATTCCCATGTTCTTCATCAATGTGTTGGCCGTTAACTTCATTATTATCCTGTTGATTTGCCTCATCTTGTGAACTATCCAAATGGGGCTGTTCCCCCCCGTTTATTTCATTGTGTTCATTATTTATTGAAGAATTCAAAATTGGTTCAGTTACATCAAGCTCCGAAGACATTTTTTTGTAATTTTAGAATATAAAAAGTCAAGTTTTATCGGCTAAATATTTTTAAAAAATTAACAACAAACAAGCACAAAAGCAATCAAAACGGAAAAAACAAACAGAGACCGACAAATCAATAATCTACGGTAAAGACCAATTCAGTATGACCGATTCAATGCGTCCAAATCTTCAATCGTCCGAATCGTTTTTATTAGCTCTAATCAAAAAAAGAGAGGGAGCGGTATCCCACAAGATCCCGCGCGGGATCCCTTCCACTCCGACCTCTAAATTCGAGCTATCGATTGCTACTGTGACTTAAGAAAGAGCTTCAAGCTCTGAACTGCTTGTGTTGAATCATCCCACCCTTTTATTTTTCCGGAAAGGACGATTCAGTATCGCCGATTCAGTATATGGCCATAACTTTCTTGTTATTCGTCAGACAATTCTCATATCAATCGAAAGGTCAAATCATATATAAAAATTTCTTTTGATCAGACAAAAAGTTATGGTCTAAAAGTCGGAATACTAAATCGGCCGATACTACGCTACCCTATTATGGTAAACGGAACAGGGCCAGTTGAGTCAACCGCCCAACCTCACTGACCCCAACTGTCTGGTAAAAGATGTTTCAGAGTATTTTGGAAAAAACTCCTTTCCAAGATCAGTTTTGGAGAAAGGGAAGGTGATTCGTCCAACTTTTATTTTGCTTTTCCATTTAAATTTATGCTTCTTTTAGAGAATGAATAAATCTTTAATGATCAAAGATATATGTTTACAAATATTTATTTTTAAAGTTTTTATGATGATTTTCTACTGGTTAACAATGAACGCGGAACATTTTAATTTTATTTAGACAGGTTTATTTTTTGATTATTAAAATAAATTGATTTTACAAATTTATTGTCTAGAATTTCCTAGTTTTTTTGTACTCAACTCATTTTTGGTTTCTAAGGTTTGTCAATTATTGTTTATCGATTTATTGAAAAAAATATTTAGGATTTTTAATGAAATGTTGATTTTTGTGGAAATATTTATCAAATTATTTTGTGGAAGTATTTACTTTAAATGTTTGAAGGTTAGTTCTCTTTTATTATTTTAATTTATTAGGAAGCTGAAAATTTTGGGGAAAAACTTTTTTTAGTAATATTTGAGAATTCTTTTTTTGCTGCGTTTATGTTACCTCAATTATTTTCTTTTTTCTTGTCTAAAATAATTTTAATTTCCCAAAATTTCCGACCATTTTTATTATATTTTAAAAAATTTTCTGAAATTTCTTGCGGAAAAAAAGTTGCGGACAACATGGAAACATAACCGAGGAGCCCTCAATTTTTTTTATTTTTTTTTGTATTTTCTGTCATCTTTTACGTGTTTTTTGCGTTTGCAATTTTTCTAAAAAATTTTTTTTTAATTTTTATTTTTTAAAATTTTTTTATTTAAATTAGCCTAATTACTTTTTTTTGCATTTTTTGTTCTTTGAATTTTTCTTTTTTGGAAACATTTTTTTTAATTTCTCTGTCATTTTCAATTTCTGCATTTTTACTAATTTTTAAGGGAAAAATTAATTTTTGAAAATTAAAAATTAATTTCGTATCCTTAAAAAGAAATTTTTGGGTTTTTAATTTTGGAAATTAATTTATTGTAAAAAAAGAAATTAAAAAATATTGCAAAGATTTTTATTTTATAAAATTTTTTGCTTTATTTTATTCCTTTTCATTACCAAAAAATATTCTTTTTTTTTTTTATCTGAGGATATGCAATAATTCTATTTCGAATTAGGGAAAGGGGCCCTAGCCAGTTTTTAAAGACCTGAAAATGAACCCCAGTTTTCTTTGAATTTGCCATTCCCCTTTACTTTTTTTTAAATTTTCAAACTACAGACAATAATTTTAAGAATTCTCTACAGACAAATTTCCTTTAAAATATTTCCTCCCTTTTTTATGAAAATTACTATTTCCTTTTTGGAATGTTTCTTTTTTTATTAATTTTTATTCCCCCCCCCCCTCCCCTTATTCTATATATTGGTATTCTATATATTGGTATATTTGGTATTTTTTTATTATTAAATTTTTTGGTTATTTTATATTTAATATACTTATTTTTAATTATTCAATATAATTATTAAAAATTATATGGAAAGGGGAAGGAGGGGGGCACATATACACATTTTTTCTTCCTTTTATTTTTTATATTAATTTTTAAACTTATTCCAAAAATGACGTCGATAACGTTAATTTTTAATAGGAAAGGGAACCTAAAATTTCAAAATTTTTAAAATTAAAAAAATATATTTTGATTTATTTTTTGGAGAGAAGTAAAAGCTTATAAATTTCTAAAGTTCAAAATTTTTTCTTTTACAAAAACTCCTTTCCTTTATTTTTTTCGCATATAAATATTCTCGATAATCTTCTGAGGCCCATAGAGTATATATTTATATATTTATTTATTTGAAAGGATAGAAATGCTTCTTATTTTCCTCTCCTCTCTTTTTTTCTTGGTTCACCTCAAAAAACCTTTCCTTCCTTCCTTTTCCCTCTATCCATAAATTATTTAAATATAAACCCAAAAAAATGACAGAAGCGAGGCTTTTCCTGTTTTTATTTTTTTAATGCATAAAAGCTTTTTTTTTAATTTTTAAAGAAAAGTAAAAAAAATTTTTAAGCACGTGCCAAGCGATAAAAAGGCACGAAATAAATTTTTGGATTGAATTTTGAGTCATCCTTTTTTTAAATATTTTTTTTGTAAAATCGCGTGTTTTTTGTATATTTTTAAATTAAATTGTGCAAACCACAAAGTGAAAAAGTACGATTATAATGGTAAAAAATTGCCAAGTTACGTATAAAAAAGTAGTAATGAATTTAATGGAAAAATTTAATTTTTAAATAAAATAAATTATTACGAGATTAATTATTGTAGAGGAGGATTAACTATTTAGGAGGGAGGAGCGGGGGGTGTCCAGAACTTTGGGGGCTACGGCTTTTCTCTTATTATACAGTGTTTACATAATGATAACCTCACCTAAGTCTATAACTCCTTTCTTCATCGAGATGTCAAATCTCAAAAATCAACGGGAATATATTAATTGTGCACGATTAATTATTAATAAATAAAAATTAGCTCGATTGTTGCGGTAGAGGTCTGGAAAAACGAAAAAGTGTGAGGTTAAAATTATGTGGAGCTCTTTATATTTTTTTCTATTTTGAAAAGCCCTTTTTTAGTATTCTTTTACTATTTTAGTGCCAGTTTTTCTTTTCATTTTTATTTGCCATAACAAAAACATTGATTTTTTTCTTTTATATCCCCCATGGCATTTTTCTACATTTTTTTTTCTTTTTTTTCTATAACATGTAAAAATATATTTATTTATTTTTATTTATTTGTTGCCTGCTTTTTTTAAACTTTAAAAACTTTTTTTTTATTAATTTTAAAATTTTTAATGACGGTTATTTTTGTGTCTGTTTTTGACATTTAAAATTTAAAGGAATAAAACATATTTTTAAATTAATTTTTAATTAAAAGAAAATTTTTTTGTTTATCATTAGATGGACTGTTAGACGTCATTTTATTTTTTTAAATTAAATTTGGCCATAATTTGTAGAAAAAGATTTTTTTCTTTTCAAATTTTAATAGCTTTTATCAGTCCTTCCCAAAACTTTTTTATAATCCGTTTTAGAAACCATCCGGAAATTTTTTTAATTCTTTAATATTAAATAAATAAATATATCTTTATGTTTAAAATAATTTTTTCTTCTTCGTCAAATTTATTTTTTAAGCGCAACTATATCCATACATTATGTAGGTAGTAATTTGACACGCATAAAAATTGCCCATAAATAAATAAAAATATATTTTATTTTAAGCCTTAAATAAAAATTTTTTTTATTTAATTATATTAATTAATTTCTTTTTCTAAAATTATTTTTCTTTTCTTGAAATATTCTCATTTTTTTATAAAATTTAATTTTTGAAAATAATTTTTTTTCCTAGAAAGGGAGTGGGATATATAGAAATATCGCGAGTTTTTACGCGCTCTGCCTAAACTTGAAAAATCTTTCTTTTATTTGATAGTGGGAAAGTTATTTCTTTTTTTCAATTTTTCTAGTAAAAATTTTTTATTAATTTTATTTATTTAATTTAAATTTTTTTTCAAATTTCTTTTCTTTTTTCTAAATTTTATTTAACAATCCCTCTCAACGTTTCCTTAAAGTATATTGTATAGTGAGGTCTTATATTTTTAGCGATACTGGCGGCGCAAAAGTCGTGATATCTCCTTTTAAATCTTTAATAAAAATATATAAAAAAACTTAATTTTTAATTTAATTTTTTTAATTTTCCTTTAAAATTAAATAATTTTCAATATATTTTTTTGGGCGTGGGAGTGCTTATTTAATAATAAATAAAGAAAATAAATTTAAAAATAATTGGAAACCTTAAAATTTATTTTTATTTCTTTTTAGCTATTATTATTTTTCTGATTTTCTACTTAAATTAATTGTTTTTATTTTGACTCTAAATATTTGTTACCAACATTTCTCTCTCATGTCTTTGTTGTGTGTAACAGGTATTTTTGTTTATGTTTTAGGTTTGTAAAAATATTCAACTTTTTTTATAGTGAAGCGTGCAAAGTTGCAAGGCTCAATAGGTAGAAATTCTTGCATATTTTTAAAGGGGAAAATGAAAAGAAACTTTCAAGTTTTAATAAACTTGCTTATTTTTAAATTTCAAGTTCGTCTACAATAAAAACAAACTTGTTTTGAATAAAAGATTTTAAAAAATGCTGGAAAAGTTTTAAAACTTTTTTGTTGAAAATAAGTTGGTAAACTTGAAACTTTTACAATTTAAAGTTTACAAACTTAAAAATGTTTATTTTAAAAATAAACTTTAATTTAATTAAATAATTGTTTCTTTTTTCAGAAGAATTTCATTCTTATGTTACATTAAAGCTACAAAATGTAAAATCAACAACTGTTGCAGTTAGAGGAATACAACCACAATGGGAACAAGAATTTATTTTGTGAGATTTTTTTAAAAAGAATTTACATATTTTAAATATTTTTTAGTGAAACAAATCGACTTGATCAAGCCCTTTTTCTTGAATTATGGAATAAAGGGGTTTTGTGGGACAAATTATTGGGTGTTTGCTTTATGAGATTATGTGATGTTGGGTATTCAAATTCCTCTGGTTGTGGTAAATGGTTGCAAGTTGATCATGAATTTAGAACATTGAATGGGGATATTGTTGGGACTTTACATTCTACTGGTCATTCTGTGTTGGTTGACTGTCGATTTGAACTTCCTTACGGTAAATATTTAATTTTTGTAAAAAAAACTTGAAATTCTCAACTTGAAACCCTTTTTTAATTTCCTCCATAATACGAAACTCTATCCCTTTGTAGTAAAATAAGAGGGCAAAACTAAACTGTTTAAAAATTTTTTGTTCTATTGCAACTCTTGAATATGCTTATTTTCTTTCTATTATCTATTCTTTTTTGGTCTACTTTTTACCTCAATATTGAAACTTTAAATAAAAGGTTGAGAGACAGTTTTTTGGGAACACACAAACAATTGTGTGCCTACGCAAAAGGCACACAATTGTCCCCTCAATACCAACTAATATTTATTTATCCTGTTCGGCGCGCCTCATTCCTCGTCCCCTTTTTTAGTTCCGCTCTTTTGCTTCGTTGAATATTTTATAGATTTTCTTTTCTTTATTTTTTGTTAGCCACCTTATTGCCAATAAAATAGAAGCATAGGAAATTTGGAAGATTGCTTTTATATTTATTTTATTTATTTATTATTAGAGAGAGAGAAACCTCTTTAAAATTAAGTAAAATTTTTTTTAAACTTGAAACATTTTCTTTAAAAAATTCCAAATTTTTTAATTTCTTTTAATGGGCTTTCTTTACCCCTTTGCGTCTTTTTCTTCATTATTTTTTTATTTTTTTATATTTCCTTCTTTTATGGCCTTTAATATGCAAAAAATTCTTGCCTTTCTCTCCTATATTTTCATTAATTTAATGAAGAATAATTGCAACCTTTTCTGCAACAAATTTAATTTTTGATTTTTTCGTTATTAACGAAAAAATTATTATTATTAGAGAGAGAGAGCTAACGCGCTATTTTATTTTTCTTTATTTTTCTCAACTTTCATTTTTTCCTAATTTTATTCTAAAATATATTAAATATAATTAGATATTTTTATTAGTTTTATATATCTAGTATAGATTACCCCTCTAGATATACTAAAATAATAATTTTTAATGTTTTTCTTATACAAGAAAATAATTATAAAATTTGAAAAACAAGAAAAAAAAGCACAAAAATTCCTTTGGGAAATATACAAATATTTTTAATGGTTTTTGATGTTTTTAATGACAATTTTCTATTTTTATAAGCCTTTTTTCTTGTTTTTGGGTTTCTTGAACACATGATGAAATCAAAAGAATTTTATGGCAGAATTTTTTTAATATTTTAACTTGAAAACAATTTTTGGTTAAAAAAATTAATTTATTTTTAGATTATCTCCAAATTTTATAATTATTTTTTTCACTCCGTCACAAATTCAGTTAGATCTGGAACGCCCTGTTATGGTTCAATACTGAGCTGATTCAAACAGTGTTAACGGAGTGTACTGACTCTTTTCGCCCCTAAACTTTATTTTCTTTTATTATTCTCACGAGAAACTTTTTTTAAATTTTATGTTTCTATGGAAAATAATGGGAAACTTGCGCGCATAATGAATACAAAAAATTGAGTAAAAAAAGTAGAGAACATCAACAACAACATTTCTCTCATTTTAAGAAAATATAAAGTGCATTTCTTAGATTTTTCAAAAATTTTGACTTTCATTTTCTCAGACACAAAATTATTTTGATTATTTTCTGATTTTTCTTGTTTTTCAAATTTTTAAATTTATATCTTACAGAAAAATTATTTTCAAAAATATCTTTAAAAATAAAATTTATTCTCTTTTCATCAATTCTATTTCTGGTTATTTTTTGGCTCATTTTTCATTATTTTTATCTAAATAATACTTAAAACCAAGGCGCGAAAACTAATTTGTTTATTCTTTTATATTCTTTGCTATTTTATTATTATTAATGTTCTGGCACGCATAAAACTTAATTATTAAAAAATTAATTTTTGCATTCTATTTTTTAATTTAAGTAGGTAAATTCCATCAATACGTCTTCCTAATCATGTACCGGTTTTATTCTTACGTCTGCTTAATTTGATCACGGCGTGTGTGTTTTAGTCTGATTTATTCCCGATTACACGTCACTCTCCCTCATACGCCGAGAAAGAGAATGATACTATATTAACAGGGCTTTAATGTACTTTTTTTTATATTTTTAGGTGTTGAATCAGTTTCTGATGTTCATCAACAATTATTAAATTTTGATTCAAACGACGAACATACACCGCCCTTAACTCATCATCCAATACAACAACAACAATTATTTCAACAGCAACATTTCCATTCATATGACCAAGAAGTTCCCGAACAACAAAATGTTTCTGACAATTACGAATATCCCCAAGAAGAATCATCAATAGAGGACGAGGAAGAAGAAGAAGAGGAGGGAGAAGACGAAGAAGAAGAAGAAATTAGTCAAAAAGAAGTGGAACTTATTAATCTTGAGGATTATATTGCTGGCGGCATTAACCGTTCACCAGAAGAGAATTTACCAATAAACGGCGGTGGTCGGAGTAGAAGAGGAAGAATTGCAGCTGAAGCAATTAATCAACGAGCACAATTATTACATTGTCAGTGTAGATTTGAAATAAAAAATTTATTTTTTAATTTTCAGCCGGAATCTCAGAAGATTCTGATTACACTTCCGAAATTTCCTTTCAACCCGGAGCGCATCAACAACAACAACATCAAGCAAACGCTTCTGCACATCAATACGAGTCTCACTTGCGTAGAACAACGATTAATCAACAACAGCAACCTTCAGCTTCTAATAGGTGATTGTTAAATTTCTTTAGCTTTATCCTTCTACTTTTTTAAATTTCTCTTTCAAAAAAATTTAAACGGGCCCTCCCCAAATTCTTTCCTTTTCCCATTTCGGGGGGGAGGGGGTGTTAGGGTACCCGTCCATATTCTGATAGCCGCTCTAACAAGCACCAAAAAGTATGTGGCGGCTGGCAACCACCCTAAAAACACTCGTAAAACATTCTTAACTGTCTCTATATTTTCTTTTTCAGACTTGTTCCCTCTGATAATTATTTTCCTTCAACTTCGTCAAATATTCAATGGGATACTTCAGAATACTCACAGCAACAACAACAACAATATGTCCCTGAAGGTTTACTTTATACGCAACAACAACAACAGAGACATAACCAACGATTATTTCATCCAAATTTAGTTGACAATAGAAATACCCCTCCATCTCCAACACCTCAATATTTTGCAGGTATTTATGCCTTGAGAGACGTTTTGTTATCTTTTTTTAGATGGGCAACAATATTATGACGAAGAAGAACAACAATCATCTCAACAATATTATGCCGATAATTTTGACGATGACAACAGTCAAACTGATTCAAAAACATTTGACCAAATTCAAAATATCGACGAAAACTTCTATCATGGGGGCAGCCAAATTTCTTCTTCGCCCTTTGCTGTTTCTTCTTCGCATATTCCAAGGCTTCAATCTTCTCAATCTTGTAGTAGAAAGAATAACAGAAATGGGCGAATTGGTGGTCATCAATTTAAAAATGTGCAAGAAGTATTTCCTTCCCCATCATTTACTTCTTCTGTGGGTGATGGTGGAGGTGGAGGGAGTGGCCGTGCTGGCTTTACAGATAGTCGAAGTAGTAATTCAACAGTCCAACAAATGAATGAGAGTAGTAGGAGAAGCCGTGCAGGAAATTATTATGATTCTGAATCTGATGGATTTACTTCAACTGGAACGGTAAGAATTGGGATTTGTTTTTGGGTACTTTTGAAAAAAAAGAAAATTATTTTTAGGTAGTTCCAGTCAATATTCATGAACTTCCAAATTGGCGAACAACAATAACTCAGCAACATTCTCAGCATCAACAAGGTTTTAATGAAGACCAAGAAGAATATGTAGTTGAAGGAGAGGAAGAAGAAATTGAGGAAGAAGTAGATGGAGAAGGGGGAGAAAGAGGAAGAAGAAGGAGGAGGGAAATTGAAATAAATGAAGATTTTGGAAGATTAAATGAAGAAAAGAAAATAAATAATGAAAGAAGAAAAATACAACCAAGTGAACAAGAATTGTTAGCAGAGATTGAGGAGTATAAAGCAAAGTTGGCAGCTGCCGGAAGACATTATGATAGTCAACAAGCGGGTAAGGAGGAACTGGATTTTTTAAAATTTTTATTAAATTTAGGGAAATTTATTGGATACTCTCTTAGGGCTGAAAATAATAATTTTTTAAAATTAACTCTAAAAATTAATATTTTTTTACCTAAAATATAAAAAATTATTATTTTTTTTCAAATATTTGCACTCCTAAATGTCTGAGAAAAAAGTTGTTTTTTACATATTTTTTACTCGCCATGAATTTTTTATACTCGTTTTTTTTATTTTGCGCACTTTATTTTTATCAATTTTTAAATGTATTCAGGCACATTTAACTCAAATGAAGATGAAAAAGAGAAGAAAAAAGCATTGGAAAAGCTAAAAGAAGACGAGAAAAATAACATTTCAATGGTGCCTGGCACGTCTGCTAATACTAGAACCTTTTCTTACTTTAAACAAAACAAAAATGGAGAAGAAAAAGAAAAATTATTTGACCCAGAGGAGGAGGAGGAGCCACTTTCTTATAATAGTCGGCCATCTGCGCGCTTATTAGAAGAAAGAAAAGAAAATAATAATAATAACGGAGCACAACGTCAACAGCATTTTTCTTCTGGAATTGAATTTGGGGAGTCATCTGAAGCTGCGGTGGTAACTCATGGAATGGATGAAGATTATGGGGTAAAATTTGAAATAATTTTACACGTCTTTACTTGGTAGTTGAGGTTGTGGGTTCGAATCCGCTTGGGGAAATTATTAATTTTTTTAAATAATTGAATGCTATTTATTTTGGGTCAATTTTTCATCTATTTTTGACCCCTTCTGCATTTTTCTTACTAAAAAAATTCTTTTCTAGATTGGTTATGAGGATCCTCTTCGTGGTCAAGGAGTCTATTATACTCGTTCAGGCCAATTTCCCCCACACCACCAAGAAGAAAATGAAATTAATCAGGAATATAGACAACAACAAGAATATAATGAGTAAGTTTTGTTTAAAAAATTATTTTTTTGACAAAAAATATATTTTTAAAGTTCTCAAATAAATTCTGCTGATGTTTTGTCGAAACAACAAGCAAACAACACAATACCTCCACGTATTTCTTTGTCTTGTGAAAATGAGCAGCGACCTACTAAAGATTATTTACAGCTTTGGAAATGGGCTTATAGAGAGGCTTGTAAACAAGCTGGAATTACGGTGGCTAAAATTATTTTTTTTTAATTTTTACATAAAATTTTTAAATACTACTTAATTTATAACGGGTAAAATATAAATTACTGCTACATAATTAAAAACTATGTATAAGTACAATAAGCATTTTTAAGTTTACAATCATGTTTACTTTAATTATTCCGCCTATTTTACAAATTGTTTTTGTTTTAATTCCGCCTGTTTTATATTTTTAATATTTTTTCTTTTAAAGCAACAATCTCATTTAAAATCAGATTTTAACTTTTATTAAGTATATTCCGCCGGTTTTTTCACAATTGTAAAACCAATTACAATTACATATTAAATATTTTTTATTTTTATTTATTCTATTTTTTTTCTTTCTTCACTTTCTAATACAAATTTCTTTTTTTATCTTTAAAACAAACAAAACAAAAATTAAATTTTGACATGAATTTTTCCATGTATTAATTTCAAATTTAACAAATATTTTTTGTGGTAAAAAATAATTTTTGAAATTTAAGTCTTGAATTTATATGTATTTTTTTCTTTTAAGGCAACAAAAAATATATGAGCGTGTTAATTAAGGAAAAAAATTTTCTCCTTTCTTTCTTAAATTTATTAAACTTTTCCTGGAAATAATTATTTTAATTAGCTAACTTTTATTAATTTTATTCTCGCAAATCTTTGCATAAATTATTTATTTTTTTATCTTACATATTCATAAAAAATCACACACACAAATTGCCTATAATGTCAACTTTTCCCATCATTTTTTATTTTATTTTCTACTTTAAAAACTAAAAAAATTTCCAGTTTATATGCATGCGCGATTTATAAATTATTTATTTGTTTTTTTCTCTCTCATCGTTGAATGATGAAAGTAAGTGTAGATAAAAGTGAAAGAGTTAAGAGATGAGTACTATTAACTGTTAGGTGAATTTTGGCACTTTTTTTGCTTCATCTCACACTAGAAAAAAATACTTTTTTTTTTGTTTCTAAGCAATTATGCAATAATAAATTCAAATGGATTCCTTTTTTCAATGGAAAAATTTTTTCTAAAAATGTTACAAATTATTTTTTAATTAATTCTATTTTTAAATAACCTTCTATCCTTAAATTCAAGTACAATCGGATCTCAGTTGTAATGATTGATGTTAAAAAAACTAATGTTAAATCGAGGGATCTTATGTTAACCAAAATAGCAAACAAGAATAAAAAGTGATGTTTAAGTGAGGTCTCTGTCTAACTTTATTTCACTTTTAAATTTTTTTCCAATTTTTTCTATTTTAGTTTTTTCATTGTTTTATTTGAATGAGGGTATTGTTATGCCCTTTTTTATTGTTCACAGAACACTTTTATTTAAATATTAATTTTGGTTATTGCCGAAGAGTGACAAGAACGATTAAATATGGCCCTAAGGCACGAACTAGAAATAACCCTTTGGCAATAATAAAAATTGAAAAAAAAAATTTTTGAAGGGGGGGGGGGAGGGAGACAAACTTTGTTATAGTATATTTGTGTATTAACAAATGATAATATTTTTTTTAAAAATAGAGCAACGACCAAATAGTAGGACAAATATATTTTTAAATAATTTTAATGAAATCTAGATTTTACTTTTAAAGGGCATTTTTTAAAAAAAAATATTTTTTAATTAAATATTTTTTTCTGTTAATTTTCATATATTTTTTAGACATTTTTATATATTTTACATAATTTTGGGTTAATTCAACCGTTTAAGAGAAAGAAAGCATTTATTGTTCTTATTAAGTATATTTTACACTAATTATGCACTTATTCATTCATTCAAATATTTTTTTCTTTTAGTCAAAAAATTCATTTAAATACAAGACTATGTATGTTTGCCAGAATCATTTTCTAAATTTTACACCTTCTCTTATTTTATATAAAATAATTTTTGGAATTTTTAAATTATTATCTAAATATTTTTTATCTAAATATTTTTAGACAACTTTTGCTGACCACACTTGAGGAAAGTTGTTGTTTCAACGATGGGGAAGGTGGGGGAAGTTTGTCCGGGAACGGGAGATCTAATTTAATATGAGATTTCATTGATGCAGACATAAAAAATAAAAAAATCTACCGATATATCCTTACTCCTTCCAAATCCATATATGTATTAGGCATGTAAAGAAAAAATAAAAATTTGAGTTATTTTAATGTAGCTTTTTTTAATTTTTAAATTTTACTTTTTACTCAAGTTCGGTCCACAAAAATCGGCCTGCCAAAAACTATTCGCAAATCTTTGCTTGGAGATTTATCAGCTTGGATCTCCTCTTACCCCCGCCTACTCCCCACCCCCAACTAACGCTGTCACATTATTTCCTACCTTGTGTTTGTGAGCTTTGTTTCTAAATTTCTTTTATTACCTGTGTACTTAAATCCTTTTCATTCATATTTTGGATATTTTTCAATATCATTACAATTTTTCTAATATTTTTTTTTCATAAATTTTGGACAGAAAAAAAAGTAAACAATCATTCCAATTTACATATATATTTAAATTATTTTTTATTATTATTCTAATTTATTAATATAACGTTAGAAATCTCTTCTTTTACACGTAATACCTTCACTAATTATAAATGTAAAATTATTTAATTTAATTTTGAGGTGTAGCTAAATAATAATAATTTTACGAACACACACGCAACACACACACACCCATCTTTCTTTAAAAACGTCATTTCTCTTTTCTTTAAATTTGCATATATTTTTAGTTTAGATTTAAAGCAAAAAATTTTTTTGTTTTTAGATAAACCTAAAAATTTATTTTTTGTTTATTAAGTCAAATAAAGAAATTAGTAGTTGATTCAAGAAACCACCTAAAATTTATTTAATTTTTGGAAACTGATTCGATTTTTTTCTATCTCTCTCTTATATTTTCTTAAATGGAAAAACTAAAAAAATTTTTTATATGTGCTACAAAATATATTTATTTTTTGTCTATTTTCCAATCATTATATGTAGTATCTCTATTTAATGTTATCTTTTCTTTAAATTAAGTTTTTAACTAAATTTATTCTTATAATTTTATTTGTTTTATTCTCTGAACTCTTAAAATAATAATTATTTTAGATTCATCATCAAAAATTTTTTAGAGAATTTTTTCTAAGATATTAATGGGGGTATATTTGCCCTTTTGTTCTTATTATTTTCCTTCTCCTTTTAATTTTATCATGTGTGTAATTGGATTTAAAAGGATAAAAGGATGGACAAAAAAAGTCAAAATGAAGAGTCACCAAGGAATTGATAAAAAAAATAAATAAATAGTAGAAGCTAGTCTTGTAGTGTGGGAAAGGCCAAAAAAATTGAAAAGGAAAAATATAATGCCAAATAATTTATTTATTTATTTACTAGCTAAAATTTATTTGGCTTCTACAAAAAAAAAGAGTAAATTAAGGTTTTGTATTTGTTTATGTTTTTATTGTGTTTGCTTTTGTTTTAATTTTGTTGACTTTAAGTTTTTAGAAATTTTATTTAAACTTTTTTTCTTAGCTTTTAGAAATAAAGTTTTAAATAAGTTTATTTTGTAAAATAAGTTTTTGTAAAACATGTTTTAAATTTAAAAAATAAACTTGTTTTACAGCACATATAATTTTAAAACTTGAAACTAAAACATGAAAAACATTTTTTGTTGCGTTTTTGACTTTTTAATTTTAAAAACTTTCTAAAACAAACAAATATTTAAACATTTCTCACACTCAAAAAAGGACACAACTTTTATCCATTTATTTACTTTTATTAATTATATCCTTTTTATATATATTTTGGCCGTTCTTCCGCCATATTTTTTCTCTTATTTTTTCGTTTTTTTACATATAAAGCCTCCATCTCATTGTTATAAAATATATATATTATTTACATGCTTACACCTACACTATATCGAGTTTTTTTCAAAATTAGCACAAAATCCTTCTTTGCCTAAAATTAGTCTGCTAGATGAAGCATAAAAATGTCTTCGCATTACTTTCCTTTCCTTTCACTTTAATATATACACATACTTTCATTTATTTTTATTTTTAAAGCATTGTTTTTAAATAATCAGCCTGTTTTTAGAACTATTTTTTAAATTTAGATTTTTAAGCAAAACATTGGGTATTTTTCCTTTTTAGTTTTAAGAAACGGGAACTTTAAAGTTCCAACTTGAAATAATTTTAAACCTTTTACAAACTTAAACTTTTAAGTTTTAAAAACAAAACAAGTTTTAAACAAGTTTTTAGAACTAAGTTTTAAACAAAAATTTCCCAAAACAAAATATTAAAAACAAAACTTTTTTTAAAACAAACTTTTAAGTTTGTCAAACATCTCTTTTACTTTCTGAACACAATGATTTTCAATAGAAACTAACACAAAACTATTTATATTTTAAATATGTTTTGTTGTGTTATTTACTTAATGACTTTCATTAAAAAAAGTTTTGTTTTAATTTTTATTGAAAATTACTATGTTCGTTAATGGGGGAAATTATTATTTTTAAAAAAAACTTGAATGTCATTCTCATAATTTTTCACCTGTTCCGGGAAATTGGCTTTTGTAAGAGATTAAATTTTTTTAATTTTGCCTCTCATTATATTTTAATTTTTTCTCAACTTTCAATAACTTTTTTATTTTTACTCCTTATTGTTCTCTTTTACATATGTTTTTTTTAATTTTTTAATATTCTTTATCAATACTAGAGCTTAATTCAAATAAAAAAATATATTAATTTATTACTCTGGCACACTGTTCTCGTCTTCAGTAACAACCCTTTTATCGACTTCTGCGCTTTTTGGAAGTAGTAGATCACCTTCCCCTTCCATTCATAAAAAGCATTTTGATTCCCCTAATCTTCCAATTCGATACAATTCAAAAGAAGACCCAAAATTTACTGTTACCCATCTTCCCAAAGATTCTAACGATTTATATCAATGGAAGGAAGAGAAGAAAAGGAAGAAGGCAAAAAGAGGAATGGAGGAAGAAGAAAAGAAAGAAATGGAAGGGAAAAATGAAATGAAGAGAAGGGAGGAAGAGGGATGGAAATGGAATGAAAAGGAACAAACTAAATTTTTTGTTAAATCTAATGGTGTAGCTAATTTTAATGAGGAATATACTACGAGTAACTCAAGCAACTCAACTGTTAATAATAATTCATCATTAATTAATAATATTCCTTGGAAATGTTCATATTCTTATTTAAATTCCTTTATTACGAGATTATTACCAACAAAACAGGAAATTGAAACAAAAACAACAACAACAACATATCCAACAAAAACATTTTTAACACATTCTCCTACCAAAACATCAACTAAAACATCTTTATTGACAAACAACACTCCACAAACATTAATTTATTCGACAAAATTCAAAACATCCCCAACAACATCAACAAAAACATCTCCAAAAACATTCCCAACAAAAACATCATTAAAAACATGTATATTAGCAAAAACAACAACAATCAAAACATCTCCAATAAAAGAAGAAAACAAACAACAATCTCAACAACAACAAACATCAACAAATGTTTGTCTTCTTGTTAATTCACAACAAACAGAAAATGAAGAAAGGAACAAAAAGAACAATTTAAGTTTTAGAAATGGACTAAGTTTCCGAACAAGTTGTGATAAAAATGTTGAAAATATAAAGAAGCAACAACAACAAAAACAACGGCGAGAACAACAAATGAAAAGATCAGTTGCTACAACTGAATGTTCCCCAACTTTATTAGAAAAAAGAAAATTAGTAGGAAAAAGTTGGGCAAGTTTTAATAGTAGAAGAGGAAATGTTTTAGTTTTTGCTTCTAAAAAGGATATTTTAAATGAATTACGTCGTCAACGATTAGAAGCTAAAATGAATGCTACAAGTGTTTATTTGCCTAAATTAGAGAAAGAAAAAGAAGAAGAAGAAAATAATTTTAAAAATAATAAAAGTTTTAAAAGAAGCAATAAAAGTTTATTTTTTAGAAGAAATTTAACAGTTCAAGTATCAGAATTTGATTTTCCTCCAAAATCTCCAATAAAAATTGTTGAAAAAGAATTATCAAACAATCAATTTGTTGTCAATACTTCAATTTGTTCTTCCCCAACAGCTACAATATTAAAAGATCAAGTTCATTCTTTAAAACAAATTTCTGCTTCAATTGTTGGAAACAACTTTAATAGTCAAATTGTAAATGTTTCCCAACAAACTACCCAAACAAACAACAATAACAACAACAACAAACAATCAAAACAAACAAGAAAACATTCAAAAGATTTACAAACATCTTCGTTAGGATTTGAATCAAATAAAAATGCTTCAAGTTTATTATTATTTCCTAAAAATCAGCTACGTCATTGCCATTCTGCAAATATTGTTAGTAATTTATTAACAACTGAAGAAAAGGAAATTGAAGAAATTAAAAGAAGTTCAAGTAGAAGAAGAAGAGGTTATTTAATGATAAAAAGAAAAAATGAAGCAGAGCAAAGCTTTATTAAATGGAATGATGAACAGTCTATATCTTTACCCTCCACTTCAACATTAAATAAACATCGTAAAATACCTCCTCCATTAGGCAATTGTAATAAATTTCTGTCGTCTTCCTCTTCTGATACTCCCCAATCTGCTTTCTCATTTGGATCATCATATTCCTCTAATTCAACAAATTTTATTCCAAAATCATTGCCGTTGATGAGAAAGGGAAGAAGAAATTTACATTGTGGAGGAATGGGAGAAGAAGAGCAAAAATTAAGAAATTTGAGAACAGGAAGAGATGAAATTGATAAGAAAAGACGAGGGGGAAGTGGAAGAGTAATTAGGAAGAAGAATTTTAAGGGAATTGAAGATCCAACAAAAGCTTTGCTTGCCTTTTCCAAATCTTTTAAAAAGATTAGACGTGTGGAAACGTTTGGAAGTGAAAAGAGGAAACCTAAAATCAAAAATAATAATAATTTTGTGAATAATATTTCTTTGGAAAATGTGAGGAAAATAAGTCGTTCAAACAGTGCTCCTACAATAGTTGAAATAACAAAATTAAAAGAAGATGAGAATATCAAAAATCCTAATAGTCAACAATTACCAAATAAAAATTTTGACTTATCTTCCTTATCATCATCTCCTCCTCTTTCTTCTTCTTCTTCAAAAAATAATAATTTCCCCCTTCTTCGTCGTCAAGCTATACGAAAAAAGCGTTCATTTTCACTTGTGCCAAATAATATTGATGATAATTCTTCAAAAAATGAGGATTTAAATAATAAAAACAATAATAAATTAATTGATAATAAAAAAGTTAAATTGGCTGAAATATATAATATTAAATTAAAGAATGAAGAGAAAAAAGAATTATTTGCTTTTAGTCTTGATAATGCTTTAATTGGGGAAAAGGTTTTTAATTTTTTTAGTATTTGTAAATTATAAAATTACAATTGTAAAAAAAGTTTTGTTTTATGTATGCATTTATGTATTACATATTAGTTACTAAAATTAATCATGTACTAATTTAAATAATTATGTAGCAGTTCATGTACAAAAAATAATTATAAAGAAATTTAAAAATATTTTTTTTAAATATTCTTTTATAGAGTTCTGTTTTCGATGCTGACGGTCACTTTTTGATGCCTTCCAGTGTTGGTGCGCGTGCTACTGTTGGAAGTGCCTTTTATCGTTCCATCGATGCAATGCCATCAATGAATGCTTCTTCAACAAAAAAGTCTATTCCAGTCAGCGAATTGGTGGGGTTTTTTTTTGAATTTTAAATAATTTATTATTTTCTATCATTTTGTTTTAATTTTTTCTTTTTTAATTTTTTAGTAATATCACTAAAATCAAAATAAAAAATCCAAAAAGGATTTATTTAAAAAATAAAAATTAAATTCCAAAAATGGGTTATTCGCGCTAAGCGCTTTTATTGTTGGTTGTTGTTCTTGTTGTTGTTGATGCTTGACAATAAAATAAAAAAAAACTTGAAGAGAAAGGGGGGGGATTTCCGAGAAGTGTAGAGAGTTTCTATTAAATATATATTGACCTTAATAAAAAAATTATTTTTGAAAATCCGTATTCTATTTTTATTATTAAAAAATATTTTTAAAAAATTCAAAAATGAATAATCAATTAAATAAAAATAAAAATTTGGGGAATAAATTTAAAATAGAAGAATTTTGGTGGTGTTTTTGGTGGTGGAATAATATAGTAGAAGAGTCACAACAAGAACAAGAACAACAAGAACATTTGTTGTTAAATTGTAATTTACAACAATTACTTAAGGATAATTTCTTTCAGGTGCTCAAGGTGAGAAAATGTTGAAGCAATTACAAAATGTCCTCACGGTTTTTTGTGTTTTTTGTTTTGTATTTTTATGTTTTTCTAAAAACACTAAAACTTTAATTAATAAAATAAACTTGTTGGAAAAACAAGTTTATTTAATTTTAAAAATTGTAAAACCTTAAATTGTAAAAATAAACTTGAAACAAAGGTTGCACTTGTTTACTTATTTTTAACACTTACATGTTTCTTTTAAAAATTATCCACAAAATAGATTTTTAGTTTTTTTGTTAATTATTTTCGTGTTTTGTCCTTTTTTAAATTTTTATTTCTTAATGAAAATTAAAGTATTATATTTTATTTTTAGACAATGGCCACAAAAAGGACAGCTTTAGCAAATGCTGCAAAAACAACTGTACAGGACCATGAATTGGTTAGGAAACATTTAAAAAGCAAAATAAATTTAATTTAAAATTTTTCAGAAGCAATTAGTTTACCGAAAGTGCCTTCAAGCTCTTATTTATCCAATAAGTGCAACAACTCCACACAATTTCCAAATGACCAACTTTCAAACTCCCACTTGGTGCTATGAATGTGAAGGTCTTTTGTGGGGTATAGCACGGCAAGGTGTATATTAAAACTAAGTTAATTTTGAGTCAAAACTTGAAGCATATTTTAAATAAACTTGATTAGAAATATGTAAAATAAACTTAAAAATTGTAAATACTAAACAACTCTCTAAAACAACTTATAAACTTAAAACAGATTGTAGAATTAAAATAAATTGTAAAAACAAAGTTTTGACAAATTGTAAAATATAAAATAAACTTGAAACAAATTGTAAAACCTTTTTCTTCTTGCTACAGGTCTTCGCTGCACAGAATGTGGTGTAAAAGTACACGATAAATGTCGAGAACTTTTAAGTGCCGATTGTTTACAAAGTACTAAAATTTGAAAATTCATTTATTTTTACAAACAAATATTTTAGGAGCAGCTGAAAAGAGTAGCAAACATGGGGAAGGGGATAGAGCACAAAATTTAATTGCTGTAATCCATGAAAGAATGAAAATGCAGGAAAGAAACAAACCAGAAATTTTTCAAAGAATTCAAGAAGCTTTTGGATATAATGAAAATATACAACAAGAAGTAGAAATTTTGAAAAAAAAATTTTGAAGTTAAAATTTTTAAATTTAGACATTACGTGCAGTTAAAGGTTCTATACTTGAAGGAAGTTCTAAATGGAGTGCAAAAATTCAACTTACTGGTAAGTTTTAAGTTTACAAATTGTAAAGGAAATTGTAAAAAGTAAAAATTAAACTTGAAGCAAAAAATAAACTTTAAAAATAAACCTTAAAATAAACTTGACAAAACTTGAAACATTTACAATTAAAGTTTTATTTTGAAGAAAAAAAGTTTTATTTTAAGTTATTTGTGCAAAAGGCTTAAGTGGAAAAGATAAAACGGGCAAAAGTGATCCTTATGTAACTGTGCAAGTTGGCAAAGTACGAAAGAGAACAAGAACAATACATCAAGAATTGAATCCAATATGGAATGAAAAATTTTCTTTGTAAGGAAATTTTTAATTTTTGTTTGATTAGAAAAATCTTTTTTAGTGAATGTCACAATTCTACTGATCGAATAAAAGTACGTGTTTGGGATGAAGACAACGATTTAAAAAGTAAATTACGTCAAAAATTGACTCGTGAATCTGATGATTTTCTTGGTCAAACAATTATTGAAGTTCGGACATTATCTGGTGAAATGGATGTTTGGTATAATTTGGGTAAGTTTTTTATAAACTTGAAACAAATTGTGAAAATTGTAAATAAACTTGAAACACATAATAAGTTAAAAACTTTAATTTAACTTTTACAAATTGTAAAAAATAAAAATAAACCTTTAAGTATAAAATATATAGTTAAATAAACTTGAAAAAGTTGTAAAATATAAAATAAACTTGAAGCAAAAATTAATATAGAAAATAAACTTTAAAATAAACTTGATAAAACTTATTAAAATTTATAGAAAAACGTACCGACAAATCAGTTGTTAGCGGAGCAATTCGTCTCTACATAAAAGTAGACATTAAAGGAGAAGAAAGATTAGCACCATATCATTCACAATATACTTGTTTACATGAACATTTATTTTTGCATCAATATAAGGAAGACGATGTTCAATTACCACAACAACAACAACTAGCAGCTGATGAGGCTTGGCGAATATATTTTGATGAAGTTGGGCAAATGATTGTTGATGAATTTACAATGCGTTATGGAATTGAACAAATATATCAAGTAATTGGAGAGAAAAAAATTTATTTAAAAATAATTAAACTTGAGTGAAACTTTTAATAAATAAACTTGAATTATTTTAATAAAAACTTGAAGCAAGAACTTGGAAATAAGAAACTTTTTATTTATCTTCAAGTTTAAAACTTAAAAATAAACTTGAGAAAAATCTAGATAAAACTTGAAACAAAAAGTTGAAGCAAAACTTGAGATATTTTTAAATTACAATTAAAATTAATTTTTTGTAAAGGCAATGACTCATTTTGCCTGTCTTTGTACTAAATATATGTGTGTTGGTGTTCCCGCGGCTTTATCTACATTATTAGCAAATATTAATGCCCATTATGCACATGCAACTGCTACTGTTAGTTTTTCTTAGAAATTATTTTTAATTAATATTCTTATTTTTTTAGGCTGCTGTTTCTGCTCCCGATCGCTTTAATGCAACAAACTTTGGAAAGGATCGATTTGTCAAATTGCTGGATCAACTACACAATTCTTTGCGTATTGATTTGGGAATGTATAGGGTGGGTGATTTTTTAAAAAGAAATAAAAATATTCTTGGTCTCATCTAATACCGAATCCTCATTACAAACTTCAGTCTGGGGCGGTAACTATAAATAATCATTGACCAATTTTTTAAGGTTTAGATAAACTTAACAGAGTTATTGCTGGTTTGAAATAAACATTTAAAAACTCCACAAATATTCGCCAAACAAGCGTTTTACCAACTTAACCACACTAACAATGTCATTGTATCTCTTATTTTTTCCTCTTTATTCTTTAATTTTCTAAACTAATTTTTGTTCCATTTTATTTTAATTTAATTTTTATAATTAATTTCTTCTAATTTAAAAATTTACTACAATTTTTTGATTATATTTTCTATCTAATTATATTTATTTGTATTTAAAAAATTATATTTTTGGATTAACAAAAAAGCCTTTTAATTGCTTTTAAAAAAGCTTTCTCCTTCTTTTTCTCGTTCTTTCTTTTCTCTCTTTTTTTATTCTCATAATTCTCAAAATTCATTTTTTTAAAAATTTTCTAAAAATGGAAGAATTAAGTAATTTTATACAGATTTTATGTTTAAAAAATGGTTAATAAAGGCTTAAATATATTGCAAAAAAATTTTGAAAGAAATTTTTTTCGAAGAATTTGTTACAAAAATTTTTTTAAAAATATCTTCTTATTTTTTTTTCTAAAATCTTGATACTTATTTGTTAGTGAAAATAGAAAAATTGCCAAAAAATTGAAATTTAAAACAATTATAATTGTTTTTGTCTGTTTTACTATTAACATTTTCTCTTTCTTCCAGCTGGGCCCTTTCTTTTTCTAATTGTGAAGATTAAATTTTTCAGTTTATTTTCTAACAATTTCTAACAATTTTGATTCTTTCATTAAATACATACTCATTTTTAATGAAAAATTTTTTTTTCCAAAATTTCTAATTCCTTCTTATCCTGCTTCTCTGTACTTATAGTCTAAATATTTTGCTGTACTTTCGTTATCTGAAACATTAAAAAAATATTTTTTTGTTTAAAAAATGCTTAAAAATTATTAATTTTTTAAAAATAGCTTTTTAAAAATTTTAAAATGCAAAAAAACACAAAAATTTCTATTAATAAATAAGTATATGGCAACATTTTTTGTTTCTATCTACTCTTTTTTTAAATTTTAAAAAGTATTGAAGCATTAAAAAACTCATTAAATTTAAAATAAAGAGAGAAAGAAAAAAAGTTTTTCGAATTTTTGGATATTTTCATAAAAAATCATCTCCACAAAATATTCTTTAAATTTAAAATTGCCATTCTTTTTGATAGATATTAGGGTTAGAAAAATTGAAATTGATTGAAGGAAAAACTTTAAAATTGAAATTTCGATATAGATCTGATAAAAATACAAAAATGTTTTTGTAGCACAGAAAAATTTTTAAAATTTTTCACAAGTTATGATTTCTTCTATAAACTCCCCCACTCGTTTTTATCTTCTATCCTACCAATCTCTTTCTATTTTAATAATTATGTTTTTTTTTAATTTAATTTAAATTTAAATATTAGTTCCTAAAACATATATAGATTTGTATTTTTATTCTTCTTAAATGTGTAGTATTTTTTTATCTCAGCAGGGCGACTTTTTATTTAAAATATTTAAAAAAAAGTCTTGGCATTTTTAGCCTTTTGTTTGACATGAATATTGTATTTTTTTAAACTATTTTCGTCAAACACTTTATTTTTGGATTTTTAAAAAATGCTAAAAAATTATATTTAAATACGAAATTTTTTTTATTTTTCTTTACCTTTATTTTTTCGAATTTCAGTTGGATTTTATTTGATATATTTAAATATTTAAACCTCTTGGGGCAGAAAAATGTTCACAATAAATATTGTATAATCGTTTAAGTAGATAAAAAATTTCTGCCTCTTAACCGCCTCTTAACCCAAAAAAATTTTTTTTTCGCCTCTTAACCCAAAAAAAATTTTTTTTCGCCTCTTAACCCATAATGCTTAATTATTTGTTTGTCTCCATTCTAATTATCGGGATATACTTTGAGTCTAAAAGATTATAGTATATTTCCTTTTACACACATTCTTCATTCAATATCGTCAAACGATTTTTTAAATCCTTTTTAAATAATACCTACTACTATAGTTGAGAGAGGGAATGTGTGTGGATATATATATTATTAATTTAAAATAAATAAAAGGATTATGTAAGTGTCGGCGGCAACATCAACACAAATATTTCTTTATTATTTTGTCACTTTATATATTTTTTGATTTTTTTTTGATTTTTTAATTCTTTAAATACGCGCAGAAGACGTGTTGTAGAGAAATTAAAAAATTTAATTTCAGAAATTTTTTTGTAAAGGATTATCATCACTATTTTTAAAATTTTCTTTGAATATTTTTTCTTTTGCAATTTATTTATTTTTTTGCAATTTTTAAAAATAGTTTTTAAATTAATATTTTTATTTACCGAATTTTACGTTTTTTACCCAATTTTTCTCTTCTTTTTTCCATTATCGGAATTTTTTTATTTTTTCACTAAAAAATTTAATTATACAAAAAATGTTAAAAAATTGGCGGGGCGGCGCTTTACAAATTAGCAAATAATAAAAAAAGGGAAAAGTGCAAATCTGGTAAGGAAAAAATAAAGTCTACTAAATCCCGGTTGAGGGTGTGTTTTTAAAAAAGAAAAGCTTAAACAAAATAAAAAAAAGGCTAAAAAAGAAGAAGAAACTTGCAGAAGAAGTGTTGATTTGTTTAATTTAAAATATTTTTTTTTTAATTCTTTTCTTTATTTGCTATAAATATATTTTTTGATAAAAAATTTAATTATACAAAAAAATATTAAAAATTGATGCCTAATTTTAAAAACGCATTCCTTTTTTTATTTTTACATTTTTGTATTTTTCTTTATTTTTATTTTTCCTATAAATTCTGATTTTTTAAATTTTATTTATCAACCTACAAATAACCTATTTCTACAATTATATGTAGTATATTCTGATTTATATTTCTTAAGGATTTTAATTTAAGAAATAAATCAGAATTTTAAAATCAGAATTTTACAAATTCTGATTTTTGTATTTTAGTTTCATTAACTTACAATATTTTATTTTTACATTTATATATTCTGATTTTTAATTTTTTTAATTCACAAAATTACAAATTCTGATTCTTGTATTTTTTTTTACAAATTCTGATTTTAGAATATAATTATAAATTATTAACTACTACTCTATTTGATTCCCCATTTATTCCCAAAAATGCTCACCGTTCCAAATGCGCATCCCCCTTTGCCAATGCGCAAAGGTTCATGGCGTCATCGTACAATATCTAGAAAAAGACGAGCTTTAAGTGCCCGTCGCCATTCAAGTCCAGCAGCTCCGGGAGCATTTGGGAATGCAATTGAGCGTGTTTGTGAGAAATTAGTTGGGTTATTTACTTCCCCTATTAATGGTGGATTAACACCTTTAGTACATCAACAACAAAAGGTGAAGAACAAGAGTAGCTTTTGGGGAAGGGAAGGAGGGGGGGGGGTGGGGAAGAGGGGATTTTGTAGGTATTAGATGAGAGACTAGAAATAATTTTAAAAAATTAAAAAAATTTTTTTTAATTTTTAGAAATACTTCCCAGCCTCAAATTTTGCCAAATTGCGTGACTTAAAATCTACAGTCGATTTGCTTACTTCAATAACTTTTTTCCGAATGAAGGTACTAATTTAATTTATATTTAAATTTAATTAAAAATAATTTTTTAAAAAAGGTATTAGAATTAGCTAGTCCTCCACGTGCTTCAAATGTTGTTAGAGAATGTGCAAAGGCTTGTATGGAGGTAGAGCTATTTTTTAATTAAAAAATTAAATGACCTATTTTTAAATGACCTATTTAAAATTTGAAAATTTCTAAAAAATTCAACAAATTTCTTTTTTTTTGGTGAAATTTTTCTTTTTAATTATTAAAAATGTATTAAAAGTAAACCGAAATATGTAATTTGAGAAGGAAATAATAACCTTTAATTTTCATGCATTTATTATAGTACTTATTTAAAAACAAAAATATTTTTGTTTTTATTTATTTTTAAATTCACTTCCTCTTTTTTTTTGAAAGTAGAATCCCTCCTAACATACACACTCTGTTTAATTTAGCGAGATTGAATATATGTATTAAGAATTTTTGGATATTAATCTTTTTTAAAAATATTTTTTTCTGGCATAAGCTAAATTTAAATTTTAAAACTTTAAATTTATTTTTGCTTAAATCTTTTTTAAAAACACTTCTAAATTTAGCACAAACATTTTTTAAAAATTAAAAAAATTTTTTTCCCTTTTTTTATCTTGATTCCAATCTACACATAATTTTGGCTTTTTTTTAATATTAATATTCTTCCTTTTATATAAAATTTCTCTTCTCTCCTTCCTCCCACTTCCTTTTTTGGTTTTTCTGAGAGGGTAGTTAGTTGGGGTAGTTCTTTCTTTCCTTCATTATCTACTTCTACACTAGACTTTAAAAAATTTTTTTAAAAAAATGTTCATATCCTTTTTATAAATTGAAACTAATTTTTTTACACTCTCCCTCCTACTCATTTTCTGATTTTTTTTCTAAAATTTTTTTTGAATTTACATTGAAAATTAATAGAAAACTAACGTCAATCCTGTTAGAGTTTTTTTAAAAAAATTTTCCTCTCATATTTCAATAAATATATAAAAGGAAAATCTTAAAAAACGATACTATTTTAATGAAAAATTGTAAACTTTAAAAGTGCTTCGAATATTTATGGCTTCTTTTTAGTTTTTCTCATTTTTCTTATTTTATGTATATTTAGAATTGTGTTAATATTAAAAAGAAAATACATTTTGTGGTGTGTATTTATTTTAATAAATCAGAATTTTTAAAATACATTCTTAAAATTTTAATTTAAATCTGAATTTGTAATTAAAAATAAATTACAATTATTTTTCAGAAATTTACAAATTGTAAAATTAAAATCAGAATTTTATATCAGAAAGGGGGATTTTACTCTTTGAATTAAAAATTCTGATTTTACAAATTCTGATTTTTTTCCCAATTAATTTTTCACTCAATTTCCAGACAACTTACCATTTAATGTTTGATACTTGTTGTGAAAAGTGCGAGCCCACAGACGAATCTGTAAAATTCTGGTCTGATTTTATTGACTATATGCTTGGTGTAATTGATGAAGATCGAAATGTTTACACTCCTGTTTTGAATCAATTTCCACAAGAATTAAATAGTTAATATTATTTTTTAAATTCTGATTTTTATTCTGATTTTTTAAAGTTGGTCAGTTGTCTGCAGCAACTCTTTGGAATTTATACAAAACTGATTTGAAGGATGCTCTTATGGGTGGGTAGTTTTTAAAAATAATTATTTTTTAAAATTAATTATTTAGAACATGCAAAGACTAAACGTTGCAAAACTCCAGATTATATGGTGAGAGGATTTTTAATTTTTTAATTAAAAAATTTTTTCTTTTTATAGAATCTCTACTTTAAAGTTAAACATTTTTATTCAATGTATGTAGCAGAATTACCTCAATATCGTGAAAGTATTCCAGAATTTCCTGAGTAAGTTTTGTGTTTATTTTTATAAAAATCAGAATTTGTAAATTAAAAAATCAGAATTTTATTTAAAAAAGTTCTGATTTTTAACATTTTTTGTTCATACAAATTCTGATTTTCTAAAAATCAGAATTTGTAAATTTCACAATTCAATTTTACAATTAAATTTGTTTTCAAAAAAGGCAACATTTATTAAATAAATATTTCCATAAATAAACATTATTTTACAAATTCTATTTACTTTATTGGGTAAATTGAATGAAAAAGGGGTGGGGGGGATAGAGGAAGTACCTTTTATTTTATTTTAATATTTTTTATTCAAAAAAGAATTGGGGAGCTTTAAAAAGGAGCTTTTTAAAAATATTTCTTTTCCATTTATTCATTAAGTTATTATTTTATAGAAAGTTTATTTCTGAAATAAAAATAGAGTATTTGGGTAGAAATTAAATTTAAAATAAAAAAAATTTTTTTCCTAGTTTCTCTAAATTACTTCTTAATTTTTTAGGTGGTTTGTTCCATTTGTAATGGATTGGCTAAATGAGAATGACGAGCATTCTATGGTGAGATTAATTATTAGGATTTTTCTGTATATACATTAAAGTTAAATCCTGCCTAAACTAGACATCTCTCCCCTAAAATTCCTCCTCGACCCCGAACTTTACTTCAAGATAGTGTCCAAACCCCTTAAATCTACATATAAAATTTAAACAAAATCTTTTAAAGGATATATTACGCAATGCTTACAACCGTGACAAAGCAGACAATTTCCCTCAAACCTCAGAACATACAAAATTTAGTAATTCTGTAGTTGATGTTTTTACTCAATTAAATGAAGCTTTGAAAGTTTTGAAACAAGTAAAGGAGGGAAATTAATTAAATAAAATTAAAAATTAATTTAGATGGATTGCCCAAATCCGGAAGTTTGTGTTGATATGATGAGGAGATTTGCTACAACTTTAAATAAAGTTTTGTTGGCATATTCTGATATGGTACAGAAAGATTTTTGTAAATATGTGGAGAGTGAAAAATTGGCTTGTATTTTGATGAATAATGTACAGCAATTGAGGTATTTATGTAGAGTTGTTGTTTTCAGAATTATTAAAAAATTAAATTAAAAATCAGAATTAAAATTACAAATTGTAAAATCAAATTTAAAATTAGAATTATAAGTTTATTTTGGTGTAACGATAATCTCTTCCCTAAATTCGATAGAACTAAACAACCCTTTTAAATCCGATAAAATGCCCAACCCCTTAAAGTCGACAATATGCTTCAATCCACTAAATTTGTCAATCCACCCAAAAACATCAAAATACTACAATTCCTTATAGACGTCAATAACATTCTATTTTAGAGTTCAACTAGAAAAAATCTACGAAAACATGGGTGGTGCACAACTCGACCCAGATTCAAATCGTGTATTAAATAGTTTACAAAAGAAGTTAAATACAGTTTTGGATCGTCTTTCTGGACAATTTGTTGCAAGTTTAGAATCTGGAATTCAGGAACAGATGAGCAGACTTGGAGTTTTGTTGGCTAAAATTAAAGGACCTCAACAACAAAGAAGTCAAATGGGGGGAGAGGTGGATATGGTATTGGAACCTTTAATGAATTTGTTAGAACGGTCTTTACAACGATATGCACAGCAATGTGAAAAGACTGTTTTGAAATATATTTTAAAGGTATTGAAGAAAGAAAAATGTTTAGACTTCACTATAGGATACCCTCATTGAAGGATACCCTCATTGGAGTTGTCCAAAATTAATTTTCTATTTTTAAGGAATTATGGAAAATAACAATAATTTCAATGGAAAAGCAAGTAGTATTACCCCCTTTAGGCGGATCTTTATCTTCTTCTACAGCTCCATTATTAAAGCATGCATTACCTAGTGCTAAAGGGGTTACAAAATTAATGTTACAACACACAACACATTTAAAAGAAGGAAGTGGAGGAGGAGGAAATATTGGAGGGATAAGTGGGGGAGGTGGGAATGTTGGTGGAGGAGGAGGGAGTGGGTTAAGGGGAGGAATGCATTCTGTTAAAGAAATGATGGATGCGGCACGTGATAATTCTGAACGTTCATTGACTCCAAGACAGTGTGGATTACTTGATGTTGCTTTGGATGCAATAAAAGAAGTAAAAAATAAATATTTTTTTCGAATTAGGAATCATAAAACCTGAAAAGAAAATACAAAAAATTAGATAAAAATATGCAATTATATTTTCAGTGTTTCCACGCAGGCGGTCAAGGACTCAAAAAATCTTTCTTTGAAAAATCCCCAGAATTACAATCTTTAAAATACGCCCTTTCATTATATACCCAAACAACAGAACAATTAATTAGAACATTTATTTCAACACAAAAACAACAAGATTTACCTTCACAAGACCAACCTGTTGGGGAAGTTAGTGTCCAAGTTGATTTGTTTAATCATCCACACACTGGCGAACAAAAAATTACTGTTAAAGGTAGAGGATGGATATTTTTATTAGTTAAAAACCTTTGTATAAGAGGATACGCCTTTTGGGGGGAAAATATTTTATAATGACGTGGTCTTTAAATAGGAAATATCTCTTACAATTAGACCCCCTACTCTGTGGTTTTCTATTATGAATGTGTTTTGCCTGTAAATTAAACTCTTTATAATAATCAAATACTCTTAATTTTCTCGCAGTAATCGCTGCCAACGATCTTCGCTGGCAAATAACTGGCTCTGGAACATTTAAACCTTTTGTAGAAGTTCACTTAGTTGGGCCACATTTGGCTGATAAAAAACGTAAAATGGCTACAAAATCGCAATCAAATACTTGGACACCGAAATTTAATGAAACAATGCATTTGTAAGTTTTGTGCTGTTTAAATCCAAAATAATAGTTTTAACTTTTTTTTTAATTTGTCAATTGTCAAAAGCTCTTGATACGAGTATTATTTTACCTGACAGGATTGAACCATTTATAGATTACTTTTGAAAAGCTACGACGGGAAATTATCGAAAATCTCGATTCCGCATACTTTTTTTAGCTCTATTTTTTATTTGATAATTTGAGCATCCTGTCAAGAAAATAATAATAATCAGCACATTGAGCATTCGATTGACATAAAAATCATTCAAATCGGTTAAGAATTAAAAAAATAATGACTCAAAACATGAACCCGGGAATGAAAAGATTCCTACCCTAAATTACAAATTTTTATTTTCTTTTAATTAAAGCTTTATTGGCAATGAAGGAGAGCCAGAACATTACGAATTAATGTTTCAAGTAAAAGATTATTGTTTTGCACGTGAAGACCGAATTGTTGGTGTGGGTGTTTTGCAGCTTTCTCAAGTTCTCGAACAAGGTCCGAAATGAAAATTTTTTTTGAAATATTTTTTTTTTAATTTTTAAAGGTTCCTATGCTTGTTGGGTACAACTTGGTCGGCGTTTATTTATTGATGAAACTGGACTTATTCTTTTGAGGATACTTAGTCAAAGACAGAATGATGAAATTGCCAAAGAATTTGTTCGACTAAAAACTGAATGCCGTGTAAGTTTATTAAATTATATACATATAAAATATAATTTGGACAAGTTGAGAAATTTGTTTACAAAAAAATATTCAAAAATATTCAGAGATCCTAACTTTTAAGAGGATTGTCTAATTAAAAATAATTTTGTCTATAAAAATAATTCGAAGATCAAGTATCTGATTTAAGAATTATACAGAACGATCCAAAAATAAAAAGTTACAGTCCATAATAGAGTCCCTATACTGAACCTGTTGTTATTAGAAACATTTTGATTATTTAATTATTTTTTCCTTTAGTATGAAACGGAAGGTCAAGGATTAGCTAATTCTGCTTCTTCACAAAGACTTGTAGCTGGTCGTTAGTTGTTTTTTATTGTTTGAATATTTAGAATTTAATCTTTAATAAATTAAAAAAAATTTGTGAGAAATAAATGATCTCGATATTTTAATTAATTAATTTAATGTGCCTTTTCCCCCATAGCTCAACTTTTTTTTATTTTAACAATTAATTGTATTTTGAATATTTTATATAATAAATAAATATTGTTATTTGTACTTATTAAATTTAATAAAAAAAATCCTAAAAAATCCCTCTTCTTCTTTAAAAAGTTGAATATTCCACAGAGTCTTTTTAAATTTTAAGCATTTTTATTTTAGATGAACAAAATAACCACGTCAGATATTTTTTGAAAAAAAATTTACGATTATTATTTTTCTAAATTTTCGTTATTCCCTCAGTTAAAATTATTAGTAATTTAAAGGTGTTTACATCCTTATTTAAATTAAAATAATAAACACAACTAAACTACACACAAGTATTTTAATAAACAGAGTAGTGAAACACAAATATAAAAATATTTACAACACCACAATTGTGTTTGTTTAAATATTAAAGAAATTAAGAAAACACACAATTATTTTAATTTATACTAAAACACACAAAAATAAAAATCAGAATTTTTCCGTAAAATACAAAAAAACAAGTTGTTAAATACAACCAGAATTAATGTTTTTCTGAGAAATCAGAATTTAATTAAAACATGTTTTGAAATAAAAATCAGAATTTTTACAAAACACAATCAGAATTAAAGTTGAACAAATGTTTATTTAAAATCAGAATTTAACAAAAACAAATCAGAATCTCTCCTTTAAAAAATCACAGTTTTAAGCTTTTAATTTTTAACAAAATGCATTCAATAAATCAAAAAATTATTTTAATATTTTCCTCAATTATTTCCCTTCTTCCCTCATTTATTTACTCATCAAACAAAACAACAGATATGCCATTAGAAGATAAATTAATTATTTTATGTTCAGATGCCCCAAATAAACAATTGAGGATTTTTTGTGAACAATTACACAAAAGTGATATTATTGCTAGAGTATATTAATTAAATTTTAAATTAAAAATAAATTAAAAATTAAAGAAATATTTGGAAGTTGCGGCATTAAGGTTAGAGCCTAAATCTGCACAAGAATGTTTTAATTTTTTGTGTATGTGTAAATATTTTAGGGGTAAGTTTAAAATAAAATTTTAATTCTGAAAAATCAGAAATAAAAATCAGAATTACTGTCACAATCTCCAAAATTAGATAAAATGACTAACTCCCCTAAATAATATAAAATTCACATTTAGAAATTCATTTCTGTTTATTTCAGATTTTTGTAAAATTAACTGAATTTATTATCAAAAAAAATAATTAAAATTCTAAAATTTTTCTAGGAAAAGTAAAAAAAGGTATTTGTATTTTACCAAACGGAAGTCATCTAAAAAAGTCTGTAAGAAAAGAATTTAGAATGCTAAGTGACAAGGAAAGAGAAAAATTTAATAAAATATTGAGAATAATGAAAGAAAATGGAGATTATGACAAATTCGCAAATCAACATAAAACAGTAGTTGTTGAGGGAGGTGCACATTCTGGACCGGCTTTTTTGCTTTGGCACAGAGAGTTTTTAAAAAGGTTTTTTTATTTCAAAATGTCATAAAAATATCTTCAGATTTGAAATAACAATGAGACTATATGACCCTTCAATATCTCTTCCTTATTGGGATTCTGTGTTGGATTCAAGAATACCTAAATCTGCAGATTCTTATTTATTTTCTAATGAGGTAAAAAGAAAAAATAAAATTTTTAAAAAAATTTTTAAAAGTTATTTGGAGAAACAGACAATAACCAAAGTGTAATTAATGGCCCTTATTCACCGTGGAGAACATTGGAAGTTAATTAAATAAAAATAAATTTTTAGAAAATAAGAATAATTTTAAGGGAAATCAATTTATAACGAGAAGTGTGGGGGAATCTGGTAGTTGTCTTAAACAGAAAGAGTAGGGGAATTTAAAAGTTTTTATTTAAAATATTTTTTTCTTAAAGTATTGATACTATAATGAATAAAAACGGCATTCTTAATTGTCTTGGATACAGTACACCAAAAGATGTAAATTTTAAATTAATTAACTGTTAAATGACATTTGCGGACAGACATTTGAGGACAAATTTGTCATGTTTAGTAAGCTAGTAAGGGATATCCGGATCCGGATAACCGAAGATTTACAACTACCCGTCAACCTTAATGTCTATAATATCCAACCCTATTATATTTTGGTGTAGTATGTACTTCCTAAAAAGAATAACTTATAGAAAGCCTAGTGGATGTCCACAAATGTCGCTTTAATGTAAATTTCTAATTTCAGGCTTGCCCATATAATAGATCGTGGATTTTGCCTGAGGTAATAATTAAAATATTTAAATATTTAATTAGTACAATACTGGAAGTAATTCGCTATAAGATACACAAAATATTAAAGACATGTCATTTTAAAATAAATTTCTTAAATAGTAACCTAAGCGATACCCCGTATGCAAGATAGACCTCGTTATAAAGCTTATAGCGAGATCCTCCCTTATAAAAAACTAAATAGATAATACATGGATTGGTTCACGTATTTTGTGGGGGCGATATGCTAAATGTGTCAACATCAGCAAATGACCCAATATTTTATTATCATCATTGCTTTATGGATTTTGTGAATTTAAATTTTTAAAAAATAAATTTTTTTTTTAAAGATTTGGGAAATGTGGAGATATAAAAATCAAAATAGAACAGAAAGAGAATTACAATATCCACCAGATAATGAAGTAAAAAATAAGAAATAAAATAAATCTAAATTTAAAATAAAGGAATGTGCATCAGACGACCATTATGCTAATGCAACAATGGAACCCTTTAATGTAAGTAGATGGGGGATGGTGGGGGGGGGGGATAACCAGAAATTTGCGGACAAAATGAGGGGTGTTGTACTTATTCAAAATTAAATATTTTTTTAAAGAATTTGGTTAACATAGATGCTCTAAAAAATGTCTATACAGATTTGCTTTATGAATATGCCCCTAGACCTAATTGTGATAATATTACGGATTGTGGAAGCAAGTAGAAAAATGTAAAAATTTTTAAAATAAAAAATAATTTTAAAAAGATATTTGTTTTGTGATCGTTCTCATGGAAAGCCTGAATGTGTGGCTAAAATTAAAATTGGTGGAAATTGTACGGGATTTGAAAGTAAATCTTTTTGGGGAGCATTTTGCATATTTAAGGGGTCGAGACATTTGGTTTTTAGGTAGGTGGAGATTAGGGGGGATTGAGATTTTTTCATACTTAGGGGATAATAATTTAAAAATATGTAAAAATATTTAGAAGAGGATATTTGTATGCATGGATACTGTAAAAATGGAATATGTTTGGCTAAAGAAAATTTAAGTACTACAAAATCACAAATAAAATTAACAACAATAAAATGATTGTAAAAAATTTAAAATTAGTCTATTTTTGTAGTATATCTAGCTAATAAAGAATTTTAGTTTTTTAAATTATTTTTTTGAAGGCATTTTCAGACATTTATTAAAAATTTAAACAATTTGTGATATTAAATAACAATTTTATTTCCAAAAAATTTAAAATAAAGAAAAATGTCCACCCACCTCCAGACTTGCTAAAAATTATTTAAATGACAAAATTTGTTAATAATATGAATAATAATAAAATATTTTTTAAAAGGCTTTAAAAACCTTTTTAAAAAATTATGTAATAATAAATATCGAGAAAATTAGTTTAAATGTTCACAATTTGTTTAATTCTTAAATTAAATAATTTTTAAAATAAATATTCAAAAAAACGACATTTGGGTACACTTTTGGATATTTTTTAATAAAAATTATTTTTAAATATAAAAACAAAAAAAGAATAAAATTTCTAAAAATTCGAAAAAAGTTAAGGCAAATTAAAGTATTTTTCAGACCAATTTTGCTCGATTTTTGTCTTACATTTAATTGACCTCTTAATTTTTTCTATCAAAGTTTGCAACATTTTGTCGATAATAATTAGCATAATTTTATAAAATTAAATCCTTATATATCCCTTTCTAAATGATTTTATGTCAGATTTAATTGTTACTGTTTCCAAAAAGTTTGTACCCAAATGTTGCTAATTTCAGATAAGAATAAATTAAAAAAGAAAATGCCTAAAATAATTTATTTAATTAATTTAATAATTATTTTATTAAATTTTGCAAATTCCCAAACACCTAACTGTAATAATTTAGCCCCCACGGACGCTGCTAGATTAACTTGCCAATTTTTGTCTATGAGTGATAATGCTGCAAGGGTTTTTTATTTAAAATTATTTTTAAATAAATTTTATTTTTCCAAAGAATTCTCCACCTCCCCCAAATCCTCCTCTTCCTCCTGGCGGACCTCCAAATCCTAATAGTTTTTTTAATTTATTTAAAAAATATTTAAAATTAAAAAATAGTTCCAAATTTGGCAGCAAATTTTGCAGCTGTGCCTGCTACCCCCTACCAATGTATGGATTTGGGGTGTCTTTGCCGTTTTATGGGAGGTATGTACTAGAATTCTGATAATATTCCGAAAATATTCTGATATAAAGGTTGCCCTAATGGACCCCTCCAGAGAGCAGTCCGTACAGAATACAGATTAATGACTGAGGATCAAAGACAACGATATGTAAATTAATTGAAAATTAATATGCCTAATTTTAAACAAAAATTATGTAGCATAATGCTTTACTTCAAATAAAAAGTGACGGTCTTTTTGACCAAATTGCTTCAGTTCACACAACAGCTGTACAAACTGGATCAGCACATGGAGGTCCTGCTTTTCATCCTTGGCACAGAGAATATTTGAAAAGGTTAGAAAATAATTAAATTTATTTTTGGCAAAATGTCTTTTTGACTAAATATAATTCCTTCCCTAAAGGTATGAGTTTGCTCTTCGCATGGTTGACCCATCTATTGCTCTACCTTATTGGGATTCTACTTTAGATGGTGCTTTACCAACCCCTGCAGATTCAATATTATTTTCCCAGGAAGTTTAAAATTAAATATTTAAATAATAAAAATAAAAAAAATTAATTTAAAAAGTTAATGGGACAGGCAGATTCTAATGGACAATTACGTTCTGGGAGATTTGCCCCTTGGAGGACACTTGAAGGAAATCCTTTTATAACAAGATTTGTCGGTTCAGGAGGAGCTTGTTACCAAGAATCACAGTAAAATAAAAACACAAAAGGATAAACAAGCAAAAATTATTTTTCAGAATTCAATGGGTTTGGGGGCAAAGAGATATTGCTTTAATGCTTGCGTATTCTTTCCCCAATGCTGTGGGATTTTCTTTTAAATTAAAAAAATGTTTTTAAAAAATATTTAGGGTTGTCCATATCAATTAATTTGGAATTTACCTGAAGTTGTTAATTAATTAGTTTAAAAATAATTTTTAAAATTACTAAAGCTAACTCATGGAAATGTTCACATTTTTGTTGGTGGGGATATGTTAGATCCACGGACATCGGCTAATGATCCTTTATTTTATATGCACCATTCTTTTGTTGATTATGTTTGTGTCTTAATTTTGATTAAATAATAAGGGAAGGTAGGGGGAGGGGAGCAAGGAAAGGTAGGGTGAAGAGAACAAGCTGATGGGCACATCAAAAAAGTATACATGAGTGAAAGTGTAGGCTGAAGGGAATATCAAAAACTAGGCAGGATGTAGGAACAAATCATACCTATTAAAAAATTCTTTTTATAAAGATATGGGAAGGATATCGTACAAGACAACAATCTAGACAACAAAGAGAAACGGAATATCCAGCTGATAACTCGGTATTCTCAAAAATTAAATTTAAAAATTAAATTAACCTTTTAAAAAGCAATGTGAACCTGCACAGCATTTTGCAGGGGCACCAATGTTGCCTTTTAACGTAAAATTATTTTTTTAAATTAAAAAAATTATTTTTAAAAGCCAATGAATAATGTTGACGGATTAAGCAATGCTTATACAGACAATTTATATCAGTTCGCGGAAAGACCTACGTGCCAAAGTGGGGCTAATTGTGGGTCGCCGTAAGTCTAAAAAAATTTTCTGTAAAATTTTTTGGTATTTGGAGGGGGGTGGGATGGGAGGGGAAGGGATTGGAAAATCTTTATGCTAAAAAATTTCCTTTTAAAGCTATTTATTTTGTGATCGCTCTCATGGCGCTCCACGTTGCGCATCTAAAGTTAGGATTGGTGGAGATTGTAGAGGGTTTAATTCTCGTAAGTTAAATTCTAAAAATAAAGGCAAAGGATGGAACAAATTAAAAAAAATTATTTTTAAAATTTAAAGAAGAGGATGTGTGTTATAACGGAGTTTGTTCAAATGGACGTTGTGTTGGTAGACAAGTAAAAAAGAATTTTTTTGTTAAAATATTTAATTTAAAAAATAATTTTAGCTAAGGGCTGATGAAGATGGAGAGGAGGAGGATAATGAAGTTAATGAGACTGGAGTTCAAAACGATCCGGCTGGACAAATACCCGATCAAGTCGCGGTGATTACTAATAATTATATTAATATTGAAATTGATAGGCCCTTTTTTGAAGTTATTGGGATAAACGCCCTTATAAATTATTAAAATTAGATTTGAGTATCGATAGTGGTTTAAGTGGTGTAGATTGTAAGGAGATTAAAGCCTATCAACATTCTCTCCTCTTAAAGACGAACCTCTTTAATAAAAAAATTTTTTAAAATAAAGTTTGCCTGTTACAATGAACATGAATGTTGTGCAATTTGGGCATATGAAGGAGAATGTGAAAAGTTTGGAAAAAAATAATTAGTAAATTAATTTAAAATTAGTAATTCTGCCTATATGGACATAATGTGTAGAGCTAGTTGTGGAAAGGTATTAAAATTAAAAAAAAACTAAAAAATATATTTTTTATATTTTTAAAGTGTAAACCAGATTATGAATTAATTTATGGTATTTTAATTATTTATTTTTAATTAAAAAAAATTTTTTTTAATTAAAAATTAAATAAAAATGTAGGTTGTCTAAATCGCCACCCTCACTGCGAAGAATTTAAAAAACAAGGTTTATGTGAAAGAGAAAAATTGTGGATGGTGAGAGAATGATTTTAAATAAAAAAAATTAATTTTTAGACTGAAAATTGTCGAAAAACATGTAATCGCTGTAGAGAACCTAGAGCTTGGGCATGTACAAAAACAAGGGGAAGAAGTGCTAAATGTAAAATCAGAATTATTAAATATAAATCATAATTTGTTGAAAACACAAAAAATTCTGAAATTATAAAACATCTTTAAAACATGTTTTATAATGACAATAAAAATCAGAATTAAAAAAAACAAGATTAAAATCAGATTTTTACAAAAACAATTAACATAAAGCCTTGTTCTGAAATCAGAATTATCATGTTTTACTAAAATCAGAATAAGAGAATAATAATTATGATTTTTTATAAGCTTTCAGAAATTAAAATTCAGAATTAACTTAAAATCAGAATTTCTTTTACAGTAAATAATAATACAAAAAGTTTTGTTTCTGGTGGGCAATGTGGAAAGAAAACGTGTTACAATGAAAATCAGTGTTGTCAAGTAATTTTAAATATTTTTAAAAATTATTTTTATTTAAAGCAATGGAGTCGAAACGGTGTGTGTACAGATAGCCCTGATTGGATGAATTGTAATTGCCCTATAAGTTGTGGAAGTTGTCTTCCAAGGAATTTTACTTATGGGGGTATAAATATATTTATTTAAATTAGAAAATAAAACATATGTAGCCTGTTCTGACTACTATAAAAGATGTAAAGCTTGGGCAAATGCAGGGGAATGTGCCAAAAGCGATTGGATGAAAGAAAATTGTCGGTTAAGCTGCCAAACTTGTTTAAAGGACGAAGAACTTGAATCGGTAAAAATTCAGAAATTAATAAAAAAATAAATTCTGTTAGAATTTTAATATTTAAACAAAAATATAAAATCAGAATTACTTTAATTGTGTTCGAATAAAATTCTGATTGTATTTGTCCAGAGATAATTTTTGTTTTTTTATTTCTGGGTTGAACATGTTGGGAATTAATTCTGATTAATCAGAATTTAATTGAAAATACAATAACCAGAATTTATTAAATCAGAATTTAAATCAGAATTAACCAGAATTAATTTTTTCCCTTAAATAGATATGCAAAGCAGCCCCATACGCCAACACTCAAACAAGTTTATTTCGACATAAAAGAAACACATTTCTGAAATTTGAAGAGAAACGAACATTTGTAATTTTTACAAATTAAATAAATTTAAATATTTTTCAGAATTTATACAAAAATGAAGAAAGTGAAGTCGAGACAATGTTTTTAGAAGAATCTGTATTGAAGTCGGAAAAGAAAAACAAATAATTATAATTAAATTATATGTAGTATATTTTTAAATATATTTTTAAATTTCAAATTTTCCAAAATAAAAATAAATTTTATTAAATCATTTTTTATTTTTTAGATAAAAAATCTCTTTTTTAATAACCTAAAATTTATTCTGAATTTCTTCAAAATTTATTTAAAGTATTTTAGACATTCAGAAATACATACTTATCATTCCTCCCTCATTCGTTAAAAATATCTTTAAAAAATAAAAAAAATTTTTTAGAGAAAATAAATGATGTGGATGAAAACACGGAAATAACAAAATTAAAAATAAATTTTTAAAGAAAAAATTACACGTTTTAGAATGACAACATGAATTAAAGATTACATTAGAGAGAAATACAAGCATAACAATAAATCTAAAAATATTTTAATTTTATTTGGTTTTAAAACCAAGAAAATTTATTTTAAAAATTTAAATAAAAATATAGGATCATTAAAAATATAGGTATTTATTATTTTTCCTCAAATATGTAGGTAAAATTGAATTTTATAAGATGATTAGATTTTAGACACAAATAAATCCTTAAAATTATTCAAATATTTTTACAAATAATTTCTAAAAATAAATAAATGGATTTTTAGTTAAGGAACTTCTCAAAATATGTAAGAAAATAGAAAATAAAAATATTTTCTAAATATTCGGAGACAAGTTTCGAAGGCACGTTGGTCGGTCAGAAAAATTAGCAACTCGAAAAAGAGCGAATATGTAAAATTAAATGGGAAATAGAAAAGGAAATACCGTATTTCCTGAAATAGTACTCCCCCCTAAATTAGCACTCCCCCCTTAAATAGTACTCCCCTTTGGAGGAGGGTTGAAAAATAGTACTCCCCCCTGAATTAGTACTCCCCCTAAAATAGTACTCCCCCCAAAAATATTTTTCCTCTATACATATTTAAAAAAATAATACGAGACATTGAATTATTTTATTTATTCTAAGTATCGTTGTCGGTTTCACTTGATTCTTTGATAAACAAAACCTGAGAGCTTTCGGTTAACCGAAAACGAATCGAAATTTTAAACTAAAATTTTTCGAGGATTAAAGAGATATAATCCGATTAATTGGTGGAGTAAAAGTGGATTTTGGGTATATAAAGGGATTGATATCGGGTGTAAAATGGGTTCTGTATTAATCAAGTGGCATTTAAAAGACATCATTGGATTAAGGTTTGATATAGGAATTTGAGGGAATAATGAAGGGGGAGTAATATTAGGCGATTTTGGTTGATTAAGAGCGATTAAGCGATAAGTTGAATCATAAATCCTTCTTAATCAACTAATATCGGAAGTACAAAAGGGATGTGGAGGATATCGGTGTTTAATATGATAAATAACTAGACAGAGATTAGGTAATCCCTAGACACATGGGTTTAGTTGACCCTGATAAATCTTAGACCCGAAAATCCCCTTATATCCCTCGATATCACTCCAAATTCACTTATATCCTTTTTGATTTCCCTCAATAACCCGTATTTTAAGTCACTTGTGTTTAATTGTCTCGCAATTTGCTCAATTTTATACTAATTCGGATATTTTCTACAACTTTTATTAAAGAAATTTTTTGAAAATCAGGGTCCGGATCCGGCATTTTTCAAATAGCGAACTCTAATCGAATTTATTTTGAGATAAATTGAAATAAATTAAAATATTTTTTTTAATTTTGAAATAAATTTTCCTATGAAAAATCATGGAGGATGGTTGAAAAATAATACTCCCCCCTGAATTAGCACTCCCCCCTTAAATAGTACTCCCCTTTGGAGGAGGGTTGAAAAATAGTACTCCCGGGAGTACTATTTTAGGAAATACGGTATGTAGATAATTGGAAATTAAATAAAATTTTAAGAAAAATAGCAAAAATAGCAAATATCACTTTAACCAATTAACACAAAAATTCAAGTAATTATTTTTTTAGAAATGAATTTATCATTTCGACTAAAATCGGGTCTATTCATTTTAATAAATTATATAATATTGTCAACATTATTTTGTAATGTAAAAACAACATTATTTTGTGATGAAAACTTTCCTGGTGATTTAAGACAATTTTGTGAAAAAATGGAAGCTGGAAAGAATAATACTCGAGTAAATTAATTTAAAATTAAATTAAAAATTAATTTAAATTTTTAGGATCCAAATTGTAAGTTTATTAATTAATTTTGAATAAATTTACATTTTTGTGAACAGTGCCGCAAGGATCAAGGGACCTACCTGACGATAGAAAAGAATTGCGATGTGTAACGTTAAGCTGTTTTTGCCCTGCACTTAATGGTAATTAATTTTAATGAAGGGGAAAAAATTAATTTTAATTTAATAAAAGGTAAAAAAGATGGGACAGTAAATGGTTGTAAACTTCCTAACGGCAATAAACTTGGAAAATGTATTAGATACGAAATGAGAATGTTGACAGATGAACAGAGACAAGCTTATGTAAATTATAAATTAAATTAATTAAAACCAGAATTAATTAAAAACATATCAGAATTTTATAAAAAGCTTAAACCTTTAATCTCAAAACATTAAAGATTCCCTAGCAAATAGGAAGAAATCAGAATTGTTTAATAAAAATCAGAATTAAAAAAATCAGAATTTTATTAATTCTGAATTAATATTACAGAATTACAGAATTACAAAATTACAGAATTCTTAAAATCTCAGAAAAACATTAACATTAGTTAAAAACATATCAGAATTTTAATAAATATTTAAAACAATGCCGCCCTTCTGAATTTCTAAAAAATAAAAACTTTTTTATTCAAATTTTCAAAATAAATTTTAGTTCAAAACAATAAAAGAAATGAAAGCAAATAACGATTATCTTATAATGGCAACATTACATAAACAAGCTTGGGATGATGGTGCGGCACACAACGGCCCATGTTTCTTGCCATGGCATAGAGAATTTCTTAAAGTGTAGGAAAATAAATTGTAAAAATTTTTCGAATAAAATTTAAAATAATTTTAAGATTTGAATTAGCGATGCGTGAAGCTTCTTATAAGATTCTCCAAACAGCAGATGTTTGTTTGCCTTACTGGGATTCGACATTGGATGCCCGCTTACCGACACCTAAGGATTCTTATTTTTTCACCGCTGACGTAATTTTAGAAATTAAATCAGAATTAAATTAAAACAAAGCAAATTATTTCAGTTTATTGGAAGTACAAATGATATTGGACAAGTTATTGACGGGCCTTTTTCACCCTGGGAAACACTAATGGTTTCAATAAATAATTATTTAAATATTTTTAAATTGTCTTATTATAGAATACAGAATATATTGAAAGAGATGTAGGTAGTCATGGAGCCTGTTACCAGGAAGAACGGTGGGTTAAAGTGTTCCTTCTCCTCTTAATCTCTCCATATCCCCCTATATCCCCCTTAAGCCTTACAATTCTTTATACCACCATTAATCCCTCCACATCTCAAATACACCGATTTATATGGTATTCCAAAATTTTTTTAAAATACATATTTGATATTTGATCAAATATTTTACTTTGCCAATCAAATTCTTTCAAACATCAAATAATTTTCAAATTATTTGATCAAATATTTGATTTTGCCGTTTGTCCGATCACTATCTAGTAGATGGACAAAAAACAAAGTAAAATTCCTCCAACGGCCACTTTTGGAGATTGATAGTAACTGTAAATAAATTTAATTGCAGCTTTACTTGGCAAATGCAACAAACTGATATTACAAATATCATTGCTTATTCACAACCACCAAATAGGGATAAGTGTCCATATAAAGCACAAGCTGGATATCCAGAGGTCTGTAAAATTTTAATTAAAGATACGACCAATAATTCTATATAAAGTATGCTCATGGTGGTGTTCACACATTTGTAGGTGCATACATGTCAGACCCAGGTACATCAGCAAATGACCCTTGTTTTTTCAACCATCACAGTTTTATCGATTTGGTGGGAAATTTCTAAACATACATAAAATTTTATTTTTGTAAATTTTCTAGCTTTTTGAAGAGTGGCGTAAAGCAAGACAAGATTATAATAGAAGGCCACTTGATTACCCAGCTGATAATCCTGTAGGTTTTTAATTAAGTTTTTGAAATATAAATTTATATTTTTAGGATTGCGAAACAGAAGTTAACTACAAAAATCAAAATATGTCACAATTTCCAGTAATTTGTTCTTATGTATTTAAAAAATAAATATGTAGATAGGGGACACAAATTAAGAAAGGATTGAGATCTGAGAGCCTTCCCATCATTTAAAACGCTTATGAGGGTGTTAAAGATAAATAAAAGAAACAGATGCTTCTTATAGACTTTACCTCCGATGTCCATTTCAGGCTACATTACATGTCCTATATTCTCTTACAGATTAACTTTTATCTCTCTCAAGACTCGTCTTATGCTTTTTACAGACTACCCACATACAGTGCTTACGCCCGTAAAAATTTTTACTCGTCCCTCGTACTTGGCACAGTACAAGTACGAGGAAAATCGAGTTATTGACTTTTTCATTTTTCATTCGCTGGACGTATAAATTAGATCAGTCATTTTTAGTATATAAGAAATATCGATGGATGTAGAAATGAATATACAGACAATATGTATGAATATGCTCCGAGGCCAAATTGTAGTACCTATAAACCAGATTGCGGCTCAAAGTAGGGAAATGATTAAAAAATATTTTAAAAATAATGAATTAAAGATATTTGTTTTGTGACCTCTCCAATGGAGACCCTCATTGCGCGGCAAAAGCGCGTCCGGGAGGAAATTGTACAGGATTCTTCAAAGGTGTACAAAATTGCTTTTAAATTAAAAAATAATTTAATTTAAAGGAGAAAAAGTTTGTTATAACAGTGAATGTGTGAACAATGTCTGTGTTGGTCAACCGGTAAAATATTGAAATTAAATTAATTATTAACTACTAACATTTCTTCACTAACATTTTAAATTATTAAAAGAGAAAATACTAGTTAAATACAATTTATCTTAAACGAATAATAATAAATGTGAAGGGGGGATTGGATGGACGATGGAATGAAATCAGTGAGATTAGTGTCAATTACTATATTAGTATGATCTGTTGGCACTAACAATAGCTTTTATATTAACAATAACATAACGGCTTATATGTATATATCACAATAATGTTGAGTTAATCTTAACTCGTTCATTCTTTTGTTAGTACAAGATATTGTAATCTAGTACATAACACTGCCTATTTTAAGGAGGATGCTTCAATACAATAACAATCATGTTGGAGATGAGATTTATAATATACCGTCATAAGACGTATGTATGCCCAAATAAAACATACCATACTATTTAAATTTTAACATTTATCAAAAGTCTTCATTTAATTATTGATGTAAATAAAGCTTAATTAATTTAATTTATTGAGTAAACCACAAAGTACATTAGAAAGTAAATTTTTTAAAATAAAGTTTATACAGAGTATAACAAATGACGTGCCAAATAACATTTTAACTAACAAAGAGCTTAACATGCCTTAAATTAAATGCCCAGTTATTGTCAGTTCGCAAAAGGAATGCGCATTTTTCTTTCATTTTCATGTATTTCTGCGAGTGGCCTCATTTAATACACATAGATACAAAATACCAAATATAATTAAAATCTGTCAACGTATTTAAGTAAAAGCTATTGGTTTTTTGAATAGTGCTTCTTAGTGATAAGACCATGTAGGATAAGTTTTTGCACTTGGAAGAAAGGGGACTCTTTAAGCAGAAATGCAAAAAAGGAAAGAAAACACATTGTGGATAGGTAGGACATCAACTGGACATTTAGCACCTTAAACTAATTTAAAATTTAAAAATTATTTTAGAAACAGATTTTGAAATATAAAAATCTTTTTGTTAATTTAAAATATTTATTAGACTCAGCCTACATCGACAGCGGTCCCAACAACTCAGCCTCCTACAACAACAGCTCCTTCAACGGCAGCTCCAACGACTCAGCCTCCAACGGCAGCTCCAACGACTCAGGCTCCTTCAACGGCAGTTCCTTCGACGGCAGCTCCAACGACTCAGCCTCCATCAACGGCAGCTCCAACGACTCAGCCTCCATCAACGGCAGCTCCAACGACTCAGCCTCCAACAGCAGCTCCAACGACTCAGGCTCCTTCAACGGCAGTTCCTTCGACGGCAGCTCCAACGACTCAGCCTCCAACAGCAGCTCCAACGACTCAGGCTCCTTCAACGGCAGTTCCTTCGACGGCAGCTCCAACGACTCAGCCTCCATCAACGGCAGCTCCAACGACTCAGCCTCCATCAACGGCAGCTCCAACGACTCAGCCTCCATCAACGGCAGCTCCAACGACTCAGCCTCCATCAACGGCAGCTCCAACGACTCAGCCTCCATCAACGGCAGCTCCAACGACTCAGCCTCCATCAACGGCAGCTCCAACGACTCAGCCTCCTTCGACGGCAGCTCCAACGACTCAGCCTCCATCAACGGCAGCTCCAACGACTCAGGCTCCTTCGACGGCAGCTCCAACGACTCAGCCTCCATCAACGGCAGCTTCAACAACCCAGCCTCCATCAACGGCAGCTCCAACGACTCAGCCTTCATCAACGGCAGCTCCAACGACTCAGCCTCCATCAACGGCAGCTTCAACAACCCAGCCTCCATCAACGGCAGCTCCAACGACTCAGCCTCCATCAACGGCAGCTCCAACGACTCAGCCTCCTTCGACGGCAGCTCCAACGACTCAGCCTCCATCAACAGCAGTTCCAACTACTCAGCCTCGTTCAACAAAAGCTCGAAAGACTAAGGCTCCTACAACTTCAGCTCAAACAACTAAGGTTCCAACGACTGAGGCTCCAACGACTGAGGCTTCAACTACTGAGGCTCCAACAACCACAACTCAGCCTCCATCAACAGAAGCTCCATGCGATGATAATGAAGTCAATTTTAATATTTATAACTTTTATAATTGGTATATTTCCCAATATTTATAGCCTTATGACTGCGAGAATTGTTATTAAAGGAAAACTACATGCATCTAAACACGAATAACATTTCAAGCGATTGTGGAAACTTATTTTAAATTTTAATAAAAGATTTTTATTGTTATTTAATATTAAATTAATTATATTCAAACTGGCTTTTTATTCGGTCTAAAGTATTTCTTCATATAACGTATTTGATGTCAATATATGTATTGTTAACGAAATAAATTTATAACAAATTGCGTTTCTAGAATAAGGATAGTTTTAATAAAAGAGTAATACAAGAAATATGCCTCCATGTTGTGCTCGTACTTACATATAATTAAACTTAAGTAATCTTAGGTACACATTTACCTAATCCATCTCTGATATGACCGATCTCTAGGGATTTCTTTTTATTAAAGTTATTTCGCTTTTCGCCTTTCGCCGAATTTTGACTTTTTGGTGTTTCGTCTTTCGTTTTACTTCGGGAACCTCATGGTTTTTTTCGGCGTTCCGGCACACCTCTGGTACCTGAATAGAAGAGGTCGATCGGAAATGACGAAGGTACCTGAAATATAAACTGTCGGAAACTGGAAATGGCTCGAAAGTCAGAAATCTGAGTAAATTTGGGATGTTTCGTTCTTTTTCAGCGCTGTTGACTCAAATTTAGAACAAAATTTCCTTCCGAAATCAAACTTGGAATTTCGTTCGACCTCTGCTAAGTAGTTCAAGAAATATCAAAATTGACAACAAAATAAGAAATAGTGTAAAGCATATATGTAGTTATTTGATTCCTAAGGCAACCAATAGTAAAGCAGCTGGACTATAGCTACTTCTCTCCTTCAGCTAGTGCAAAAGATTATTCGGCGGTTGGAAGCGAATCAGCATCTTTAGTAGACCAGACTGATGTGTGATGCAAATGTAGTTCCAGTTCTAGAACCGGAACTGGACCGAAGAGATTCAAAAAGCAGTTCCAGAACTGAAACCGGTTCCAGCAAATTTTGGACTTCTGAATCACTGATTACAACACCCGGGTTGAAATAAAGGATAGTCATCGACAAAATAAGAATGACAAAATTCACATTTTTCAAATTTTTCTTCGGATACGAATAATTAAAAAATTTTTTCTGAATTTTTGTTTCTTCCAAAATTTGAAAATTTTAGAAAAATTTCTTGAATTTTCAAAAATTAATAAGAATTTTTGATAAAATTAGTATTTTTGCGAATAACACCAAAACTATTTCGGGAAACAAAGGTTGTAACCTAAAAATCAAATCCCTAGTTATAACATTTACATAGTAACTAATATTTTTTAAAATACAAGGAACAAAATTGTTAAAATTTTCCATCCTTGTCTGTTTTTTTATTAAACAAGGAAATAATAAATTTTTCTAAATATTTTTAACATTGTAAATATAAAGAAGCATGATAAATTTTTTTTATTATTTGTCAAATTAAAAATAAAATTTAAACCATTAAAAATAATTTTTTTAAATTTAAATATACCGTATATGCTCGAATAATTACCCTGGGTAATTATTTTTTCAACCTCTCGCTAGACGGGGTAATTATTTGAGAGGGGGTAATTATTTGAGCTTTTTTTAAACAGGCTAATTATAACTATTTTTAGGAGGGGTAATTATTTTTTCAACCTCTCGCTACATGGGGTAATTAATTGAGAGGGGGCAATTATTTGAGAGAGGGTAATTATTCGAGCATTTACGGTAATCATTTGCCACGAAATATTTTTTTTGAATTTATGTAAAAAAAACAAGGAAGAAATTTTCTTTATTCAAAATTTTGTCATTTTATTTGTCTACATATTTTTTTAAATTTTAATTTTCATCCATTAATAGAAAATATAAATAATTTTTTAAATGTCTTAATTTTTGTATATATAAATACTGTCGGATATCGTTATTTTGTATTTGAGATTGGACCGAGGCAAGATGTCGAACAAAAATATAGGTTCTCGAGAATAAAGATTTTTCAAGATAACGATCAGGATTTTCTTACGACATTCCCAGTCCTTATCTCTATTTTAAAATCTTGGGGGCTTGATATATCCAAGCGGATATGCAAGAGACTAACAAAAAACCTCTGGTTCTTCTTAAAGGCCTTTATATCCCAATTTTTAAAGGACCATCACCCTCGAACCATCCGTTCTCCCGACTAGCCCTTCTCAACTCTTTTAGTTTCTAAAAAAATTCCAAAGACTTAGTTATATCTTTAATACCCAATAAAATTATTCTAAGTTGATAATGTTAACAAAATTGTGTTATTTATTTTTATTATTTTCAACATTATTCTGTGATGTATATGCAGAAGTTAATTGTAAAGAGTTTGCAAAAGAAGCACGATCTACTTGTGAGCGAATGGTGGCAGCAGATAAAGCACCTCCTGTATAAATTTATATTAATTAAATAAAATTAGAGTTGCGCGAGATCGATATCTCGACCGAGACCGAGACGAGAATCTCGGTCATTTTCCAATCTCGGTCTCGGTTTTGCCGAGACGAGACCACCTAACCGAGACGAGATTCTCGGCACTTAATCTCGCCGAGATCCGAGATCAGTATACACCCTAAAGATTGACCTTCTTGAGATTTATTTTTATTTTGACAAAATATTTAAAATTTTGCTATTGGCATATTGTTGTAACTCATTTTAATTTAGTTGTTCAGAGCACAGGACAGGACCCTGCACAGGATTTTTCAGGATCCTGTCCGAAATCCTGCCTTTTTTCAGTATTCAGGATTGTTAGGATTCCAGGATTTTTAGGATTAATCCTACAGGATCCTGTCCTGTATGAAATTTTAAAACCCAATCCTGATACAGGATCCGTCCTGAATAATTCTCACGGTTCAGGATTTTTGACCCAACAATTGGGGATGTTGACTCAGTGATGGGGGAAGTTGTTCCAACAACTTTCAGCGAATTCAGCCAAAAATTTTGATGTTCAGCGCCGCAAGACAAATAGGAACGGCCGACCCGTAAAAAATGTACATACCCGTAAAAAATGGACCAGTAAAAATGGACATAATTAAGACTCAATTTTTCAGCGCTTAGGAAAAAATTTTGAGATTTTGGAAGGTCAATAAGCCAGATTTCCTCCTTTTTCAGCGCCCTAGAGAGGGCACAGATGATTTTGATGATGATTTAGATGATATTTAATTGATTTGGTTGGGTTTTGGTGGATAAAAAAAGTTTTGAAGAATCTCGGTTTATCTCGGATCTCGATATCGGTCTCGGGTCAAATTTTGCATCTCGGTCTCGGTCTCGGTCATGCGAGTCTCGGTCAATCTCGGTCTCGGATTTTTTCTAAAATCTCGATCTCGCGCAACTCTAAATAAAATTAGAGAATGGGAGGATGTGGGACGGGTGTAGATACTTGAAAGTAATTTTTTATGCTAGATGAATTAGAGAAATAAGCCGATTAAAAAATCTAAACGATCCCAATCTTCTCTTTAAAATTTTTTTCTAATTCCTAATAATATTTAGATAACTCCAGGTTAGTTTATTTTTTATTAATTAATAAAATCTAAATTGACAATAGGACCTCCAATCGACGGAGGAAGTCCAACGATGGAAGATAGAGACGAGCTTAATTGTTTAAATCTGAGCTGTATTTGTCCCGTTTTTCATGGTATTTAAATTTTAAAAAAGTCAATTTTAATTTAATAAAAAGGTAAAAAAGATGGAACAGTAAATGGTTGTAAACTTCCAAACGGCAAAAATCTTATAAAATGTTTTAGAGAAGAATTGAGAATGTTGTCAGATGAAAAGAGACAAGCTTATGTAAATTATAAATTAAATTAATTAAAACCAGAATTAATTAAAAACTTATCAGAATTTTAGTTAAAAATTATCAGAATTTAAAAAAAACTTAAATATTTATGTAAAAACATGCAACAGTTATTAATTAATGAAAAAATCAGAATATTTAATAAAAATCAGAATTATATATTTGTAAACAAACAGAATCTTTAAAATCTCAGAAAAATATCAGAATTATTTAATATTTGATAAATCAGAATTACTAAAAACCTATTCCTTTAAAAATCAGAATTTTTAAAAAACATTCAGAATTGCTTTTTAATAAATATCAGAATTATTAGAAACATTTATGAAATTTTTAAAAACATAAAAACTAATGTAAAAACATATCAGAATTACATATTCATTTTAAAATAAATTTAACAAAATAAAATAATTTCAGTTTAAAGCTGTTCAGCAAATGAAAGATAATGGAGCTTATGACCTTTGTGCTATTCAACACAGAGATGCTTATCTTTTAAAAGGAGCACATAGAGGCCCGGCATTTTGTCCGTGGCATAGAGAACTTCTCAAAAGATTTGAAATACTGCTTAGGGAAGCTGCGGATCAGACTATGAAAACAACCGATGTTTGTTTGCCGTATTGGGATTCGACTTTGGAGAGGCAATTGCCTACACCTAAGGATTCTTTATTATTCACCGAAGCTGTAAAATTATTAAATATAAATCAGAATTAAATCAGAAAATATTAAAAACAAATTTTAAATAAACCAGAATTAAAACAGAATTTAAGAAAGTGAGAAAAAAGGAGAAAAAGAATTTATAAATCAGAATTAAATTAAAAATACTCAGAATTTATTTAAATTATTTAAGTTTATTGGAAGCACAAATTCCAATAATGAAGTAAGTAATGGGCCATTTTCACCTTGGCAAACATTAGAGGTGAATTAAATAATTAAATTAAAGTATTAATAAAATTCTCTAGGGAAATGATTACTTAAAAAGAAATGTTGGGAGTGATGGAGTTTGCTATAGTGAAGCAGAGTATTTTAAATAAATTTTCAAAAAATAATTTAATTTATTATTTAGCATCAATTGGGAATTAGATCAAAAAAATTTAACATATTTTATGTCATATTTCCCTTCGGATAGAAGATGTAACTTTAGCATAAATTCGAGAATGCCGGAGGCAATAATTTTAAAATTAATTAAAAATCGAGAAAAACATTTTTGAAGATCCCCCACGGAACTACACACACTTTTATTGGCGAGGATATGAGCGATCCAAAAATTGCAGCAAATGATCCAATTTTCTTTAGTCATCACTGTTTTGTTGATTTGGTGAGGGAAAAATTTCTAAAATTATTTCAAATTTAAATTGTAGATATGGGAATTATATCGTTGGAAACAACAAACTTATGCTCAACGACCAGTTCAATATACACCAGATAAAAGAGTATGTTTTTGTGTTATTGGCTCCTAGCTTGTGCTGTGGCAAAAGATGGAGCCAAGTTATAATTTAAAAATATTTTTAGGAATGTGAACCTGCTGTTCATTTCAAAGAAGCAAAAATGACAACATTTCCTGTAATTTAATAGTTATTATTGAAAGTAGAGGAAGTAGGGAAGTGTTAAGTAATAGGGTTGTCGGGTCATTGGGAGGGGGGTCTGATATGGTATTAAATTTTAGGAAATCCGAGATAACTGATCGACTGATACTAGTGCAACATTTAAATTTAGTTTTTCAAAAATATCGATGGGTGTAGAAATGAATATACAGACAATATGTATGAATATGCTCCGAGGCCAACGTGTACAGTAAAAAAGCCAGATTGTGGCTCAAAGTAGGAAAAGAAATAATTAAAAAATAAGAAAATAATTATTAAATTAAAGATATTTGTTTTGTGACCTTTCCCATGTAACACCCCATTGCGCAGCAAAAGTGCGCATAGGCGGAGATTGTAAGGGATTTACTAAAGGTATATAAAATTATATTTAAATTTAAACAAAAAATTTTAATTTAAAGGAGAACAAGTTTGCTATAACGGTAAATGTGTAAAGAATGTTTGTGTTGGTCAACAGGTAAAACACTAACATATTATATGTAAGTAGTAACATATAATCTTTTAAAATCCTTCTTGTTATTTCTTAGTAATTCCAAACAAAGGGCCGAGTTTTATAAAAATTCCCATTGGTATATAAAAATTGTTAATGTTTAAGGTTTGATTATTTTTATAATCGTCAACTTTTAATATATTTGATAAATTAACATTCTCTCACCTTAACTATTAACAATTCTTTATTTATCTGTTTTCCAGGGCTCTTATCCCAAATTTTTTAAAATCCGCAAAAATGATCATAAACAATAACTTTATGCGTTATATTTTTTGCCTCAAAAATTGAATTGAGAAATTTTTTATTATTAATAAAAAATTAACTTAACTTGAGCCAATGCTACGTCAGTCCATTGAAACGAAATAAAATTTTTTCTTAAAAACTAACACGCAAAGCTAGGTACTTAACAACATAAATTAAGGTCTATTAAAGCTAAAAAGTCTTTACCTTTTTCCCTTTCTAATCCTTATGAGAGGAGAAAGATGAAGGAAGAAATAAAAGTCAAAAAGTTGCGGACAAACATTTGCGGAGATGTGGGTGAGATAACCGAAGAGTAATGACATTTTTAAAAACTAAACGAAAATATAAAAAATCCTAATAATCTTCAAAAAACCACAAAAATTCACTTATCTTCATTGACCTACCGAAAACCCACAGAATGAGGAAAAGTCCGCACATATAAGAGCCCTGGTTTTCACCGTGCTTGGGGTTTCATCGTACAAGGATCAAATATTAACCATTTAAACTAACATTTCCATTTATAAAAGAATGCTTTCAAATTTAGCTATTCTTGTATTTTAAAGGAAAAAACAACAACTACGACAGAAGAACCTGATTATGATGATGACTGAACTATTAAACCATAAAGACAATAATAATATTTATTTTCCTAATAATTTATCAAAATTCTATACTTTTTTTGTAAAACTATAAAGTACTTAATATATTTAAATTTATAAATATGTATTCAATTATATTCTCATATAATGTCTAAGTGCTTATTAACGATATTTATAATACGACGGGCATATAAATCCAGGTATGACTAGCTTATAGAAATCATCATGGGAATTCTGACCATAAATTTAACGGTTAATACCAAACAAATAAACAATATGAATTTAGATCTTAGCATCGACAAACCCTCCAACTACAACGGAAGGAGCTTCCGGAAGAGGCTCCAATCACAACGGAAAAGACTCCAACCACAACGACAAAAGCTCCAACCAAAAGCTCCAACCAAAGCTCCAACCACAACATATACCTATTTAATTATTTCTAAGACTATACAGAAGGCGTCGTGCGGAAATGACTAACACATGTATGATGTAAGTAAGATCAACTAAAAATGCTGGCTCGCTCACAGCGACCGAATAACTTCTATATTAGCGGAAGGTGAAATAGATATAGCCAAATTCGGTTTACTATATTTTATGACTAATTATTAGCTTGTTTTTGTAAAATTAAATGCCTCTCTATGCCATGTCATTTAACTAAAAAATATAGAGTTCTTCGAAAATCGTCCAAGCAACAATATTTTTGGGTAATCAATTTTACTTTTATCATCTTAAATTCATCATGTTTTACACGTTTACTAAAAATAATAAAAATAATACAAAACACAAGAATTCTTTAAAAAATATTTTTTTATTTACCTTTGTAAACACAACGCATAAAATTTTTATATTTAAAGAGTTTTTTTTATAAAATTTTTTTATAGATTGCTTTAATTTATATAAATTAATATTTTAGTTTTACCTAAGTATTTTTTAGGGCCACGTTTTAATTTTTATTTTTTTAAATTCTAATAAAATTTTTGCCGTTTTTCGAAACTGATTCCTTTGGGTTCTCTTTTTATCAAGCCGAGCCGTTCAAATATCTTTCAAGCCAAAAGAATCAATCTTTAGGATTTTTTCGGGCCGTTCTCGGAGAGTTTAGACAAAGCTTCGTTGTCTATACTCGGACAGAGTTACTGGGCCTGTCTTTTAAAATGTTTCAAGAATAGAAATTCATCAATCTTGAAAAACTGCTGCCAAAATTTAAAGCAAAATTATAGGCTTGTGAATTTCTCTTATTTACCTATTACTTGTAAAATAAGATGCAAAATGGGCGAAAACTTTTCTAAATTAATCCTCCCTTCAAAATAAAATTTTTATTTTCTTTTTTAGCATGTTTTTTGTTCGTTTGGGTATTTTAATTAATTTATTTTTAATAAATTTTGTAATTACAACGAATATAGATACAACACCTAAATTCACATTTAGCTGTCGGGATGCGCCAAATAAAGCTAAAAGAAAAATGTGCGAGTCTTTATTTAAAGTTAGAAATAATGCTGAGGTGGTTAAAAATTAATTAAAATTTAAATAAATTTAATTTTTTTAATTTTTAGAATGCAAAGTTAGGTAAGTTGAGAGATACTGTAGTTTGAGAGAGGAGTCGCTTCATATTTTAATTAGAGTTGGCCGGTATCAGTATTTTATAATAAAATCGAGATTTTAATAATAATGACCCCATCCCGTATCGGGATTAGGAATGAAAAATCGGTGCGGTATTTACTAAAAAATTTTTAAATTTTTATAAATAAAAATTTAATATATCCCCTCATTTCGTCTTCTCTTTTCTGAATTTGCGACTATCCAATTCAAACATGCTAACAGAATTTAATTATTAAAAAAAACTAAAAATATTAGGACAATCAGAACTTACTTCAATACAGCTTAAATTAATAAACATGACGGGCGATGTACCTAATTTAACAATAAATAATCAAACAATGGAGGAATGTATAACTTTGAGTTGTTGTTGTCCTTTTCTGGGAGGTAAGGAAGTTTAAATTTAAAAATTTAATTTTCGCAACGTTGAATGGTTAGCACTATGCATTTTTGACTTTTTTGTATTTTTGATATTTTACGATTTAATAGGAATATCAAATGGGGAAGTCAACGATTGCACCCTTCCAAATGGCCAGAAATTTCAAAAAGCATATCGTAAAGAATTAAGAATAATGTCCGATGATGAACGAAATAGACTCGTAAATTTTAAATAAATTTAAATTAAAAAATAAATAAAATTCAAGTTTAAATGTATTCGAAAATTAAAAGATTCTGGTGAATATGATGCTTTAGCAAGATTGCATAAAGACGCGTTTGATTCGGGCGGGGCGCATGGGGGGCCTGCTTTTTGTCTTTTTCATAGAGAATTAACTAAAAGGTGTTTTTAGTAAATAATTAAATATTTTTTAAATATTTAAAGATATGAATTAATGATTAGAAAATGTGATCCAGACTTGTATCTCCCTTATTGGGATTCAACACTAGATGGTAGATTACCGCAACCGAAAGATTCGTGTCTTTTTACGGAAAAGGTGGAAAATAAATTGGAATTAATTTAAAATAAAATCAGAATTTTATCAAAAATAAATCAGAATTAATTCTGTTTCAGTTTCTTGGGGGAACGGACCCTTCTACCGATTATGTAATAAATGGCTTTTTTACTCCCTGGCCAACAACGGAGGTACTTTAATTATTTAAATATTCTCAAAATTTAACTATATTATCAGGGAAACCCTTATATTTCACGTTCTGTCGGTCAAATGGGCGGATGTTTTACTGACCAAGAGTTTTGTTTAATTTCTAAAAATTTATTTTTTAAACTTTAAAGTATTGAGGAGGTTTACGAGCAAACAGATATTAGAGATGTTCTCTCATATTCAATGCCTTATGCTTCTTGTAATATTTCCGTAAATTGGGAATGGCTGGAGGTGTGTACATATTAGTTAGTTTCCGTTATAACCATAAACTCAACCTAATGGAGAGGGTTTCCCTGTTACCTTGCCATTTAATTCTCTGTTACAAATAAAAAAAATTTTTATGTGGCCATTAATTTAACTTTTAATTTGGTGGATTTATAACCGTTGAAGTAAATTGAAGGGGTATAATGAGAGATAAGTCTTTCTCCCCCAAAAAGACAATTGAATTGGTTTGTCTTATCGAGATCTTACATATTTTTTCACCTTTTAGTACCGTCATGGCAATGTTCATGGATTTATAGGAGGTGATATGGGAGATGCACGGATATCTGCTAATGATATTTGCTTTTACTTTCTTCACTGCTTTGTTGATTTTGTGAGAGAAAATGACTAAATTTATGATTTTTTAAAAGATTTTTGAGGGATGGCGTTTGAGAAGACAAAATCGACAGCAAAGAGAAACTAAATATCCTCCTGATATTGCTGTAAAAATTTTTTTTATAATTTTCTAAATATTTTAAATAAAGGCATGTGAATCTTCTGCACATTTTAAACATGCAACAATGGCTGAATTTTCCGTAAATTTTATTAAAATATTTATAGTGTTTACGACTTTAAGCCTCTACAAAACATAGACGGACTAAGAAATGATTATACAGACAATATGTATGAATATGCCGACAGGCCAAATTGCTCTCTTGAAATTCCAGATTGTGATTCGATGTGGGGGGACATTTAAAAAATGACTAAAAAATTATTTAAATAATTCTAAAAATTAAAGATATTTATTTTGTGACCTCTCCCATGGAGACCCTCATTGCGCAGCAAAGGCTTGTTTAGGAGGAGATTGTTCTGGATTTATTAAAGGTGCTTTTCTAAACATTTTCCTAATGATCTAGAATATGAAAAAATTATTTTAATTAAATTTTAATAATTTTTAAAATATTTTTTAAGGGGAAGAAGTTTGTTTTGAAAGTGTATGCATTAATAACGTTTGCACAAAAGAGGTGGTAAATAAATTTTGTTTTTGGGTGTGTTTAATTTTTCAAGTTTCAGAATATTACAACAACAACAACAGAAGAATTAAAAGAAACAACACCAGAAGCGCAAACAAACACGGTAAATAAATTCTGGTTTTTCAGAATATTTATTAAAACATTTTCAGAATATTATAACAACAACACCAGAACATCAACCAAACACAAAAACAGAAGAAATTGAAGAGACTAAAACAACAATAGAAACATCCAAAACAACATCCACTCTATTAAATAACACAGAAACAACACTCGATGTTTGCCAAACATGTCAATGTTTATGTACATACAAACAAACATTATTAGTTCCAAAAATAAGAGCAGAAGAAATTTTAGAGATAAAATAGAAAAATTAGGAAATAAATTTAAAAATTTAAAAAGAATTTTTAAAAAAATTCAACAAAAATTTTTTCATAAATTTTCAAAAATTTTGCTTTTTGTTTATTTTTGAAAAATAAAATTTGCTTATTATTTTTTTTTCAAAAATAATTTTAAGACGAACACAATTAAAATTAAAAAAAAACAAGGTAAAAATTGAGGAGCGTGACGGGAGTTAATTGAGGGCATTGTTGACTCCGCGAAAATATTAAAAGTTATTTTGAGGAAAATAAAAATAATTTTATTAAAAATAAAAAGTGTTTTTTGGTCGAAATTAAAAAATTTTTTCCTTTACAAATTTATAATAAATATGTCCTTATTCTCCAAAAATTGCCGGCTTGTTCCAACAAAATTTTTTATTAGGACCCGATTCTTTAATTTTATTCCTCATTTTAGTCCTCTATTGTAGGCTTTTTTATTTTCAATTTTTAAGTTGACTGTCAGCTTGATTGAGTACTTAACTAAACAATATTTTTTATCCCCTAAAGTGTACGTACAATTGAGATCCAACTGTATTACTTCTTACTGATTTGGCCTCGAGAGAGGTGTACTTTAACGATATTTAAATGTATAAATGAAAATTTAATTATCAGAAATAATTTATTAAAAATTAAAAATCATAAAAAATGGCAAAATTAATTAGTAAACTATTAAAAATAATCATTTTTTAGTATCGTCATAACTTGATTAATTAAATAATTACAATTTTAATATTTTTTAAAATAATTTTTGAAAGAGTGCATTTAAACAAATTAATTTCTTTGATAGAAAGTACAAAAAAAGTTTTTTGCATTTTTTAATCAAAAACTTAAATTTACACAATTCGCTCAATTCCTTCTCTACCTACCTTCATTAAATATACATATTATTAATTTTAGCATTACTCAACAAAATTTTTTTCATTTTTTAAACCTGTTTTTAAAGAAATGGAACACATTTTACAGAGTAATTTTGTTGTTCAAATGACTGTCTCCAAAATAATCAAGAAGAAGAAAAAATTATTATTGGGGGAATAACAAAACAGAAATTTTATGTAAAATACCCTTCTCTCGTCATTTTTTCACTTTCTCTCGTACTTTGCTTGATTTTAAATTTAAAAATATGAAAATAACTAGATTTTTAATGAATTTAAAATTAAATCAGAAATTTTAATTAAATCAGAAAAATGGATGTTTCAGAATTGCGGTGTCAAGCTCGAAGCCATATTTTGAAGCATAACTTTTTTAATTTCTAACCGATTTAAATAAGCTTTATATCAATCAAAAGCTCTGAATATAAGGATTATTTTATCAAGCAATATTGATTTGATCAGATAATTCTACAAAAAGTTGTAGCCGGATAACTATCAAAAATCACGATTGCGCACACTTATCTAGAAATAACTTTTATAGCATAAACTGATAAAATTAATCCTTTAAGAAAATTAATCCAGACATCCATTTCTTTCGATTGATATGATAATTATTTAAATCAGTCAAGGATAAAAAAAAGTTATGTCACAAAATATAGCTTTATAAAATTATGATTTAAAAGTGCCACATTTTCATAATTCTGATTTTAATTTTGAAAAAAATATTTAATTAAGAAAAAAATAAAAATAATGGGTATTCTAAACCCTTGTTGTGTTTTAAAATATTTATTAGTTGCTATTGCAACTTTTCCTTCATTTATAAATGCGCAGATGGATTGTTCAGCAGCGCCGACTTCTGCCCTTAGAATTGTTTGTGAACAATTGCATCGGTGGGATAAAAATGCTAGGGTAATTTATTTAAATTTTAAGACGATTAATTTAAAAAATAATTGAAGGAAGCCCCAGCAGTTACTACTTCAATTCCTCTCCCTCCAGCCATTCCTGGACTTCCAGGTAATATTATTAAAATTATTTTAAAATTGAACCACAAAATATCCCCTCAACCGTAATAACTTGACATAATTAAGCACCCTTGCTTGCAGCCGAACTTGCACCAGTTGCTTCAACACCCTATCAGTGTATGGATATTGGTTGTCTTTGTAATTATTTAGGAGGTAGGTATTTTAAAAATAATTTAAAGAAATATTTCTAATAAAAAATAAAGGAAATGGCCAGACTGGAACAAATACATGTTCATTAGCGACTGTAAGAAAATCAGTTCGTAAAGAATATAGAATGTTGAGTGATGATGAGAGAGCTCGTTTTGTTAGTTTTTATTTACATATATTTAATTAAAATATAAAAATTCTTTAACAGCATGCAGCTCTAAAAGCAATTAAAGCAAGTGGAGAATATGATAGAATAGCCACAATTCATTCACAATTTGCTACAGCCGGGAGTGCCCACAGCGGGCCAGGATTTTTACCTTGGCATAGAGAATTTGTCAAAAGATTTGAAATAGCTCTCAAACAAGTTGACCCTCGAGTATCACTTCCATATTGGGATTCGACGTTGGATGGTATTTTGCCGGCTCCTAAAGATTCTGTGATGTTTTCTAATGACGTGGGAAATTCTAAAAATAATTTTAAATTTTATTTGTAATTTTTTGAAGTTTATGGGAACGACTGATGCTGCCGGAAATTTAATTGGAGGAGATTTTGGTGGATGGCGGACACTTACTGTGAGTTTAGTTTTCATTCATGCCGATGTACGGGGCAGTAGGTGGGAGAGGAAATCCACTCGTAAATAGGCCAAAGAAAAAAACCGGACTCATAAATTAACTGATAGACTCTAATAATTTATAGGGACGTGCAAATGTTCTTAGACGTGTTGGTGCTGATGGAAATTGTTTTCGTGAAAGAGAGTAAACAAATAAATTAATTTTAATTTAAAATTAAAATAAATTAAAGTATTCAATGGCTTTTACAACAGACTAGTATTGAAATGGTTTTAAGCTTCTCAGCTCCACAGGCTGTATTTTTTAAAGCTTCTTTCTTAATTTTTAAATCAATTTTTAAAGGGATGCACAGCATCTACTAGTTTCGACGCTTTAGAGGTGTTTTATTAAATGTTTAATATTTTTTGAGAATAGGAGAGGGAGACTGATTGTTATAAAGTAGGATTGTTATAAAGTAGGATTGAGAAAAACATTGGATATTCGGAATCGAACTGACAACCATGATGATGGGCACTATAAACCATAAATAGCCAGTAAGCAGAAGCATGGTACTGAATAAGAATCAGTGGTAGTCTTTTCCAATTTTTGGGTTTAGTTTGTCCGTAAATACTTGCCCGCAAATACCGCTCCAAAATAATCTTAATATTTAAAATATTTCTGTAGTATACACACGGCAACGTTCACATTTTTATTGGAGGTGATATGAATGATCAGTCAACCTCTGCCAACGATCCAATATTTTGGGTTCATCACGGTTTTGTGGATATGGTTGATTAAATTATAAAACTAGATTTAAAAATATTTTAAAGATTTGGGAATTATGGAGGTTAAGTAGACAACAGAAAGGTGAACGTGAAACAAGTTACCCTATGGACCAGGCGGTAATGCAAAAAAGGATTATAAATTTACAAAAAATTATTATTAAAGCAATGTGCAGCTCCTCAACACTTCGCTTCTGCTAGAATGCGACCTTTTGAAGTAAAAAGAATTTAAAAAAATAAATTTTTGGGGATAATGTAGAATGAGGGGCTATTGTTTTGCGGAAGCCCTCTGTGTTTAAAAAGACCATCTATAGTTTTTAATCCACAAGTTTTTTACAGGCTTGGAATCCTACCAGCAATTAAAATAAATTCACAATTTCGTTAATCGTATCGACGGGATCCCGCTACGGACTACCTCCCTTTACAAACCACACATTCCCCTTAAGAATGAGGAGGAAACCTAAAGATCCCCTTAATATTTACAAAAGCGCCAATTTTTTAGCTATTTTTAAAATTAAGCCATGGAACAACATTGACGGTCTAAGCAATAAATACACGGATAACATGTATGAATATGCTCCACGTCCTACATGTGCAATGGGACCTAACTGTGGATCTAAGTTGGATGGATACTAATAAAAGTGGATTTTAAAAATAATTCTTTAAAGATGGCTCTTCTGCGATAAATCTCGTCAAGCTGGTCGGTGTGGTGCAAAAATAAAAATTGGAGGAAATTGTCAAGGATATACCGGAGGGGAAGATGTTTGTGCACATGGGGAATGCCAAGGAGGAATATGCGTGCAAACTACTGTAAAACATTTTTTTAATAAAAATAATTTTTTGGGCTAGATAAAATAAAATAACAAATAACTTTTAATTGTTAAAATAATTAAGATATAAAAATAATTTAAGAATCAATTATTGTAAATACCCACATAGAACACAAAGCCCTATTAGAACCTATTTAAAAATAAATTCAAGACTTGATAAAATTTCACATAAGATATCCCACCCCTTGTATATACCTCGGTAGAGTATATATCAAGGGATTGGGGGATATCAAGAGAGATATCAAGGGATTTAGATTGATAGAGAGAGATTTGAATTAAGTAGGATTGGGTAGATTATGAGGAATATATAGGGATTAACTAATTTTCTCTAAAATATTTTCAATTCTTATAGCAAACAACAACAACACAAAAGCCCATTACCGCCCCAACTCAAGCACCTCTTAAACCAGTCCATGTAAATTAATTTTCTAAATTTTACTAAATTAAAATTAAAAGATTGCTTGTTATAACGAACACGAATGTTGTTCTGTTTGGGCGGGTAAAGGAGAATGCCAGAGAAATCCAACTTATATGAATGCTTGGTGTAAAGCTAGTTGCAGACAAGTAAAAATTAAATAGAAATTTTTTAAAATTTATTTTCTCAGTGCCAACCTGATTATAATATTGGATTGGGTGTGTTTATTTTTTAAATCTTATTTTAGATATCTTTTTCAAATAATATTGGGAAGTTTTATAAGTCCAAAAGATTTTGAAGATTGTATCAGCCAAAAATCTTGATCCAGTAAAAAATGCTCAGGGTCTTTTAGTTGTAACAGTTAATTTGGCTCGGATTTCGAACTAAATGGGGGTTTAAAATTCATTAAAAGTGAAGGCAAACAAGAGTGCCCAAGTAGCCCAAAAAGGGTGCCCAGTCTCCTCATCCATATTTCTTTCATAATCAGCACATTAATAGTCCTCTCATTCTTATAAACAATTAATATTCTAAATAATTTAAAGAATGCGGTGATCGACACAAAAATTGCCGACAATGGTCTGGAATAGGAGAGTGTCAACGCAACCAATTTTGGATGGTTAAAATCTGGAAAATCAAAGTTTTTAATTTAAAATAATTTTAGACAGAGAATTGTCGACAAGCCTGTGGAAAATGCCAAGTTTCGAGAGCTCAAGTTTGTAGTGGAGGACAGGGAAGCAAAACAAACCAAAGTGGGGGATTTGATTAAATTATTTTTTAGAAATAAATTTATAGACAGAGTAACACAAGCTCCACCACAACAAGCAAAATGTCAATCCCCTGGATGTTTTAACGAAAATATTTGTTGTCAAGTAAATTTCAAATTAAATAATTTTGATAAAATAGGATGGCTTTTTTAGGTGGATTAATAGGTCCGCAAAGAAAATATACATATGTTTAAAAAGCCACCAAACAAACTGATGTTAGGGTTAATAATGAAAAAAAAAATCATACCGGGCATATTAGATGGGCATCTTTATCCTCCGAGTACCTAACCAAAAATATCGGATACATAGAGGAAACAAAAACTCCGATTAACATACCTAAGCATTGTTTAAATCGAAATTTTTCAGTTGTGGGGAGCAATGGGAGAATGTCGCAAAAACCAAGCTTGGATGACTTGTAATTGTCGAGTAGCTTGTGGAATGTGTTATTCCGAAGATTATGATTATGGAAGTGATTAGATTTAACAAAAAATTTTTTAATTAAAAAAATAGCTTGTAGCGATTACCACAATCAATGCGGACAATGGGCATCGCAAGGAGAATGTAATAAAAATGGGTGGATGTTGGAAAATTGCAAAAGTAGTTGTAATACTTGTGTTTCTTTCTTTCAACTTAGACAAGTAATTTTAAAAAATTTGATAAATTTTAATTAATTGAATCTAGCTTTGCCGCGGTGCGCGTTCTGGACGCAAGAAGCGGGGCAATGAAGTCTCTTCTCTAGGTTTTCCTCCTTCTATTGAGGTGGACAATGTTAGCTTTTCGAGGATTGTGGTAATTTTAACTTTATTATTCTGATGAGAATGGTGTTAAGTTTAGCTTAGTCTGAAGGGAACACAGGAGCTAGTCTTAAAGGCACATAGGGGGTAGTCTGAAGGGAACATAGTTGGTAGTCTGAAGGGAACATATGGGGTAGCTGAAGCGAACATAGAGGTAATCTGAAGGGAACATGGGAGATAGTGTGTATGGAACATGAGGGGTACTTATAGTGAGGTTTAACGATAATTTTTCAACAAAATTCTATTTTTTATTAAAGCGTGAAACAAATTCACGACAAGCCAAACAAAGTAACGACAAAGACGATCACGCAGAAAGAATGATAAAAACAGCTTCAAAATTGCCAGAAAGTAGTGGTATGCCATCAACAGTTGCATGAATATTTAAATTAAAAATAAATTTTTAATTTAATTGAAAACCCGGTTAAACAGAAAATTTTTTTCTAATTATAAATACATATAATTTTATAAATGCCATAAATTTTTAAATTAAATTTTTGTTTCTGTTAATTTAAAGAATTAAAGTTCCGCTGTAAATAACTCCTTTTAATAATTCAAATATAAAGTCCCCCAAACTTTTATTTTATTTAGAATTACATATGTAAATGTTAAAAAAAGATAGTCTCTTTGAGAAATTTATTGTTCTTTATCGTTCTTCAAGGATCCTGCCGACTAGGGTTCCCTATCGGGATTTTATGTCAGCTAGATCCCTGTTATATATCAAACCCCAATTCCTTATTTTCGAAAATGGGGACCTATCTCTTTAACTAATCTCTAGAACCTAACGATACCGCTCTCAACCCGAGTTTTTGGCCCAAAACTTTTCGATAATTTAGAATTTTCGGGAATAAATAAAATTTTCGCATCTCATCAGAGGCAACTTGTAATTACGGCCATAAAAAATAATTAATGAAGACCCAAAAAATTATTTAAATTAAAACCCCAAAAATAAAATATTAAATTAATTTTTGCATTTATTCTTTGGCTTTCCTCCAAATAAGCGTCGTAAATATTCTTTTATTTTTTCACTCGGGCTCAAGTTGTATGGATTACAAGGGGTAGTGTTTTGCACCTTTTTAGTTGTTGGAGTCGATTTTCTTTCGATTGGATTTGGACCCGTTATTTTAGAGAAGGCTGTGGCAGTACTTGGAAGGGGTGTAGTGTCAATTGGAGCAACATTTGGAAGATCTTTTTTCATTTCCCCAGGGACAGTTATTGGCAGTGGATTTGATGTTGATGATGGAGATTTTGAAAAGTGTCTTGGAGAGTTGGGAGGTTCCAAGGCTTTTGGTGTTGTTATTGGTGAGAAGTCTGGTTCTTTTTTTGTCTCAGATTCAGCCGTTTTTGTAGACTCCATGTTGACAGTAGTGGGTAAAGCAAGAGTGGTCGTTTCTACTGGCATTTTAATTGTGGAAGTAGGTAAAGGTGTTGTTGTGGGTAAGGGTGTTGTTGTTGGTAAGGGGGTTGTCGTGGGTAAAGGTGTTGTTGTGGGTAAGGGTGTTGTCGTCTAAAATTTGCAATTTCTTTCAAAAAACTTTTTTTAGTCCAAACCGGTACATAAACGCAAACATCATTAACACAAGTTCCATTCCAACAAACATCCGTCCCTGGAGGGAATCCTTTACAATTTCCACCGAGTTTTACCTTTGACGCGCAATAAGGTTTGCCTTTTGAACGATCACAGAACATATATCTACATAGTTTATAAATGATTTTAAACACTCATTCTCGTTATGACGTTATTTCAAGGAAGTTATTTAATGGAGAAGGATGTAAATTCAATTTAGAGGTCGTATTTAAAAATAGATTTAGAGCGATATACCGAAGGAGTTAATCTGTAGGGAAAATTCGAGGTAATTTGTAAGGAATATTAGAGGAAATCTTAAGGGAAGACACGGGTGTCCGAAGAGAGCATTTGAGGTAATTCGAAGCTGAAAGGAACATAGGCGGTGTCTCAAAAAGAAAAGGAGAGTCTGAATGGAATATAAGAAAGCTCTTCTCAAATTTATATCTCCTACGTTGATGAACATTCTGTGGTAGCATTACAAGTATAAACACTTCTATCTTCATATTCATACATATTGTCATTATATTCATTTTTTAGCCCATCACAATTTAATAAAGGCTTAAAACAAAAAATTTTTTAATAAATAAAAATTCCAATTCTCTACTTCCATTAAATACATTGACGAATTTCTGTATTGGTCAACAGGGCAACAATCAGGGTTATCTTTGGGATATTCAGTACAACGTTGTTCTCTAGTTTGGTGCATATAACGCCATTTCTCAAATATCTGTTTAAAAATTGTATTTAATAAAAATGAAAACACCCCCACTATAGTAGTCTACACTCTTTTAAACAAACAGGTGTAACCTAAGCGAGGTTTAACTACCGTATTTCCTTGAATAATTACCCTGAGTAATTTTTGTCCCATCCTCTAGCAAGAAGGGTAATTAATCAAGGCAGAACAATTGATGGAGGTTATACGGGGTATAATTTTTCGCAGCCAAGAGTGTATATTCTGTGAGGTTCAACTGTTTAGTCCACAAATAATTCACAAATTAAGGTCTTACCAAATTCAGAAAGTTATGGAAAGTAAAAAAGGCGCAAGAATCCTGAGCCGATAACGCTGTGTCAAACATAAGTCCGCCAAAATAAGTGTGTGTTTTTCCGTGAACAAACTTGAAAAAAATGTTTTAAATTTAGAAAGAAGTATTTAAATACTTCTGGCCATTTATTGGTTATTTCACAAGGACATTTATCACCAGGAACTGTATATGTCATTATACTATCAAGCTTTGTCTGACCAAGAATCCATTGAACACTAAAAATTGTTTAAATATGTGGAAATGATTAAATTTAGCGGACACTATGAAGATACATATGTTGTTTGTGCAGTTAGAATCTTATATTCTTATTGTTACGTCTTAAGTAACATGTAGTATAGGCTGATACTCTTCGTACGCCTATACCATTCGTACGAGAGTGTAGGCTGAAGAGAACATGTCCCGTTCGGATTGTGATGATATAAAGAATATGTTCTTACACTTAGACCGAATAAGAGGGATAAGCGGAGATCTAAAAAGAGATAAAAAAAATTCCTTACTCATCTTCATTCATTAATCTTCCACCTTCTTTACCAACATTTCTTGTAATATAAGGGTCGCCCTAAATTTTAATAATTTAAAAAATAATTAAACTTAAAATCACTTGAAGTGTTTTAAAATTTGCACAAGGTCCATCAATTACATTACCATTTCCATCTGTACTACCTATGAACTGAAATTAAAAATATTTAGTTTATTGGAAAAATAATTACTTTAGGTAATTATTTTCTAAATTTTCATTGGGAAGAGGTATTTATTTAATCGAGAAAATCTGTTCAGCTTGAGGAGGAAGGCAAAAATAACAAAAGGGGATTTAACAAGTTGAGTGTTTTGGGAATTTAATTCAAATATCCCTCAATTACAGTCAATTCTACCCTCTCTAAATTTAAGGAAGGGAGAACAACGGCTAGCATATAAAATGCGCTTGCTGCGTGTTTTATAGATAAAGGCCTAGCAAAATCTGGAAGGAATTAAACGTGGTTAATCTAATACCTTTCTCTCTTACTACAAATAAAATCCTCAAAAAAATTACCTCTTTAGTAAAAAGAATAGAATCTGCCGGATTTGGCAAGCGAGCATCCAAAGTAACATCCATGTAAGGCATACTAATATTTGGGTTTATTTTACGCAAAATTATTTCGGCTCTTTTAAGAAATTCTCTATGAACAACGAAAAAGGATGTACATCCATGCCACTTTCCAGCTTCAAAAGCATCTTTGTGTAATCTTGCCAGATAGTCAAATTCCCCATTCTTTTTCATTTCTGCAATTGCAGCAAACTTGAAAATTTTTAAAAATTATTTTTTTGAAAAAAAATTCTTCTGATTCTATCTAAACGGACATAATCTTAACAATTTATGTTATTTTCTCCAATTGAGCGGCGTCTTTATTTGAACGCCGGTACCCTTTTAAGAATGGATTGAAATATAAATTGTCCGCACGTTCAATTGGAGAAAATGCGGTAACTCAATTTTAAGAGCATTTGTTTACGGATGGAAAAAACTCGAACCCCGAAAAGACTCGAATGATCCGACTAAATAAAAATAAAAGTTTGAAATGAATCTGAAAAGTTGTTTGAAGTTATCCATGCAACAATAAATTAATTAATAAAATTACTGTATCCATTTTTTCCTGATCTGTTAACATTCTCCATTCTTTGCGTTTTGCTTTTTTAAGTTTTTGGCCATTTGAAAGGGTACAATCATTAGTTGCTCGATTACTTGATTTGCCTAAAAATACGTGATTTTAAAATGTTAATATTTCAAAAATCAAAATTACCCCCATAATACTGACAAATACAGCCTAAAGACATACAAGCCAATTCATATCTTGGTGTATAAGATATTCTCATTTTCGTTCTAAGTTTTGGGTTCTTCGGTTTCTAAAAATAAATATGCAAATTAAAAAAAAATTTAATAAAAAAATTTTTTTACATTTTCTTCCTCTCGATTTCCATGGACCTTTTTACAGTAATTAAAAGCAGTTTTGTCATCCTTGAGTTTATCGCAAACATCGGAAGTGGAAATGTTTATAATTGTTATGATAATTAATAAAATAAATAAAATTGTGGAAATGGGAGGCATTTAAAATTAAATATTGAGTTAAAGACTAAAAATATTTTTTAAAAATTTATGCTTTATTAATTATGTAGTCTTGATTTGTAGGGATTGAAGAATTTTGTGGTTATATTAGAGACTGTATACAATTAGAAATACGAATTAAGGATGGGATGAAGTCCTCAGAATTCCGTTTTCTTTAGTTTTCCTCCTCACTTTCTGTCTGCTGCTTTTTAAAGCGGTAGGGCATTCCCTATGTGAATCTAAGAAAAACTACAGTATTTTCCTACAAAGCAATCTTTATGAGTGGCTGAAAAAGCTATAGAGGTAGTTGTTGAGAGTCCACAGGAAACAGAGACGATGAAGAGATCGTAATTGTCCATGGAGACAATTACGATCTCAAGGGGGGTGAATACATAGGGAGGATTTGTTGAGCAGCTAGCATTAAAGAATTGAAAAATATTTGTAATGATTTATTTGAAATAAATTTCTAACCAATTTAAAAAACATAATAAATTTAAAAAATAGAAAGAGTTAGCTTTCTAAATTTTCTGAATGCAAAAAAATAAAACTTCCCCTAAGCTTTATCCATCAGTTAAGCCACCTTTTTCCACGTGTTTTTAATTTTATATATTTGGCAATTGACGTATATACCTTTTAGAATAAACGCTTAATGCTTTAAATAAAATTAAAATAAAAAATAATTCAAATAAAAAATTTAATACGTTGCAGCATTAGGGTATTGCTGTTAATTCGTAGGGTATTGCTTAAACATATTTAAATTTTTAGAAAAACTTTTTGCCCAATTTAGCTCGGCCACGTTTGAATTTTTTTAATTTTATTTTAATTTTTATTGGATTTTTATTTCAAGTTTAAAATATTATAAATCGTTTTTAATTTAATTGACGTAATAAACTTAAATAAAATTAATAAAAATTTGTTTCCTAGAAGTTAATACATTGTAAATTTAATTTAATCATTTTTATAAAATCTTACTTTATGAGTGCTAATAAGGAGAGAGGGAGAGTGAATCCGTAGGGTCAGAGGTGGGGCTTTAGGTATCCATAGGGAGATTCAGGAGAAGATTCTGAGGGCAGATCCTGGGAAGATCTCCAATCAAGAAGTAAAAGAAAAAATTAAAAGTGGAGATAAATGCGCTAATTACATAATCTGCCTCAAGTAAATTTAAATATTTCGAGCCAATTTGGAAAGCTTTATTTATAAACCCCCACCAATTTAAATAAATAAAAATTGTGAGCTTTAAAAATTTGATAAAAATAAAAACTTTTCTCGAAGCTTTTATCTACTAAAGATAAACCTTTTTTGTCCACATGTTTTTATATAAATTTAGCATTTGACATTCACCTTTTAAAATAAAAACTTAATATTTTAATAGACTTAAAGCAATGTTTTCGTAAGCTTACGTTCAGAGTTCTCTAATTATTTATCTCTGGTAAAATTTAGTATAAAAATTTTTCTTCAATTATGCCTCTGCCACGTTATAAAAAAGAACGGTTTGAAGACAATGTCAAAATGACTAATACGGTTAATAATACGGTTAATATCGATATCGAGCGGTCATGTCAATATCGACCAATCTCGATATCGTTTTTTCCTGAAATATCGATATCGTTCTACTCTAATATAAACTATAAATTGGTTACACCCCAACGTACCGTCGAGCTATAACATTATTCAAAATTATCGAATCCGGGTCAGCTCGTTGAGTTATAGCTCGCTCTATTTCCATTTCGTTTCAAATTTTTTAAAATTTATTTGTAGTAAATAACTATTATTTAAGATAAAGCACCTGGGCTATAGCTATTTCTCTCCTTTAGCTAGTGCAAAAGGTTATTCGGCGGCTGGGAGCAAACCAGCATCTTCAGTAGACCGGACTGATGTGTTAGCCATTACAACACGCCGCCTACTGCATAGCCTTAGGAAATTAATAGCTATATGCTTTACAATAAGAACAGGTGTATTAATTTTCTATGTTGACTTTTAGGTGGTCTTATAGTTTTCTGACACTATATTTAACTCTGAATACGCCATTAGTGATGTCCAAGACCGAAAATTCTTATGATTCAAGACAGGGAGACGTCTCTACGGTCCATGGGGAAGGGATCTGTTTTGTATTACTACACAAAATTTATTACTTAAAAATTAATTTTTAATTTAAAATTCTTCAATTTATTGCAATTATGAATCTATGGAAAAAGGTGGGCATACAGATAGGATATAGAGAGGGATAGATATAGAGAGCGTAGTCTAATGAGAGAACTACGCTGAAGGGAGTAGTTTGAGGAAAGCCTGTAAGGAACAAATTAGGCAGTTAGTCTTTTAATAATAATAGAGGATAAATGAAAGCAATATAAATTAAATAAAGTAAATATTATAGAAAATTTGTAAATAATATATATCAACTATACATTTTCTTTATTTTTTCCCATTAACTTCACTCTTCTGAGGGCCAATTATAATCATCAAAAAATCCTTCATTTGATTGTTTAGATTTAGACTAAATTTCAGGTTGGAAGGACCATCTTCAGAATTTTGGAGGGGTTTGTCAGCTAAAGGAGGAGTTGTTGGGATGGTTGGTTTGGGAGTTGTAAGCGATTTTTTATTAGCTATGGATGGAGACTTTTTTTGTTTTTTTGTAATTAGTGAATGTTTTTTTAGTTTTTTAATTTTTGTTTTTGATGGCATTTTTGTTGTTGTAGGTAAGTATGATAAAGATTTTGAAGGAATTTTGGGTTCTTGTGGAATTTTTTCCGTTGATTTAGTAACTTTACCATCATCTATTAATGAAGGATTGTTTAGTTTATTAGGGTCAGACTTTGTGAATTCCTCTGATTTAGTTGGCATAGATGTTGTAATTGATCCTTGATTAGATACAAAAGTTGTAGCTTCTTTCACAATTTTTTCTTTAGCTGAATCAATCGTTGTTTTTGGTAGTTTATAAAGTTCAGACGTTGCAAATTCATTCGTTGGAGCAAGTGTTTCAGCGACTTTCGGCTTTTTCGTCGTCAAATTTGAAGCAATCTTATCCTTTCCAACAATCACGTCATCATGCACAATTTTACCAGGAAGTGTAATTTTATTTGTTTCAAGTTCAGCCGTCTTAGAAACCTCAGCTTCACTTGCTGATAGTGTTGTGGTGCTCTATAAATTTAATTTGGTCTAAAATATTTGCAAATCCCTAACCGGTAAGGCAACACAAATATTGTTAATACATGTACTGTTGTAACAGACATCCGCGTCTGTAAAATTTATAATGAACATTGGAAATTAGTCTATACATAGTCTACTTTCTATTAGAGACGTGTGGCCCGAAAAGAAGGTCAGAAAAGAATACACGAAAGCAAGATTAGTACTGCACGCCAAGACCATGCTTGACCTCTAGAAAACCAAAGCCGAAATCTCGCACGTCTCTCTTTACCTCCATATGCCCTCCCTGGCTGAAGGGAGCATGTGAACCAGACAGGACTTAGTCTGTAGGGAATACAAGGGCTCTCAAGGGCTGTAGGAAACCCAAGAGAAGTCTGTAAGGGGCATATATCTTCATTAATACAATATGTTTGTCTTTGTTAACTTGCCATTAGAAAATCCGCCGCAGTGTCCTCCTAAACGAGCCTTTGAAACACATATGGGAGCATCATTAGAACGATCACAAAACACAAATCTATCATTTAGAAAATTAATTTTTAAATTTAACTTATTCCCTACTCTGATTCACAGTCTTTAGTAGGAGTACAAGTAAGTCTATCTGCATATTTATACATATTGTCAGTATATTCATTTCTTAATCCATCGATATTTTTTAAATTCTTAAATATATTCAATAATTTTATTCATTTAAATAATTTACAGGAAATTGTGTCATTGTCGCATTTCTAGAATGACAGGCTGGTGAACAAGCCTACAAAATTTAAATTAATTTTATAAAATTATTAATAACATACAGGGAGATTTTCGGGATAATCATTGACACGTTGTGTTCTGTTTTGTTTTGTCTGACGCCATTCTTCAAATACCTTTAGAAATGTTTTATAAATTAAATAATGTTGGCAAAATAATTTTGATGATTAAAAATAGAAACCGGACCGAGAAAAAGATTTCGAACAAAACCGACTTCACCATATACTACTTGGTCCCTTAACACGGCGTAGTGACAGAAGACCCACAGACAGAAGACCCAAGGACAGAAGACCCACAGACAAAAGACCCACAAGAAAAATTTTTAACCAAAACTTTAGCCGTCTATTTTTCTAGGCACAAAAAAATATTTTTAAAATATTAAAAAAATTTTATTCCAAAGTTAATAAATAAAATTTGATTAATGAAAAAGTGGATTGAAGAGCGGGTGATTAATTGGGATATGTTGGTTTAGCGTGGGATTTGGAGAATATAGGGGTAAAACTAAAATCTCAGATCCACCGATGTCTATTCTTACCCTTAAATCGTTTATAACACGAACCGGGAGAAGTAATACTCCGATATCTCTCTCAAACAGAAAATCGGATATGTCAGGGGATTTAAAGAGGAGTAAACGGATTTAAACCTTTTAAGCTTTTATAATTCTACTAATCCGCTTTTATCAACCGATATCCCTCCATCTTACTCAGAAATAATTACCTAATCTCTGCTAATACCAATGATCCACGACATCCCTCCATGTGGACTTAACTGACTCTCGCTATGATCCAGTTAATCTTAAATACCCCTTGATACTAAATGTCCCTTTGATCTATGTATAATCTAAATGTCCCCTAATCTATCGCAGACAAAAATTTTGGGAATTATGAAAGGGCAAGAAGCAAGGTTTCTACTTTTTTAGCAATATAGGTGTAAATTCTTTGAATTTTGGAAGGCCAGTTAGCTATTTTTCTACCATTTTTATTTCTGAATCTAATCGGATTATGTTTTTTGACACGACCTGGACAATATTAAAAATCCCGAAAATCAGGGAAATCAAGATACCCCTTCGTTAAACAAGCTCCCCGGTCATTGGGACAAGATTCCCAACGTTGGAACAACTTCACCCGTTTTTGCAACAACATCCCACATTGTTAAAATAACATCCCCGTTGTTGGAACAACGTCCAGATTATTGAAACGACCTTCGCTAATATCGAAACAGCTTTTCCCGTTGTTGGATCAACCTCTTATCGTGGAAAACTAATAAAATTAACAAATCCCTCGCGCTAAAATTTATGCACAATAAAACTGAAAAATAGTTGTGGGTCTTTTGTCTGTGGGTATTCTGTCCTTGTGGGTCTTCTGTCTGTGGGTCTTCTGTCCGTGGGTCTTCTGTCTGTGGGTATTCTGTCTGTGGGTCTTCTGCGTCGACCCGCCTTAACACATCTTTTTAAGCCCTTAAGGTTTTTCAAATTTAAGGGGCCTATATCTCTGTGAGTTTTCGTCTCCGGAAACATATTTGAATCAATTAATATATATTTCGAATCTAGATCTCGGGTCCAATGTACTATAGTACAGCCCGGAATTATATCCATTTGACTATCATTTTTCTGAGATATCTATATTTTTCTGAGATATCTATCTCAATGCTTGTATGACACTCCCAGTTCGGTCTCTAATTAAAAGATGCACATGTTGTAGATACATGTGAGAGAGAATAAATTTGTGAGCCCCATTTAACAGACCCCTAATTAAAAATATGTATTTATTTACTGAATCAACAAAACAATGAAACAGAGGAAAGAGAATTTCATTAGCAGATGTTTCTAGATATGACATATCTCCACCAACACATTTATGCGTTCTTGCATGAGTATACTTCAAATAAAATAATAAATTTGATTTAGAAAATTTTGATTTCACATCCCTGTTCTCTTTACACTCATTGCTTGATCTTTTCACACTAGGGATGGAACGCTATCCATGAGGAAGAAAATTCACCATAGAACTCCCTTCCTCAGGGAAAGCTGAGGGGCCTCAGTCCGCGTTCCTCGCAACCCCATCATTCGTAAAATCGGTCCCCGTCCTTTTACGTAAAATCGGTCGTAAAATTAGTCCCCGCCTGTAATTTCAACTTACGCTACCTTCATTGCTCGTTTCTGGCCTAGCTTCTTTGGCCCTACAATCTCATTTAAAAATTACCTCAAGCCATTCCCAATTTACACTGTAAGGACAACCCTTATCCGGATACATATAAGCAAGTACATTATCTACGTTTGTTTGTGAAAGTGTCCAATCAACGCTGAATTAATTTAAAATATATTTTAAAAATTATATATTTACTCACTCATATTCAGTTGTGCATCTACTTATAACTCCGACTTCCCTTGAAATATATTTATTCCCCTGAAAATTAATGTCTTAAAAACTTTGTTTGGAAAATAACCTCGAGAGTTTTCCAAGGTGCAAAGAATCCTGTAGTCACATAGCCTTCATTATTTGTTGTACCGAAAAACTGATAATAAATGATAGGTTATTCTAGTCAAATTTAATAGCAATTATAATAGTATGTACTTAAAAATATTCAATAAGCAATATTTAGTATATTCGAAGCTTGTATAAGACTAATCATGTTCCTCACAGCCTAGAAACCGAAAAGTCTTATACGACAGTCCCAGTCCAGTCTTAAATACAGCCTACTTCGGTAAATGTCCAGCTCGAGGGGCACATGTCCGCAAAAGCCAAAAAATGTATTTTTCTGCATTCAACAGCTTCCCTCTCTCCTTTATGAATACAGAGTAAGAGATCTTTATTATTTGCGCCAAACTGTCAACCTACCATTTGATTACCTAAGGCAAATTAAAGAAGAGAGAAGGATGTTGAATGAATGTGCCTTTCGAGCTGGACCTTTACCGCCTACTTCTATACCTGATCAGTGAAGAGAATCGAATCTCTTGGATTGTTTAAACGATTATCCAAAGTCGAATCCCAACAAGGCAAAGAAAGTGATGGATCCACTTTTCGAAGCATTATTTCAAATCTTTTTTTAAAATTTAAATTTTAAAATTTAATTTTCAAGCCTTCTAAGCACCTTTTAGTCAATTCCCTGTGCCAACCTGCAAAGGCTTGCCCCCCATGAGCACAACCTGTGGAAACGGCATCTCTGTGAAGTGCAGCAAAATAATCATAATCTCCATTATTTTTCATTTCTCTCAATGCTTTAAACTTTAAACGGATTTTTTTAAATTAAAATTAAATATTTACAAATTTATTTCTCTCTTCTTCTGTTAACAATCTAATTTCTTTACGAAGTGCTTTTTGAACTTTTTGGCCGTTTGGAAGGGTACAATCATTTGTAGAACCATTAGTTTTACCTGAGATTAATTTTTTGAAAATTTTCTTACTGTTATCTTTCAAAATGCCAAATTTCATAATGTTAAAATTTAATTATTTAAAAATCTCAATACCTCCATAATACGAACATACGCAACTTTGGGTGACACACTCCAATTCAGGCCTAGAAAGTACGTCTAAAGATGCAGCTTTTTCTGTTAGTTCACTTATCATTACTTTAATTTAAGATTTAAATTTTAAAAATTTGTTTGAAATTTAAATTGACTAAACATTGACTATGGACATATGTGCATTAACTAAGCTCTGGAGCCGACTCCGGCCAGGAGCTACAGCTTTCGTTTCCCTTTATTCTTTTCGGTCTACTTCTTTTGCCCTTTTAAGACTAGAATATTGTCACCTTCGGATTACCCACATATATTGTTCAACTGTCCCCTATACACTACAATCTAGGCATATCCCCTAGACTATCCTTGCTCCTTACTGATTCTCTCTCTCCCTCTACAGTAAACTGATTTTAAACAACTTCAAAATGTCAACTTTTGTTAATTATTTAAAAATGCTTACATCTTTCCATAAATTCGTTATTATTCTAAAAAATTAACAAAAAATTTAAGTAAATATTTACTCTTAAAACCTGTGGATTTTCTGTTTTTGCAGCAAGCTTTCTTTGTTTTGCTATAGCTGAACATGCACTTACAAGATCATTACTTGGGGCCGTATTACAATCAACTGTTGATTGGGCATAAATATTATTGGCCAAAGAAAAGGTAATTAAGGGTATAAATAATAAAGACATTTTATACAAATTTATGTATGTCCCTAAAAGGGGTTAAAATTTAAAAAAATATTAGCAAATTTAATGAGGGTTTGTCTATAGAATATAAAGTTAAGATAAAATAAATTTTTATAAATTGAGAGGCTAAATTATTTTTATATTGCGTATTTGTATATGCCTCCCATAGTTTTAAAATGGGTTATGCATAAGTAATACCCGCTACAGATCAGGGATGGTTCGTGATGCCGAAGCCCTGGCTCAACTTTATTCTTAACCCATACATCTCTGTTACAGATCATTTAATCTGATTGTTAGATATAACAGTATTAACATATAAATTTACTAAAATAAAATACTAAATCCTGCCTTAATATTCAAGAAAAGACAAGCAATTTTAAAAATAAGCAAAAAAAATATTTTTTAAATTTTTAATAAACAAATTTTTGAAAAATAAAATAATTAATCAATCCAACTCAATTAAATATTCCTCTAAAATATTTTAAATGTTTATTTGAGAATCTGACATATTTGACGTGGTTGTTGCTTGAAGACCGATTTTGGAGAGATTTTATGAGGGAAAAATTTAAAAATTGCTTTCGATTGAAATTTAATTTTTTGCCACGCTACTGACACTTAAGAGAGTGAGGAGAGAGAAGGAGAGATTTTAAAATTATTTTTGAAATTTGCCTTTAAATTTAAAAAAAGCCAAAATTAAAATAAACATTAAATTTAATAAAGACTAGAGATTAAAAATGAATTTCAGATGAATAAAGCAGGAAATATTTTTTTTAAATTAAATAAGGCTGCAAAACATGCCTTTCCAAAAAGAAAATATTTTTCTTTTCTTCCAATAAAATTTATTTCAGATTTTTGGATTGCAAAATTCCTCGTTTTTGGTTCAATTACATTTTAGTTTCAGTGAATGTTCGGCGTTTTTTAAGGTATACCCAAAAAGTTGTTAACGTCTTTAAAATTTTCGAGAAATCGTTCATTAAGTAGAGTTAGGATTTTTAAACAATAAAAATATAGTAGGCACTAAAAACTCCAAAATAGGTACTAAAATTCGAAAAAATGGAAAATAATTTCGCCACCGAACTAGTGTTTTTAACTAATGTTGCTGAAATGCTCATAAATGGTATTTTTACGTCGGTATGAACATTAGGTACTCTGTTCAAATTTCATTTTTCTATACAATTTTTTTAAATAATGGTTGCCTCTCTTCGGTACTTTCAGTAGTCCGTGCCGAACACAAAACAAAAAACAACAACTCTAACCGATAACTCCAGAAATAATCTAATGGTTTGTCCCATGTAAATACAAATTTCTAACCGAAATTAAAGTCTCAAACCCACTGGTATACTGGGGCACAAAATGATTTTAAGCCACAAAAATCCAAATAAATTTTGATTGTACAAAAAAACTAAGACATAATTTCTTTACGAGAAAAATCGAGGTTGGGACGGGGTTGCCAACAGTGCCAAATTTAATATTTTTTATTCTTCTATAAAATTATTTTCAAATATTAAAAAAAGAATAAAAAAATAAAGCTTAAAGATTTAATTTTAAAAATCAAAGATTAAGTTTGTCAATTAAAATTTATTCAAATTAATTTTTGTAAAAATAAAATAATTTTCTAAAATCGAATTTAAATAGGAAATTTCAAAAAATTCTCATAGAAATAAAGTAACAATCGTAAAATAACAAGGCGAATTTTCTATAATCCTATGTGATAAGGCAAATATCAAGTTGATTAGGACATCCTGATTTTCATCATTCTTTTCTTTTACCTACAACCACCTTTTATTGTATTTCTACGTGCGATAATCGTCTACTTTTGCTATTTCAGGGCGTAAAAGTATGATTGATAGAGAGTTGGGAGCAGGGGTGAGCGCATTGCGTTTTGCGTTATTTGCGTTAAATTTTGGCCTTGCGTTGCGTTTTGCGTTTTTTCGATGAAATTAACGCAAAAATACGCAAAAAATATACCCAATCTGAAGACAAAATTAGAGAAATCTAGCTTCTTATCCTTCCAAATTTCTCAAAATTTTCGCCTGCGGCGCAGAAAAAGGAAGAAATCTGGCTACTTAGCCTTCCAAAATTTTTAAAATTTTTGCCTGCGGCGCTAAAATAAAGAAGTATAATGAGTGGTTAAGTGAAAGATCAGTTGTCTAGCATCATTTTAATTTAGTAAACCTGCACCAATTTTATTTATATCCTCTTAATCCTCTTATATCTCTTCAACCCCTGATACCTACTTTATGCCAAAATCCCTGCTATCTTTTTAATCTGAGGGCAAAAATTGGAAGAAATTTAGCTTCTGGATTTCCAAATTTCTCAAAATTTTTGCCTGCGGCGCCAAAAATAGGGGATTAATTACCATGTTTCCATCATGGAGCAGCTCAAAAAATATCTGTTCAGTATCTGGAACTCAGATCTCACGTTTTCTCCAAATCCCCTGATTCCCCGGCATCAATTCATAACTACAGTAGCCCCTTATCCTTCGATATATCCCCAACTTAACCGACATCCTTCGGTAATCACATGGATTTTTTCAAATCTATTGATCCCTCCAAAATACATCCGTACTAACCAGCTACTTTGTTAAACCCCTTGATCCCTGTAAATCGTCTGATATCCTTCATAATCCCTTATACCCCCTATATTACTCCAAATCATTACCCATTCAACTTACATGTATCATAAAATCGAGTAGGACTCCCCAACTTATAGTAATACTTCGATTTTTAACTGAAAATATGGCTAATACTTGATAAAAAAATTTTTTTCCCAATTTTTCGTTCTTGCGTTTTGCGTTTTGCGTTATTTGCGTTAAATTTTGGCCTTGCGTTGCGTTTTGCGTTTTGCGTTTTTTGAGATTGGCTCTTGCGCTCATCCCTGGTTGGGAGTAAAACATGCATATGTATATTTTGCATGCGGATATGCTGAAACGTTCAAAAATGATGTTTTTACTCCGGTGTGAACATTAGGGACCTGGTTCCTATAGCATATTTTTGCATATTTCGGCATTTTATTTCATATTGGTATTCTTGCTTTTAAGAGGGGATATTCTTGCTTAAAAAAAGACAGGGATATTCTTGCTTTTCGATATTTTTAAGATTTGTCAGTGGGTAATCGAGTATTCTTAGTTAAATATATATTCAAATTTTGTTTATTTTAAATTTAAGACCCGACAATTTTGAAAGATCAGTTTATTCTCTATCGATCAGTCTCTCATTTTATAGGTTAAAATTGGTTTTGAAAAAGCTTTACTTCCACCAAATCCTACGACATCTCCTTGATCTCACTTAATCACCCTTAATTATATCCAAAACACAGGATTGAATTATTCATAAATATTCCCTTCAACCCCTCCGATATCCCCTCATCCTTCCTAATCTCATTAAAATATTGGGACTGAACCAAGTATATACGAGAGGGACCGAAGTAGTTTCTCGATTCCGGCTTAATTTACCAGGACCGTATTAATTAAATTAAAAAAATAATTAATATTTATTAAAAAATAAATATTAATAAGGAAATAAAATTAATAAATGAACATATATTTAGTCGAAAAAGATAAAAAACTAATAATTTAGTGCTTAAATAAAAATCACTCACGTCTTGCGAGCGATTCGCTCGCGTCTTAATATAATAAATAATTTTATTTTATATTTTAGGTAGCCGTAGAAATTTTTGATTTAAAAAATGTAATTGACACGTACACTAATAAAAAATTTTGAAGAAAAAAATTTTTGATAACAAAAAAATTAATGAGGAAATAAAATTAATAAATTAATTTATTAAAATAAAATTTATTTTAAATTACCTGAATAAACGAGGCAGTGGCTAGTAGGGCGCGTGGGTGTTAGGGCGTGGGCTTAAAATATTTTAAATTAATTAGTTAAAAATATAAAAATTTTGTAAAGAAAACCCTCTAATATTTTTTAAATTATAGCCAAAAATGGCGTTTTACCAAAAAATGCCTACTTTTTTAAGGTTTATCGACTATACCTCAAAAGGCTTTTGATCGGAAATTCTGAAATTTTTGAAGGAGTTAGTCAAAAATGTTAAAGTAATTTGAGGAAATTTTCAGAAATTTAGTCTGACCACCCCAAACTTTTTTATATTTTAGAATTTCCACGCCGTAATTTTAATATTCCAATTAAATTTAATATATCCACCAACACTTTATAATATTCAATAAAATTTAAAAAAAGGACTTCTTTTAATTTTATTTTAAGAATTTCTAAATTTAAAAATTTGCGTCAATAATTATTTAAATAGCTTTAAATTAAAAAGAGAATCCACGTTTTCAGACATAATTGTTTTAAAATTTTTTAAATATATAAATTTTTCTTAATATAATTTTATTTTATTTTATAGAAAATATTCTTTACCCTTTCCTTTTTTGATTAAATTAAACATGTAGATTCAATTCCTGTTGAAGTTCTGTAAATGTTCAATCCTGTGCGACTCAATTCTTTCGAGTCGGATTGTTATTTAGTATCCCTAATAATTTTGGTTGGAATCCCAATCACAACGAGATCTAGTATACTAAATGTATATGCTAGTTGCTGTCCATAATCAGGGAATAACTAAAAAGCCGCTATCTGGAATGCTGGATGTGACTTCGAGAATTAGATACGGAGTTGGTTTTGGACAGAGCTGAAATCGGAGTCAAGATTTGTAAGTGTCATTAGAACAAAGCCATAAAAACCCGTACCGCCCACTAACCCTCTGACATGTCATGAACCTCGGCAGTATTGGGCAGCTTCTGTCCAGATATCTTCAAAGAAAAGATATAAGTGAAACTAATCCCCGGATCCACTTAAGGCTTAAATCATTCCTTGTTTCAATTCTTTATTATTTAAATACCTACCCCTCTTTCTACCGTAATCCCTTTATTTTTTATATATTTGTAGATGTTGTTTAAAAAACTTGGTCCTTTATCTTTCCTTTTTATTATCTTAAAATGTTTAAACACGGCTTCCGCCCAATCCCCCCAAATTTGCGATAAAGCACCTGACGATGCAATAAAAAATGCTTGTAAAAATATGGCTAATGTAATGGTTAATGTTTCCAATTTTGTTGCTGAAAATCCACGTAAGTTAAAATTTTATTAATTTTATAATTTTTTAAATAATTTTTATTGAAAATTAATCCATTTTTTAGTAACGAAAGGAATGACTCAAGATAGTGCTAGCGATAGGCCTGAACTTAAATGCTTGAATCAAAGCTGTGTTTGTCCATATTATGGAGGTAATTTTTATTTATGATGATTTTTATCTACATTCTGAAATTTGCTATTTTGAAAGATGATCATAAGAAAATTTTTCAAAAAAAAATATTTTTAGGCAAAACTGATGGTTCTGTCAATGGTTGTACCCTTCCAAACGGTCAAAAAGTTCAAAAAGCACTTCGTAAAGAAATAAGAATGATATCAGATGAAGAAAGAAATGAACTTGTAAATTATAATTGGAAAAAATTTATTTAATTAAAAAAATATTTTTAAAGTTTAAAGCAATTCGAGATATGAAAGATACTTCAGATTATGATTATATAGCTGCAATACACAAACTTGCCTATGAACAAGGCGGTGCTCACATGGGAGCCGCATTTTTTTCTTGGCACAATGAATATTGTAAAAGGTATGAGAATTGGCATTTTGAAAATTGAAATTTTAAAAATTAAAAAAGATATGAAATCTTGATTCGTAAAAGAAACCCTTCACTTGCTTTACACTATTTGGACTCTACACTGGATAGTCCGTTACCGACTCCAGCAGATTCTGTTCTTTTTACAGATGAGGTAAATTACCTGAGATAAATTAATTAGCAACCAGGCCTAAAGGAAATGAAGATATATGTAAGCTGTAGGGAACATTAAGTAGATTGAAAAGAACAATGAACAAGGGAAAGTAGGTTGAAGGGAACATGGATTGTAGGGCAAAAGGGAAAAGGAGAAATAGAAAGAAACAAGGAAAGTAGTCTGTAGATTAGTTTTTCTTTCCCCTAAGTATCATCGGGTTATAATCATTTTAATCGAGAATCGAGCTTGCAAGTAATTTTATATTATTTATAGTTTTTTGGCACAACAAACGAGCAAAATTATGTGACTACTGGACCCTTTGCACCTTGGGAAACTCTCGAGGTAAGAAAATTCTTTTTTTAACAAAACGTTAACATTTTAATTTTAGGGCAACCATTATATTACAAGACAAGTTGGGGATGGTGGTAGATTTCTTAAGGATGACGAGTAATTAATTTAATTTTTATTATTTCATTTAAAATAATGCCTCCTCTAAAAATTTTTTTCAGCCATTATTTTAGAAAAAATACTGTAATAATTTAGGGGCTAACCCGAAAGATCGAATCACCTAGAAGACAACTTATTTAGTGAACAAATACCTATGTATTATCAACTGCCCTAGAGATCAATTCCAAAATTTTGGCCTGAAAAAGACTAAAAATCTATTAATTACCTACTCTGTTAATTACCCTCTCTCTATTAATTGCCCGCATAATTATTAGAGCATTGACATTTTTATAATTTCATTAATTATTAAAATAAATGATAAAAATGAGCGAGATATTGGGGGATTTGAAAGTCTGAGGATTTCGAGAAATAAATTGGATTAAAAGGGTGTTGGCTGAATTAAGGATGTCTACCCCTAGTCTAAAGTATTGAAGATTTCCTGAAATAAATCTCACAAACTTCTTCATACCTTTACCTATCGATCTGTACATCCAAGCAGAATTACAAAAAAAGTGTCGGATTTTCACAACAACTTAGAGCGAATTTAAAAGCTAGAAATGATTTAAAAAATTTTTAGCATTCAATGGACACTATCTCAAACAAAAATTGAAAATGTAATGGCTTATTCAGAGCCAAGTGCTAAATGCTCTTATGAAATAGATTTTAAATGGATTGAAGTAAAATAATTTTAAAAAAATTTAATTTTTATTTTTCACCATTTAAAGTACCCTCATGGAGCTTTTCACGATTGTATTGGCGGTGATATGCAGACAGTCTTTCCAAATAAGGCAGCAAATGATATCATATTCTTTTTCTTCCATTGTCATATAAATAAAGTAAAGATTTTTAAAAAAAAAGCTTTTATCGTTCCTTTTTCCTCTTATACCTATATTTTTTTTAGATTTTTGTAGATTGGCGTCTAACTAGGCAAACCCGTTCCCAACGAGAAAATGTTTATCCAGCCGATCTTGCTGTAAGTTTAAAAACTATTTAATTATTTAAAAATTTGATTTTAGGATTGTGAAAACCCCGCACACTTTAGAAATGCAACAATGTCACAATTTGCTGTAAATTAAATAAAAATTATTTTTTAAATTTAATTTTATTATTTAAGCCGTTTAAAAATATCGATGGACTTAAAAATGATTATACTGACAATATGTACGAATACGTAGATAAACCTAATTGTACTGCTACTACAGACTGTGGCTCTAGGTAGGGAATTTCAACGGGTGCTCTCTAAAGACAATTTATTATATTTCCTGAGGATTACGTCTTAAATTCCCTACAGACTACCTTCATGGTTTTACACAGCTACCTACTTAGTTCCCTGCAGATTAATCACTCTGTTCCCTTAAGTATAACGAGTCTTTTTTAAACTATTTTTAAACTAGATTTTTGTTCTGCGATCGTTCTAATGATGCTCCTCGTTGTCTTTCGAAGGTCCGTCCTGGCGGAAATTGCAAAGGTTTCCCTAATGGTGAGTTTAAAAATTAATATTTAATTTTTATGATTTTTTGCCATCCTTTTTTATTTCTTTAAAATTCAGCTGATATATGCTACAACAGCACGTGTGTTAATGATGTTTGTGTTGTGTTATCGGTTTGTTTAGAGTTTATATTCTTGGAAAAATGAGAGTTTGCAGACAAAAGCAGCTACAATAACAGCAACTTCTACAGTGAAAATGACTGAGAAACCATCAACTACGACTCCTAAAATTACGGAGGTGCCAACTACTAAAGCAGCAAGGTTGACGGAGAAACCAACCACCATAACTCCGAAAGTTACGGAGGAATCAAGCTCTACAGTAAAACCTATAGAAAAACAAACTACTATGGCACCGAAGGTAACGGAGAAACCAACTTCCACAGTGAGAGTGACAGAGGTACCGACTACTCAGGCAAAGAGATTGACAGAAAAGCCGAACCCAACTCCTACTACGCCAAAAACGATGGAAGTAACCACAACGTCCAAAAAACAAACTCCAACCACTCAAACTTCAACAACAAACATGCAAGAGAAACCAATCACACCTATAAAATCACCAGAAATTAAAACCACAACGGAGAAGTTGCCTATAACTACAACTGAAAATATAGAATTTACGACAGAATCTATAACGACGGAAGCAGCTACAACAACAGAAACTCCCGAAGTGGGAACGACGCCAGAACTGATAGAAACTACTACAAATGAGATTCCAGAAGAGACTACAACAATGATTACAACAATAAGACCGACAAAACCTCAAAAGAAACTCACAACTATAATAACAACCAAATTACTAACCAAAACAACAACAAAAAAGCCCAAAAAGTCCAAAACCAAAAAACCAAAGAAAGACAAAAAACATAAGAAACATCACACAACTGAACAATTAACCTCTACACCTATAGCAAAAACAACGAAAACAACCAAACCGCCAACAACGATTAAACCAACAAAGCCAACTTCAATTATTGAAAAAATAACAACAAAAATTATTGGGACCACAAAAAAACCGGAAAAAACTACAAAGAAACCTAAAAAAGGAAAAAAGAAATGTAAATGTAAAAAGCGAAATCCTCCAAAAAATACAAAAGATAATAAGAAAAGCAGTGAAGAAAAAAAGAATGTTAAAAATTGATGGAAATGAGTGATAATTTGTACAAAACTTGTGATAAAGCAGTTAAATTATAACTAATAAATCCGAAAGAATAAATTTTGTAAAGTTAATATCTGTTTAATTTTTTATTTGGATTTATTCAGAAATTATAAAATAAATTTTTAATATGTACTAAATATTCAATACAAATGAATAAATATTTAAATAATGCAACAATAATTTTTATTTTTTACTATTACTTCCACCGAAAGTGAATACTAATACATATCAGATTTGGTAATGGACGTGGATTTTGGTATTCGGATATTTACGGCGGATACAGACGGATATCCGCAGGTAATTTGAACTTATCTGTATCAATATCTGTATCCATTACCAAGCCTGACTAATATTACTACCTATAATGTTTCATTTCAATTTGCACTGTATCTTCAGACTGCCTCATCTTTTTATGTTCTTTACACTCATCACATATCTTCTCTTCAGAATACCTCGACTTTCATACCTTTTATAAATTTTTAATATACTATTTTTTATTCTCAAGATACAGTATTTGAGGCACACTTTATACTAGAGTCCGGGCCGTAGTGGGCGGTCAACATTCGATATATATACATAGAAAAATATCGAAAGAAAAATAAAGAAAAAAAGGCTAGATATTCTTCGATTTTTTAAAATAAAAATTTTTATAACCAATGGATGACAAAATAGTGCCAATAGTTCATTGAGATTAAGATTGAGTAAATGGGATATTTATGGATTTCGACGGATTAAATGGATCACCCAAAATCCCTCTTAGTCCACCGAAATCACTCTTAATCCATTTAAACACTCCTAATCCACCTATATCCTCTTAATCCGCCGAAATAATCCATATTAGTCCATATTAAACACTCCTAACCATATTAGTCCATATCTTAATCCATATTCGTGTTTGGAGGGATATTGAGGGAATCCCATGTCTCTTTTATCTCTTTTAAATCTCATCAATTTTATTGATAACACTTTTATCTTCTTCAAATGCAAAAATAACACAGTGGATTTTAAGTGTCACTTTTTGAGCGTCGGCAAAATTTTCGTAAGCCGACTTTCTTCATTTTTGCGGACCGGATACATATCTCGCTCTCATCTTCCGTTTACTTCGGCAAACCCAATCGTGAATATATGTTGAAGTATCCCTTTCTTCATTCTTGCGCCGCAGGAAGAAATTATTTGAATTTCCTATGGCCAGAAAGCCTGAATTCATCTTTTTTGGCGTCAAAAATTCAATTTTTTGATAATAATAACTAAGGGTCGGATTTTCAGGTTGTAAAAATCTTAAAATTGATACCTAAATAGGTTGCAAAAAATTCTAAAATACGTGACAAAAATAGTGAAATAGATTGTAATAAGGTCAAATGGGAGATAAATATTTTCTATTTTCCGTTCAAAAATCTCATTATAAAACTACAGTGATTGATCCCTGTTCGGGATCAATCACGTCCATACTTGAAGGCCGAAAGTAGAAAAACTACTAGTTAAGAGTTCTGAACACATAAAATGCTAAAAATCCTAATCCAGCCTTGAAAACTAACCATCAACTTTATGGGACCACGAAATTCGTACTCGACTTTGACTGGGTTCGAAAAAAACTTGTTATTAATGCGATATGCGAGACCATAAATTTAGGGCTGGAAAATAGGAATTATCCATCGAATTTTATTTTATAAACCAAATATCTCGAGAACAAAATCAAAATTTTATGTTTTTATCTCCTTAAGTCGACTGGGTGCTCCATTCCGACACTTTAATTTCCGTCATCTCTGGTCCCAGATTTGTCTTTTTCTAAAATTAAAATTAAAAAAAATTTTTTTTAATTTTTAAATTTTATTTAAATGCCAACACATTTTTTTTATTTAGAATTTTTCATTAAAATTTTATTTTATTTAAACAGTGTTAAAAGACGTCAATCTCTACAATGAAAGGAATTTTTAAAATAATTTAAATAATTTTTAAAATAGAATTTAATAATAATTTTATTCATTTTTATATTTTTAAAAATTTTTTCTTAATTTTAAATTATTTTGTGCCGAATTAAACTTGAATTCATTGGATGGAAGAAGAACCAGAACCATCGTTGAATGTGTCCAAACCGAGGGGCTTTTGTATACATTTTTTGTGCAGTCCAAACTGGATATGTATTAATTCTTTGATTTTTCTGGATTTAGTAACGAGATTAATGCCTTTTCAGAGTTTCTGGATTTTTTCTTGATTTAAGTCCCAAAATCTGAAGAAATTCCAGGATTTTTTCTTACAGTTTTGTCGACATATTAATTAAAATAATTCTCAAACTTTCAGAATATTTGTTTTTAAACATGGCAAAATATTTATTCTTTACTATAATATTAATTGTTACTGCTTCAATAAATAATGCTATTATTTTCAAAACTAATTGCAGTGAAGCACCTCCAGAAATACAATCAGCTTGTAGAGGTATGCAAAATTCAATGCTTATGTCGATGGATAAAATGGTTGGGAAAAATGTTTTTGAAAAAAATTTTTTAAATTGTTATTTAGGCAGCTGATCAGCCACCTGTGCCTGTTACACAGGAACCTGTAAACGAGCCTTCAACACAAAAAGAAATGGTATATCTTTTACAACTCTCCTTTCCCATTTCTCATTTCTTTAACACACCCTTATCCTTTTTTCGATTTTCAAAAATTTACTTATTCCATCCAATTTATTCCTTCAAAAATTTCAACCTTAATATTATTTTTAGGCAGCTGAACAGCCACCTGTTCCAAATACTCAGGAACCTGTAAATGAACATTCAACACAAAAAGAAATGGTATGAAACGGAAAAAACACTCCACATAAGAGATCCCAAAAATTCGGCATAATAATTTTTCTAGTTGGGATCCTGAATAAGCACGTTTGAAGGGAGATCTAGCTGGCTAGCAAATAACTTATTAGGCAGGCACCTCAAAGACTTTTCCCTACTTATCAAAAGTAAATTGGGTGATGTAAAGGGAATATTAAACTGCAATATATGTTTAATAATTTAAGGATTATCCAACAACAAAAGCTCCATGTCACGAGGAATGTAAGGATGAGGATTGTGAATAGGTACATATTCTGATTACTGAAAAAAAGGTTAAACGGAACGAATCAAAATATTAAATAAACAAGAAATATGTATGTAACTGCTTAAATTATAATTAAATTTAAATTTTGCAATATTGGATAAATATTTCGATAAAAATTTTTTGTGCTTTTCCTTATCCCTACGGACTTGAATTGAAATTCCTAAAAAAATTTCAATTTTTAAAATTTATTAATATTTAAAATTTGAAGTAATAATTAAGGTTATAGCAGGGCTCGCATCGACAAAATGCCACTCAAAAGTATCATAATCTCGATTAAAAAGTATATAGGGAGAAAATTTGCAAAAAAAAGTAGTCTCAAAATTAAATTATAAAATATTTATTCGTCCTCAAATCTTTCATATTTTTCTCCTAAATTAATCTTTTCTAATAATTTCTTGTTTCAACTGAGCATTTTGCCAATTTCAATGCACCTTTTGTGGCGCCTAAAAAAAAAAATTTTTTTTTTTAAATTTTCGCCGCAGGCGAAAATTTTGAGAATTTTGGAGGTCCTTAAGCCAAAAAAATTCACTTTTTTGCCCAATCCCTTCCCCAATTTCATTTTCAATCAAAAAAAGTATATACTTTCAAAAAAGTATAAATTCAATTTCGTAAGCATGGAGGTCGATTTAAAAGTAGAATACTTTTAAAAAAGTAGGAATGCGAGCCCTGGGTTATAGGTTTATGGAAAATTGTTAATTTCCCAAAATAAAAAATAGACCCCTTCTGATTCAGTGTTTTATAGTAACTAATTACAGAACTAGTGCTTTCTAACTAATGTTATGCCATGAGCTAAAACGCTCAAAATGGTGTTTTTACGCGGTATTAAATCTACCCCAACCTTTAATCTACCCAAATCTCCCACCCGAGTTCTCAATTAATCCATTTGCCTTACACTAATAAGAGGGATATAGGTGGATGGGATATTACGGGTATCAAAGGGTATTACGGTACCCCTAATCCTGTTTATGCCTTTAATCACTGATATCCCTTAAGACTACCCTTAATCCATTGAATCCCTTTATATCTCAGGATTAACCCTTATATCTCCATATTGCGGATTGTTTGATACTCTTTTAGTTATTTTAAAAAATTTCGATTTTCGAATTTCGATTTTCGATTTTAGACGTTTTTTTCTTTCGATTTTCGATTTCCGAATTTCGAATTTTTTCATAAAATTTCGATTTCGATATTTTTGGATTTCTTTCGATTTTCGATTTCCGAATTTCGAAGATTTTTTTATTTCGACGCAGCTCTGCTTGGAACATTAATTTAGTCAATGGATTTGAAGGATATCGAGGGATTAATACAGACTTGGGTGAAGCCTAACACCTAAACCATAGAGTTTCACCGGTAGAAGGAAAAAGATTTAAATTATTAAATTATTAATTTAAAATTAAAAATTTATTTAAATTATTATTTTATTAATATATAAAAATATATAAAAATGGATAATTTAATTTAAATTATTAATTAATTTAAAAGATTTAATTTAAAAAGATTTTAAATTAAGGAAAAAAAAAGAAAAAGTAGGGAGAAGGAAAAATGTGAGGGCAATATATCGATGGGAATTATATTGGTAGGTTTGAAAAATAAATATAAAAGGAAATAAGAGAGGGATGAATATTGCCTGTGGGTCTAATTTGAAGGGTAAATAAAATATCTGGGAAAAATTGATTTCTTAAGACAAGAGAATGTTTTTATAAAGGTGAATAACTAACCCAAAATAAATCAGTCCTTAAAATTTGTTTTTTAGTTTTATTTTATTATAACAATTTTTTAAATTATTTGATTTTAAATTTTTATTGAATTTAAGTTTTAGTCTTTCTAGATATTTTTTGAAATATTTAACCAAAAATTCTGAAATTTTTATCAAAATAATTAAATAAAATAAAAAA